AAGCAGGGTGGGTCCCTTTGAGGAGAGAGTGTGCATTCCATTCCAGACATGGAAATTTGCATGTGTATGGAACATTGTCTGGTATGAGAGCTCTAAAATGTTACATAAATGGAATGAATCTAGATCCGGTAGAATTTCTCCCCACCCATCTCTTAAATTACATTTTGCAATGTTCTTTGCTTATCAGACAAATTGTTTGCCTACCTTCACCTTTTGCATCTTCTTTAATATAAATGCCTTAGCCCTGTAAATTAATTTAAATTGTTAAATCATAAACTTTAGCTTTAACAATATCCTCTGGTTCTCTTGGAATCAAAAATAATTCTTTGCAATACACAAACCAAAGCCATATGGTAGACATCAATAATCATAATACCACTGATTTACAATTTTAAGGACAAAATGGCTGGACGAACAGACTAAATAAAGTCCAAAGGCAAAACTTATGCAAGATATCTAAGAAATGGGAAATTGAAAACTGTACATATGTTAAATTAACATAGCTACAAGGATATCCAAAATACATAATGTTTGTGAAGCAGAACAGATGTGGGTCAATAATACCATGTGGTTTCTAGCAATCAACTGAACCCCTCAGGTCTGGTACAGCTTTGTAACTAGTTGCATTGTTTATTCAAGTAAACTTCACAAATAACTTCCTCTCATAAACACTAGATTCGAGTTAGATTGGGAATTAACTGCATGTCCTATTCATATACAGGTGAACAGTGAGGTGTCATGCCAGTAATTACAGAATTACATAGAATGACATGGCAGGCCATTCAGCCCAACTAGTCTGCGGAGGTCTTTATACTTCACATGAGCCCCTATCCCTCATATTCTCCATCTCCAGCATAGGATGATTTTGCACTATGTATTATGGATTATAACAAGTATGTAGGAGTTACGGATTTTAACAAGCAATCATAAGAGTTCTGTCCGACAGATTAATCACCTAACTTCCTGAAAACCTAAATAAATCACAATGTAGTTTGAAAACAATAATCATAAACTTCCAGCACTGCTTCATAGAAAAGCATACAATGTTTATTGATAACCCAGGTATAGGGAATCATGTAAGAAATAATGATTTTTTTTATTAGTGGTCAGAAATTGTGCAATGAACAGTCTTGGAAGATGAATCGTACATATACCAACTCCTGGGGTGATCACAAAGCTTAGTTCGAAAAGCACTAATAACAAGGATATTTTGTCAGGTGGAAATCTTCAGGGAAATTAGGGATCATTTTGCAGTGAAGCAATGTGGTCCTGGTTGTACTTTATCACTGACAAGGAGGTAACAGCACTGAGCATTACTGTGTTCCTTTAGCTTCATGTGATGACACCATATTTGTTCTTTTTTGTAACATAATATTGTAGTGCTGGTAATATTTATAATAATAAAAGAATCATTGCATTTAATTTAAACCATGACCCGCTTTACTTCTCTCACTTCTGTAACATCGCCCGACTCTCCTACTACCTCATCCCTCAGACCACTGAACTCTTGTTCATACCTTCATCACATCAACAACAACAAAATTACATGTATTGAGCACCTTTCACGTCGGGAGGATCCCAAAGCGCTGAACAATCAGGTGTCAGGGCCCAAGCATGGGGGATGGATGGTGTAGGGGTGAGGGAAGGCAGAGAGGTGGGAGGATGACCGAAGGCACGATCGAAGAGAATGGTCTTGAGACCGGCCTTGAAGGAGGCAAGGGAGGAAGCGGGGCGAAGGGACCATGGGATGGAGTTCCAGAGTGTGGGGGCAGAGAGGCTAAAAACCTGGCCATCAATGGTAGGGCGGGTCGGCCGGGAAACATGGAGCAGGCCCGCTGAACATCCAGGCTCGACTATATAAATGCCCTCTTTGTCTGCCTTCCCAAATCCTCCCTCCACAGGCTGCAGATAATCCAAAACTCTGCAGCCAGTGTCCTCTCCTGCGCCAAACTCCGCGACCCCATCTCCCCCATTCTCGCCCGACTCCATTGGCTCCCTATCCTTCACTGGATCCAGTTCAAGATCCTGGTCCTCACCTACAAAGCCCTCCATGGCCTTGCTCCACCCTACCTCTGTGACCTCCTAACCCCCTACCAACCCGCCCGTTCCCTCTGCTCAGCCAGCTCCGGCCTGCTCCCAAGTCCCCCGATCCACCCGCCCCATCATTGGCTGGAGAGCCTTCAGCCACTCTGCCCCCAACCTCTGGAATTCCATCCCCCAATCACTCCGCCTCGCCCACTCCTTAGCCTCCAAGTCCCTCCTCAAAACCTTGCTCTTCGATCATGCCATCGGTCACCCCTCTTCCCCTCCGCTCCCTTCTCCCTCTCTGACCTCAAGTCGGGTCTGAAATGCTGTACACTGTCCAGCGCCTTGGGATGTCCTCCCCACATGAAAGGCGCTATACAAATGTAATCTTGTTTGTTGTTATTGTAATATAGCATCATATTATGCCAATGAAATATTTCAAAGTGCTTCACATGAATTGATGCTAAAGTTTAGCTATTTTTAAGTTTGTTTTCACAAAAAGCCGTTGCTACAAATTGAAATGCTGCCATACATTGATTGGCACGGCTGCATTATTCTAGTGATTCACTGTACTAGTGAAATTTGAACAAAGGAAAATACGTGTTTACTACACAACAGTTGGCATTTCTGCTAGGATTCTACCTTTGAGTGAGATATGATGGTGCTCATTATAAATGAAAGATCACATGTCTCATTGTCATTTATATGGGAACCTGATGTTAGCACAGGATTTCCAGGTATTCTTAAATGTCACCGAATTTGAATGTTTTGTTTTGATGTGAGTGTATTTATTAGATCATTTACTAATTATGCAATAAAATCCTGAAACAATATGCAGGGAAGGCAGAAACTAATTGACAGGCTCACTAAACATAACGATGAGAGATTGTCATGTTCATCTAATGGTTTTGGCTTTGGATAATATTCCAAATGCCGCAGAAAGTATTTCCATATAAAGTCAATACATAAACATCCAATATTTAATGTCTCTCAGTATTATCGGAATAAATTCCACAAAATACACTTTACAATATATTCTGTGAAGCGCTTTGAGACATCTCAACGATGTGAGAAGCCGCTATATCAAATGCAAGGATTATTATTATCATAAAGTCAACAAGAAAGCATCTCTGTTTGGAAAGATCTGATCTGCAGAGGAATGCATACAACGAATATGCGGTAAAACATTTAATTCAAAATGAACTGACACGTATTACAATGGTATGTTCAAGCAAGATTAAACAATGTCATGATCTACATTATTAATTCTGTTGGCTCACCTTTCAAATCATTCTGGAACATTTCATATGGTGCAGACTATCTTTGCTACAGTTAGTACCAAATTCATGGACTAACAACAAAATAAATTGCATTTTTCAATCCTTCAGTACTCAAAACATATTGTGTTTTAGCACGTAAAAGCTTCCATTTCTTTAAAAATTGTAAATATTAGTCATAATCTGGGCCAATAGAAAAGTACGGAAATATTTGCCAATAATTGGAGGGAAATTTGAAAATAATTTGGAAAATTGAGGTGGAGTCTTGCTGAATTTTGTGGAGAATTTTGCGGCGGCAGTTGGTGCTGTTGAGGTCCAATTAATGCCAACCTATATTTTTTCACTTTATTAATGAAAACTAAGCACAAAGCATGAAGCATGAAGAAATAACACATATTAGTTTGTCATGTATTAGATCATCACATTAGATAGCAACTTCATTTTTTTTAAAAGCAGGCTAATAGTGGATTCCGCGGGAAAAATTGCGGCCACACTTTTCTATTAGCTCAGGCCGTAATGAACGGCAACCCATTCAGCTGCTCCAGCAGAGGTAGGGGTGTGCACCTTGCGCTCCCCCACCCACCTTGCCCTCCCCAACTTGCCCTCTCCCACTCCCCCCCCACTTTGCCCCCCCTACCCTGGCCATCCCTCACCTGTCCCTCCCTCACCCCCCCACCTGTCCCTCCCTCACCCCCCCACCTGTCCCTCCCTCACCCCCCCCCACCTGTCCCTCCCTCACCCCCCCCACCTGTCCCTCCCTCACCCCCCCCCACCTGTCCCTCCTCACCCCCCCCCCACCTGTCCCTCCCTCACCCCCCCCCCACCTGTCCCTCCTCACCCCCCCCCCACCTGTCCCTCCCTCACCCCCCCCCACCGTCCCTCCCTCACCCCCCCCCCACCTGTCCCTCCCTCACCCCCCCCCCACCTGTCCCTCCCTCACCCCCCCCCCCACCTGTCCCTCCTCACCCCCCCCACCTGTCCCTCCCTCACCCCCCCCCACCTGTCCCTCCCTCACCCCCCCCACCTGTCCCTCCCTCACCCCCCCCCCCCCCACCTGTCCCCCCTCACCCCCCCCACCTGTCCCCCCCCAGCTGTCCCTCCCTCACCCCCCCACCCGTCCCTCCCTCACCCCTCCCCACCCGTCCCCCCCTCACCCCCCCCCACCCGTCCCCCCCTCACCCCCCCCACCCGTCCCCCCTCACCCCCCCCACCCGTCCCCCCCCACCGTCCCTCCCTCACCCCCCCCCCACCCGTCCCCCACTCACCCCCCCCACCCGTCCCCCCTCACCCCCCCACCCTTCCCTCCCTCACCCCCCCCACCCGTCCCTCCCTCACCCCCCCCACCCGTCCCTCCCTCACCCCCACCCGTCCCCCCCACCCGTCCCTCCCTCACCCCCACCCGTCCCCCCCACCCGTCCCTCCCTCACCCCCCCCCACCTGTCCCTCCCTCAGCCCCCCCCCACCCGTCCCTCCCTCACCCCCACCCGTCCCCCCCACCCGTCCCTCCCTCACCCCCCCCCCACCTGTCCCTCCATCAGCACCCCCCCACCTGTTCCTCCCTCACCCCCCTCCCACCACCACCGAAAGCTCTACACCAATGTAATTTGTTGTTGTTGCTGCTGCTGCGGTGTAGGGGTCACGTGCCGCCCGTTGCTAGGTTCCGGCGGTTGACGCGGTTCGAAGCGGCGACGGAGCGGAAGTGGCGTCATCACCAGCGCGTGGCGTGGCGAGGCGGGGGTTGGAGGGGCCGCGGCCATGGCCTGCGGAGTGGATCTGAGCAGCTTCCCGCTGCACGGCCTCCTGCCCAAGAAGGAGACGGGGGCGCTGAGCTTCCTGAGCAAACGCCCCGAGAGCGACGGCCGCGGGGTCCTCATCGCCATCCTCGACTCCGGGGTGGACCCGGGGGCGGCGGGGCTGCAGGTGAGGGGCCCGGGGACCGGGGTTGGGGCCTGTGCAGAAGGGCCGCCAAGCGCTGCCCTGAGTCACTGAGTTTATAACCGTTGGGTTTGACGGGAGCGCCCCGGGCCTTGTCCCGTCAGCCTCTCACTTTAAAGGTCGTGTCCGTGGTCCTTCTCCTGGGACTCTTCACTGCTTTCTTTGGACCGTATTCTTGGTGCTCAGCAACGCACACCGCGCGCTCTGGTTGGGAGTGTTGATGTTCGGGGTGGGGTGTGGGGGGACAACCCTATCGTGTGCCACACGAGAATTGTTTGGACTTTTGAACTTGTCCCGAGTTTTATTTCGCGTGCACCGAAGGTCGCGACGGGTCCTCACAATCAACTGAATGAAGTGGTATTGAACCACATTTGGACTCGAGTACCTCCGTTCGTTCATTGCTCTGCACACTCACTGCATTGCTTTAAATCTTACTGCACAACAGGCAGTTTGATTCTCTTTGGTTCTCCAGCACAGAACCCACTGCACAGTGGATTTTTTTCCACGACTCCACAGCTGTAAAGTGATGACATGGATGTTGGATTGAGTGGCACTGCAGATGATCCAATAGTGTTAGTTACCTACTATGCTTTACAGTATGTCTTGTGAATTGCTTTGAGACGTCTCAAAGACGTGATAAGGCGTTATTTGAAATGCAAGGATTATTATACATTATAATAATCCTTTTATTATAGTGCCTATAATGCTGGAATGTCTCAAATGACCACATATAATTACTGTTAAATGTGGTGATTATTTGATTTATTTGTTTATTAAATGAAGCTGTCAACTTGACAACACAAGGTTCCTTAATGGGCCTGGGTACTTGTTAAATCATTCAGTTTTGGAGACCTCTCCATTAAATTCAATACCTTGCTTTCAAGTTAGGTTGATGTTAATGGCAGCATCATGCCGTTAATGTGTTGCATTCTTAATGGAAAATTTACAGTCGCGATATTAAACTTGAATGCAGGAGCTTAGTAAAAGTAAAATAGATTGACTTGAAAAGCCCTGTGAAGGGAACCCACATCTGGAGCAAACATTTTCTGCTGTACACCAATAAATAACAAATGACTTGTTTTACTTTAATTCAAGAAATAATCAAGTTTCAGTGACACACTTGTGTTGTTCAACACAAAGGGTTGATTTCTTCTAGAAACTGAATAATCCATTAATTGTGTTTATGAAGTGTCCGTACCTGGATATTAGAAGAATATGAATGATTTGTTGATTTTATGTGTTTAGGTTACAACAGATGGAAAGCCAAAGATTATCGACTTCATTGATGCCTCGGGCAGTGGCGATGTAAATACTTCCACTGTGCTAGAAGAGAAGACTGGCCTTTTAGTTGGTCTCTCAGGAAGAACTCTCAAGGTACTGGTAGTAATTCATCTTACTTTATGTATAGACAGTCACATTCAGAATATTCTCTCATTTCATCACTTACCAGATTTACAATTTTTTTGCGCTTCACAATAAAATAATTAGAATACCACTAACTTAAATATTTTATTTGAAATCGCCAAATGTCAATCATTTCATGGTCTTTACAATCAGTGTCGGTAAACTATTTTGCCCACTTGATTGGATGGGAGATCATCACGACTGAGCTTGAGCCAGTTTCTGACTTCCACTCATTGCAGTTTACAGCAGAGGTTTCTGGATAATGATCAGGAGCAGGAACCCTCACTGTTTTTTTCATTTCTTAACCTGGGCACTTAGTAAACTTGTATAATAGGAGACAAATTCAAGCCAAGCAGCTGGTGCTGAGTGTTCATCACCACTCAACACTAGACAGGTTGATTAGGGAAAATGACCAAAGTAACAGAATTGTTGGACATTTACTCATCCCCAATGTGCAATTGGGAAGACTGCAAGGATTATTTTGGGGTGTGGAATGTTTGTAGCCTTGAATTGCCACTCTCCCTGGTTTTCTACTGTACTGTATTGTGTTTGCTGACTTTTCCTATTTCATGTGGACTTAATTTCTAAATGTTCAAAACACTACTACTGAGTTTGATTTGTGATGTATAATTGATGTACTGTTTTTTTAGATACCACCAGATTGGATTAATCCTTCTAAGAAGTACCACGTTGGTGTGAAAAATGCATTTGAGCTGTATCCCACAACGCTCAAGGAAAGAATTCAGGTAAGGACTATATTCACAATTAAGACATAAGATGTTTCTGTCATCATTGAATGATGACAGAAAAGATTCAGCAGTAAAACAGACCATTTTAATGGCATACTTTGTACATTCTAAAATTGTAGAAAGTGTGTACTTCATAGCTGCTGATTCACTGTAAGGAATATTGGACTCATCCCAGAAGACAGCAGCTTCTACAGTAACAACATTTTAAAAAGGATAAGTCTTCTGTGCCATATATTCACCTGTCAGTTCACATCACCATGAATCTGTGCTTTGGTTTAATGAGCAGCATTCCTTAATTGACATTATTGGCAATTTGCTTGTACTGTACTGTGATAACTGGAGCTACGTTGCCTTTTCTAGTCAATACAGATACCTCCAATGCTTGCTCATATAGCTTTACTATTAATCTTTATTGATTTAACTGAAGAAATTATTTCATTTTTAAGCATTAATAAATTCAAAAGACCCATTCACAGTGGTTAAGTAGCGAAAGAGAGAAATGATTTGTATACTGTATTTATACGAGACACCAAAGAATATAAATATATATTTTTCAGTATAATGTAGTACTATTAGAATAGTATTATCAATATGTAACTTTATATTTTTTTCCAAAGTTTTCTTTTGCTTTTTCCACTTACCTTGTCTTTTTATTTTTTTTAACTCTTTCTGCTTCATTCTTTTACAACATTTCTGTAAGCAGCAAGAGAGGCGAGAGAAGCAGTGGGACCCTCCACATCGTGCAGTTTTGGCAAATGCTCACAGAAAACTGAATGACTTCAACAAGAACAACACAAACTTGTCTCAGGTACTAAATGCTGCTGATTAGTTAAGGTCTTTCAGATAACTTGTAAAAATCTTAAGATTTTTGGGCTTCCTAAAAAGCTCCGAAGATTGGATATTAGTGGCATTCAGGAGAAAGAGAACTTAAATGCCTTATTTTGCTGGGGTAGTTCAGTGATACTGGACATTACAACATTCCCACTAAAACACAGAGTGGAGGTGAATATAGGTTTGATTTTCTGCTCTGTTCAGTTCTCGAATCTGAGCCTCATTAATAGAAGAGAATGATTAGAGACCTCCGCATTTCTTAGAAAGGAAAGAAAATTGGTGGAGAGAGTCATGCATGGACTTTGTGCCTGTTCGTAGCAAGCTACAAAGAGAATTGGCGATGATCTGAGAACAGCCTGCCTGCTATCTTAGCAGCAGGCATGATGAGGTCAGTTATCAGAATTTCAGATTGGATCTGATCAAATCTGATTGTCTTGGTTAATATTGTGTACATTTTGTTTCTTATGAGAAGATTTTCTAGAAATATGCTATTACTCACCATTTGTTCCTTTGATTGCTCTGCAGGCAATTACTTTGGGTTGGGTTGTTCCAACGTGTGAATTATTATTCATGCTTGATATGACCCCATATCCAGTGGTTGGAGTTTATAACTATATAGCAAAAGTATTGCAGAATCTTTTGTCAAAAGCTTTTTTATCATAATTGCAAGTTTAAAAAAAAAGCTTATTTATTTAAAGTTGAGAATTATTTGTGATTTGCTTTTGCGTCCTATTGATTCACTGTATTCCAAACATGTCTACCTATTATAATATCTGATAGCTGCCTCCCCTCTCTTGGGGTTATCAATTAAGATGATACAGAAAATATTTTCTCTCAAACAAAAAATCTTATTTTACAAGGTATTTTTCATTAATTCTCCCCAGTGTGTATTTGTTCACAGAATCTGCAAGTAAAGCTTAACGGAAAGTGCATCAAGTAACTTTAAACTAAGGACTTCTAAATAGTTTTAAGTAACTGGATGACAACACAAATGTAATGAAAACCATTAGATATTCCCTTTGGGGAACATGCATAATGCATTATAAGTGCAGATGCAATAATGTTCAGGTCCCTGATCTTTGGGAACAAGGGACATGTTTAAAAGATGTGGCCCAATCCTTTCATGGTTGTACTGCATTCTCCCTCATTATTTATTCTTTGCGTAGCTTAAGATAGGCTCATCATCGAAAGAGTGGTAGAATGGCTGAGACACTGAGGGGATAACTTCCATTGATCAAAATTAGATTTTTGTATGACATTATTATCAGGACATAGAATAGACTATTTTTAGTGAGCTATAAATGTTGATTCAGCTTTATCCTTCCGGAAGAAAGCAGTCTTCTCACAACTTTATGCTAAATTTTCAATTCCTGTTACCTATTTCTAAATTTTGTGTCAGTCCAAATACTGAATTAATGCTAATCTGTGCATCTTTCTGTTAGTACATATTAATCTTGGGGATATCCTTTAATATATTCATTGGTAATATTGCATTTGAACTTCTATTTCAACAGGAAGATAAATTGATATTGGAGGACTTACAGTGTCATGTTGATCAGCTGAATGCTCTAGAGAAGCAATATACTGACCTAGGGCCAGTCTATGATTGCTTAGTGTGGCACGATGGGGAAACTTGGAGGTGAGATGTTGCAAATCACTTGTATGTTATGCAGAGTTATATAGTGAACTGCTTATAATCTTATTTTACATGATACTAGTGACTATTCTTGAGATTTTTCTTGGTGGACTATACCTTTATTAGAAACCCAGCAACCTACAAAGTAGAAGAAGGCCATTCGTTCCAATGAATCTACATTATAGAACAACAGTGGGATCAGTTCAATCTCACTGCCCCATCCTTCAAGCCCCTCTCTTTCATAAGCCAGTCTACTTCCCTCTTGAAAGCTAAAATGGCTCTGCTTCCAGCACCCAACTCAGCAAGACATTCCACATCGCAACAACTCTCTGAGTGGAAAGAATCTTCCTGAGTTCTTCTTTTGCCATTCTTGTAGCTATTTTATGTCTGTGTCCCCTTACTGTTATAATAATTATTAGGAATTACACCTTTATCCCAAATATTTTACTACCTGTTTTGGACTCGAGTTTGGAAACTGTTCCAGCATCCTAACTGTCTTGATCCTCCCCATTATAGAACCGGTGAAGTGGAATGAGCCATTGGTTAAGTCTCTTTTTTTGCTATGGAAATGCAATGATGTGTAAACTGATCAGGGGGATGTGAATTTCATATTTATTGCATTTTAAAAAAAAGTTGTGCAGCCCAAAACAACAAATTATACTTGTATAGCGCCCTTCACATTGGAAAGATGCTCCAAGGCGCTGTTTTAAAAGCAGCACTTTCAAAGCAGAATATAATCTGCAATATGAACCAGTATATATGACCAAAAGGCAAATCTATGCCTTTGGCTGCACAGAAGATTGGGTCCTTTGACTGCATATTTTTTAAAAAAAAAGTTGTTTCATAACTTTTTTAAAAAATGAGTTTGAATCAAGTTAAATATTTACTTCTGGTTTTACAAAATTGTAGCTTTCAAAATAATTTGCCTTGACTTTCTGAAGGTGGAATTGTTCCAAGCTATATTCTGCAACTCTAAATTTATGACGACTTTGCATTGCAGATAACGTGTCTTTGACGTATTCAATTTAGTTCATTTTCATGGAGTGCCCAATATGGCATTTAAAATGCCTCATGTCAGCAGGATTTCTGCAGGTATCATTTGTTTATAGTTCACTTTGGCAGGCATGATCTTCTGTCTCCTGCAAAGTAGGCAATGCATCTTTCAAATAACTTGGATGAAATGAGATCCCGATTTAATTGTTATTAAAACTAGTCAGATTTAATTCATTAATGTTGATTGTGTAACTATGCAGGCATTTTGAGCGTTTCTAATCTTGTACATTGGCTGAAAGACTGCAAAGCCTCCCCCTGTAACTATTGTATCTGATGATTTGGAATGGATCCTGTACTTTTTGGATATATCCTTTATGCATTATCCATGTTTTTTATTTGTTTTCCTTTCTAGAGCATGCATTGATACCAGTGATTGTGGTGATCTCAGTAACTGTACAGTTCTCAGGAATTACAGAGAAGCCCATGAATATGCTCATTTGGGCAAGTCTGAAATGCTGAATTACTCTGTCAACGTGTATGATGATGGCAACACGCTTTGTATTGTTACCAATTCAGGTGAGGCTGTGACTAAATATTTTAGGGGAAAAGCATTCAGAATATCTGTCTTGTGTTACCAAGGGGAAAGTAAACAACACACCAGCTCAGTTGAAGACATCTTAAACATGCATTTTTTCCAACAGGATCTCACGGAACACATGTAGCTTCAATAGCTGCAGGACACTTCCCAGAGAATCCTGAAATGAATGGTTTAGCCCCTGGTGCACAATTATTGGCTATCAAGGTTGCTGATTCTAGATTAAACACCATGGAAACTGGGACGAGCATAATTCGAGCAGTAAGTGGAGCTTCTGATAATGAGCTTTGGAAGTTTGCAGCAGCAAATAATGAATTTTTGCTCCATACTTGCATTGTATTATAATGATGTTTATAGCTTTGATGGTCGGTATCTATATTGAAGTATTTTCTCTCTCCATTGGAGGATTGTTACCATTCTTTAATGTAACTTAAGTTTTATTCAGTGGGAAATAAAGTTTTGCCTTTATGCCAATTGCAAATAGCACTGATCTGTTTTTCAGCAAAATATTTGTAAGCTTATTTATCTTAAACTTTTCAGATGATCGAGGTGGTGAAGTACAAGTGTGATCTGGTGAATTACAGCTATGGTGAATCGGCTCATTGGAGCAATTCAGGGTAGGTAAAATGTCCACGACATTAGAAGCTTAACTGGATAACTGGCAGAAGTTTAAAGATCAGGTAACTCGGCTATTAAAAACATTTTAAGCACTCAAATATATATTTTTAAAGTTCTCAAGTGCTACTAAGAACTTTGAGACCTGAATATACAGTGGAACAGTGCTTTAGCTTCAGTGTAACAGCTGCAGCTTACCTAAAACAGTAGGATTTAGTTTACCTTATGATGCATACTGAAGTTGTCTTATCTACTTACTGTTGCAAGTAAGAACCATCAGGCCAGTAACCAGTTGTAATATCTTTGAGGCAAAGTTATGTACACATATGTAGCTGCTCAAGTTTAAGTAGACTGTTAAAATTCATTGGCATATTTGTTATGCTGATTGCTTATAGGAATTTTTTTTTAAAAATCGCAATTCCACAATCAGTGTTAATTTGCTGACATTGTCTAAAACTCGCCTATGAAGAATGGCGACTTAGAAGAATGGCCTGTCTGTGTTTGTCAAGCTGATTGAAGCAATGTCATCAAAAAAGGGAAGAAAATTGAGAAAGGGAAAAAAAAGGAATTGAGTCATTGGAACATTTCTTGCAATCGGCTGTGCATCAAGAACTCTGCGGGCCAATTTTAGACATAATTCTGGGAAATGAGTTCAGAGCAGATTCCAAGATTCGGAGAAATTTGTGAGCGGAGCACTATAAATAAATGTGACTGCTTTCATCTATGAGATTATCTATGTTATAGGTGGCAATTTTGCACCCTTGGTGCATTCAAGAATCCCTTTATTATGTGAAATTTAGCAACGGGCCCCTTTTTTCATCTGTCATTTAAGCCTTCTTGATGTGTTTAGTAGTAGTGTCATTGAAGTCTATAACTTTTCATTTCTGTAGTTTATTGCTTTATTCCGATATGTGAAATATTGCTTTTATTAGAAGCCACATTAGGGACTATTACAAAAGTGATAAACTACGGCTGATTTCATTTAGATAATTTCAATTATAATTTAATGGTAATTTTAAATAGCAATAATGGTTAGAATGGGTGAGGGAGTGGTGTTTACAGGTCTAACATAATGTGCATTGTTATTCACTTGTTCAGTTGAATTATTTGCTCCAATCTTCTGTTTAGGCGAATATCCAAGGTGATCAATGAAGCTGTTTGGAAGCACAATATTATCTTTGTGTCCAGTGCAGGCAACAATGGACCCTGTCTCTCCACTGTGGGGGCCCCTGGGGGTACTTTAGCTAGTATCATTGGTAGGTTCTTTTTTTAAACCATATTAAACCAGCAACAAAATGCAACCAACCACGTAATAAATAAGATTGAATTAAAATGCTGTTTTCCTAAGATAAATATTCTATTACTTGCATAGTGTGTAAATATCTGTCTGGAGAATATTTTAACCTGTTGATCTTGTGAAGATTATGGAGATTGTGGTTCCTACTACCCACAGGTTGAAACGATTTATGGTTCTAGAGCTTTGATAAATTTCCTGCTTGTTGTAGCACTGATTATTGAGAATATAATAATAATATTGAGAATCTTCTTTCCCCCCCCCCCAAAGAATAGCCTTGCTTAACTCAAGAGTAATTTTCCGCAAGTTTTCTAATGTATTACTTCCATGCAGGTATAAACCAAATGTTTAAAAATAAATTTGTGCAACCATATTTTGCTTTTCACTTTTCAGTTCTAATTTAATTAATTTCTGTGTTCCCATGTTTTCTCAATGGGTAAAAACACCATCCTTTGTTGTACTGATTTGTTAAAATTGGGAAAATGCCAGGATTCATTACTTGGTCTGTGTCAAGTAGCTGATGGTGGATAGGACCATTGTGGGACAGCTATAATTGTCATCGTCATCTCTGTGTGATGACATTAAAAATTAGCCAGTGTCCCTGTTCCCAGATGGATATCCAGTGAGGCTTGCTGCAAAGCATGCATCACAGACATCCATCCCTAAAGAGAAAAATCGGGTTCAGCTTTGATGCTCTTTTCCCTGTGGTTGCACAGCCTGCCGACATCGTTCGGGCCAACATGAACAAAAGTAATTTGAGTGGGGATTCAAAATACTGCCAACACATGGAATTTTACACTGGCAGGAGAACAGCTGCAGGGAGAGGGGGGGGGGAAGGAGAGAACTTACTGCTACAAATTCCATTTTTTAATATATATAAAAAATGACCATGTGGGAGCTAAGAAAACTGGAAGTGTGAGAGAAGTGCAAGATTTCTTTCAACCTGATGTTTTATGGTGTAAATGGGAGACGTTTAGAATCTGACCAGCAGCGCTGTTTACCTTGGAAGTTCTGCATTTGCAGAAGAGGAAATGTTTGAATTGTTCTGAACCCTATAGAGCTACTTGTTCATTGAACCAATAGCTGATACCAACTGAGCCTTGAAATAACATGTCTCTAAGAGACAGTGAGAAGAAAGTAAAATACTGGATTCTACAGGGAAATTTAATTATTTATGTGGAACTAAACATGAATACTCCTGTACACTTGTACTTGCTTTCTTGCGAATGTAAAACTTCTAAAACGACATAGTTTGTCTATTGAAAGTACAGAATCTACAGTTATGTTGAGAATGTTTCCAGCACTAATGTCCTTGACTGAATCCTTTAGGTGTTGGTGCATATGTTACTCCAGAGATGATGATTGCAGAGTACTCCATGCGGGAGAAATTGCCTGCCAATCCGTACACATGGTCATCAAGGGGACCTTGGTAAGAGGCAGTTTAAAGTTTCTTTTGTACTTGTTGTCCTTGCGGCATTGTGCTAAATATCATGGCTGGCGGTGTTACAGTAAAAGTGCTGACTAGGTAAGTGGTGCATTGGATTCAAAAAGGAAATAACACATTGCAGACTTCAGCACCAGGTTTCTTGATTGGGAAAGAAAATCACTTCTATATCAAAATAGCAATACTCCCAAGACATATGGGCCAACTCATTAAGCTAAAGTAAACCTTCAGTAGGGTCTACAAAATTTTGTGGGAAATATAATGCTGTTGATTTCTCCAAAACCCTACCTGAATACAATGAAAAATTGAAGAGCTTAATGTTTGCTGGAGACAGAATGCAAAAGAAGAAATAACTAGTTGACTGTTAGCATAACTCACCTCTAAGCTAGATGTTCTTGGATTCCCACTACATAGCTTTTGAAACAAGAGCTGAAAGCTCCTGAAAAATATTCTTTTAATTCACTAAAACATTTCAGTCTCCTGTTTGCCCGTCATTTAAATGAATTCCTCATCTTTCAAGTTCTCAATTTTTTTAATTCTCTCCACTTATTAATCTGATCTGTTCCTCTCATGGTTAGTATTTTAACTACTGCCCATTCCATATGAATCAATACTGTTGCTGTACGCTTGACTGCACTTGACAGCAGTTACCCGAGAAGCACTCTTGAGACGGGTCATTGTTGTATGCATTGTACTAAATGCAAGTATTATATCTTCATACATTTGTGTTCCCAGCAATATAATTGCAACTCTTCTGAGCTAACGTTTATCTTTGTTAGTATTGATGGAGCATTGGGAGTATGCATCACTGCACCAGGTGGCGCCATAGCATCTGTGCCCAACTGGACCCTATGTGGCAAGGAGCTAATGAATGGAACGTCTATGTCCTCTCCTAATGCTTGTGGAGGCATTGCGTTGGTCCTCTCAGGTACAGTAACACACCATGCTGAAAAATCTTACATTGGACAGACTGTAAAGAGGGATAGAGTAGGTATAAACAATTATAATTTAGTTTTAAATTATGTAAATCGGTTTCCTTTTATTTCCCTATTTGATCGGAAGGCCATCTGTCATTTTAACTGATTATCAGGCAGTCATTGAGCAGCGTAAACAAATACAAACCTGCATTTGTGTCTGCTTACAATTTTTGTGTGGAGCCACACATTTTGCATTGTTCAGTCAGTCTGTGCAGAATTCTGCCAGGAATTGAAATACAATTATACATTTGCTGCATTGCAAATAGTAACCTATATTGGTATGAGATGATCCGTGTTGCAGGTGGAATGAGTAATCCTGGGTAACTATCACATTCTGGTTGCACAGATCTGTCTTAAGGCCCAACAGTTGTCAAAAGTGAGCTTCTGCAATGTATCTTAAAAAATGACTTGCATCAATAGGAGTTGTAAGGAATTTTCTAACATGTGTCTGGAAAAGAGATGTGCCCCAAGACCGTTCTATTACTCCGTGCCATGCCACGTGCTTTGCCCCCTAAACCGTTGGGGCCATAAATGCCGTTTTTGTTCTGTTTTTCAGCAGACTACTTCTTCAACCAGTGTTCTCCCTTAAGTAAATTAAAAATGTCAAATTGATGCATAATTTAGCAATTTCAGTATTATCTGTATCTTGTGAGCACTTGTTGTAGTACGGTTATTGAGCAGAATTTCTCCCATGCTAAATTGATGCAATTCTGGCTAATTTTAGGCTTGGACCATGGATTATATTTAAAGAAAATGAAACATTGGCAAATTAAAAATACTCAGTCAAGCAAGTGGTGACTGGCTATTAATATTCATGTTTCTACATATTTCATAATCGTTAATTTTTTGGCAGTTTTTGTTATGTTTATGTTGATTGAAATGGGCACACTAAAGAGCTTTTGAGTTACTGGGAGTACAAATTACGTTTGAAAGTATTGTGTCCAATGGTTGTAGTCTATGTTCCTTTGATAAGTTGTATCAATCTGGACCATAACATTAATATTACTTATGTGAATCACTACCGATTCAATGCAGCCGGCTGGTAAGTGAGCAAACATCGACGGGTCATGATGCCATTTCTCGCAATTCAATGCAGCTGGTAAGTGTGGGAGTAATGGAGGATAGGGGAGCAATGTTATGATTTAGAAGGTGATTAATACCAGTACTGCAAAGAAATCTTAAGTGTTTTTACTTAACTGAATGGGATTTGGGTGAATTACGATTTAGGCGATTGTATGATTTTACAAAGATAACTGGTGCGAATTTTACTGTACTACAATAATATAGTAGCATTCCTACAATTGCATAAATTATATTTTAGGGTGTGACGTTATCTATTAAACATAGCTGGTCACATGGTTAACCAAAGTTTTTGTTTCACTACTTATTTTGGCTCTGTCCAGTTTGAAATGTTTTGAGATAGAATCTATGTTTTTGATGTTGAAGCCTAAACTTGTGCTCCTAACTCGTAGTGCTGCTCCCCTATCCTCCTTTACGCATAGCTGTCAAAACTTCTTGAGCCCAAGGTGTGTGTGTCTGTATGTATTAGTAATTTCATAGTTTCATTTATCTACCAAGATATATTCACTGCTGTTTTACCGTGGTCTATCTTGACCTGACCACTTTCAGTCCACAATTCTTCATTTGTCTTTCTCACATTTCCTGTAGGATTGAAAGCCAACGGCATTGCGTACACCATGCATTCAGTGCGCCGGGCACTCGAGAACACAGCTCTGAAAGTGGAAAATGTTGAAGTGTTTGCACAAGGCCATGGCATAATTCAGGTAAATGTTAAGTTTACTAATTGTCGGACATATGAATAATTTTAAATGCATCTTTCATTGTATGCTTACAAATGAGCATTCATGTTAGTCATAAGGATTGTCATGAAATTTGCTTTGCGAATTGAAACACATTTTCACTTGTCGAGTACACTCAGGTCAGTTATAGCACAGGTGAGATAAAGTAGAACATCCTGTCTTGGTGGCAATCTGCAAAACTATGACATTTTGTACGTACTCAAATCCAGTAAAGAAAAATCCAGTCAAATCCGGTTTGATTTGAATTCCTATCCCAGAGTTGAATAGGCCAGTGTTATAATACGCTGCACCATCTGTCCAATTTTATGCTTGTTTGATGATTTATTCAGTATGTCCTGTGTTACTTGTAAATTTATTTTCATCATTATCTTGATGATTGTTCACGATCCCTCACAATCTTGCCCCAGTTGGAATCTGTAAAGTTCATGAGAGCAATAAAAAGCGAGCGTGTGCATGCAGTAGTTATTGTGATGTACATTTGTATATATTTTTACTTTCACTAGAAGTACTGAAACAAAAACAAGAACTGTTCACTTACTGTACGCATCTGGGACTCTGCCCCAGGATAGGTTTCCTTGGTAACGTTTTTATTTTCATGAACAGATTGAAAAAGCCTATGATTATCTCACTCAACATGCCGCAGTGAAGAGCACAAGTTTAGGCTTCAACATCAAAATAAGTCAATGGCGTGGAATCTACCTCAGGGAGCCTGCATATTTGTCTGTACCGATCGACTTGTGTGTCTGTGTGGAGCCAGTTTTTCCTGAGAATACAGGTACAGAAAAAATGCAAGCCCAAATTCACTGGCAAATGTTTTATGTTGTAGCCTGAGGACAACAAAACCAAATGGGGTATCATAGTAACAGCTTGAATTGAGTAACTGGCATTTTTCTGTTTGTTTTTAATCATTGTTTTTTTTTCAGCCAAATTTACACTGTTTTCCAAATCTAAATTTCACAAGATAGTTTTTACATGTATCCTTGAAAAAAACTTCTATAATCAGTTTATGTAGCAAAATGTTCCAACACACGTTTTAATTTTTTTAAGCAAAGGATAATTAATTTTCTCTCTTTCTGTTCTGTGCCCAGCATCTGTTCAATGCCGCAATCGAATTATTGATTCTTTGAAATTTGTGTTGAAATATTGGTGAATCTGTGAATATTGGCCCTCTCAGTCCGTAGTCTACAGTGGCTCAAACAAATTGCGTTCACGTTGTTGCAGTTGTGAGTTATTACAGACCGGCAAATCTCAGCTGGATGTGAATATTTTTTATCCATTCTCATTGAGAACCCTCATTGCTCTCTCGTACCTCCTGGTGCTTGAAATGAAGGCAGCACTGACAGGTTGATAATTACATGCTTGACTCAGCTCTTGCCTGGTAAATGGCGTGGTCCAGGCTAGGCTTTGAAATTAAAAGAAATGGGACTTGAAAGTATACACCAACTGAAGAAAGATTAAGTGAGGGAGGATAACCAGGGTGACAGGATATTAAAAATGTATTTTGTAAAGGGGTGGTGAAGCGCAATAGAATAATAATTACTGATTTTTAATATGACTAATAAAGTGGCCAGAATGGACAATGGAAAGGGGAGGTTATGTAAGAACGGTGTTCTGTAGTTGCGAGCTGTTCAGGGTGTGGAAGTACAATTTATGTTTGAGTCCCTGCCTCCCGTTTGCCTCTGTATCTATTGCTTCCTGCCTCTGTTCCCTTCTCCACTTTCCCATGAAGTTGTGGATTAATTCTCTGTGGATGTTTTAGTCTGTAGTTATGTGTCACTGTCTGTATTTCTTATCTGTCTTTCTCTGTGAAATTTTCCCTCTCCCTTTTGCGCACAGTCACCCACACTCCTCTGTTCAAGTGTGGATCCTTTAAATTGAAGTCATATTATTGAACAAATGTCTTGAGTAGCAACTCTATCTGGCAATATTTTCCTGAGCCATATTTTCCTGTGTGTAAACCTCTGGAGAAATTGCACCTTTAAGATATTCTTGAGACGTATTAAAGGATTTGTCAGATAGAAGTCGTAGTATGCAGCTTGATATATGAAAGTTTATTGCAATAAAAATGTTGAATGTTTAAATTCAACCAAATGTTGCTGTCTGAAAAGTGTTGATGTAGTCAATCATTTCACAGATTAGTATAAAGCAGTGTTGTGTTCTCCTGAATTATTATACATTTTATTTTAAATTCACAGAAAACAACGAGAAGATTGCCCTGCAGTTGCACTGTGCTTTGACTTGTAATGCATCATGGGTGCACATACCTTCCCATCTGGAGCTGATGAATCAAAGCAGGCAGGTAACAGTCCGGGTCGATGCTCGTGGACTCAAGGAAGGACTGCACTACACTGAGGTTCATCTCTGATTTATTTCTACAAATTGATGATAATAATAATTATAATAATGATCATTGCATTTGACATAGCACCTTTAAATTAATTGATGCTTTATTCTTAACACATTAAGTGAGAGGTATTTGTAACCCAGTGCTATTTCTGTTTTGGGGTTTAGAGTGTGATAATTTCTGTTTGTGAGCAAATCTTGAAGTACCCTGGAGAAATAACATAATTGAAAAAGTTCAGATGATTAAATTATGAACCTGGTTGGCATGTCTCTCAGGTATTTTGTCAGTACTAACTCTGTCCAGATGGAGGGTGTGTATGCACAGCCTAGAAACCAACCCCAAGTTGTTCCAGCTTGCACTGAATAATTTTTAAGCTCCGTTGAATTTGAAAGAATCCCTTGATTCCAAGTTTTTTTTATATAAACTTCCTTTCTCCATCTCACTACAGATTCTTGGTTACGATACAACAGCAACTGGTGCGGGACCAGTGTTCCGGATTCCAGTTACAGTCATTATTCCATCAAGGTTAGTGAAAACAAATCTATTATTTATGTAGTCTGTATTGTAACTTGCAAGGGGTTCGTCAGGAAGCAGGAGGACCACAGCTGGCTCGAAGGGAAGGTACAAGAACAGGGCGAGACATCGGTAATTGGTTCTTTGAATCTTGGAGGCATAGTTGGGTGCAAAAGAATTCCAGGAGAATGGCTGCAAGCAAGCAGTGACCTTACTAAATGCCAGAAGGAACAGTAAACTCCAGCCACAGTGTCAGTTAGTCAACAAAATGGGTCAGTCCAACAAACCAGTATGGGAAGCTTGTTTTTCTCTCATCCTCTTTATATTCTTCATGTTCAAATGTTTGGCCAGTTCCCATTAAATGTTATAGTCTCTGCCTCAGCCAATGTTCACTGTTGATTAGAGCATAGGTTGGAAGAGGTAAAACAAAAAATAATGCCCAGAACAAAAAGCAATTTTGATGTCATTCTAAGTGCTCTAGATTTTCATTTTTGCATTTAATGGAATTGTTTTAAATGTTATCTGTGTGCACAGAGTAGGTGAAGCTTCGGAATACAAAAGTGAACATAAAAATGTGAACTTCAGGCCAGGAGAGATGAAACGGCACTTTATTGAAGTACCCCATGGAGCTACATGGGCTGGTAGGTATTGGAGTTGATTGTGTAAGTAAGCTTGAGAGTATTATTACAAATCTGCATAATATACAAATATCAACAGATGGAAGAGGTGCAGAAAGTGTCATAATTTTATTTTGTTCATGAAAAGCTGGTGAGAGAAATGGAGAAGTTTGATATTGTGTCAATCTAATTGAATAAGTAACTTGCTTATGTCTAAATATACAGATTTAGTTAAATATTAAATTCCATTTACTTAAACTCCTCCAAGTAATCATCATCCCCACAGTCTTAAATATGTGTGAGGACTGAACTGATTAGATTCACCACTTTCCTTTGGGCAGTTTTTGCCAAAGATAGGATAATTTGGGAATTTTTTAACTTCCAACTCTATAAGACACATTTGTTAGACAATAAAATGAAATCACTTCACTTACAGTGGAACTCTGGGGCAGTTTGTCCCACTTCCAAGTGAGGAACCATTTTGTCCTCCAAAGCATGATTTGGTTTCTAGAGTGAACATAGTGGAGGGATAATAATCTCACTTTCAACCTTTTGCAGAGATAAACATGGTTTCAAAGTCAGAAGATAAAACATCAGAATTTGTTGTTCATGCCATTCAATTACAAAAACAAAAGGCTTTCCGAGTTCATGAGTTCTACAAACACTTGTACCTTTCAGAAAAGGCTTCCCTTCGTGATGCCTTTCCAGTCATTGTGAGTACTGCTTAAAAAAAAGATTTAGTCTTTTCAATGAAACTGAGCAGGTAGCAACATTTCTATTGCCTGTTGTTACCACATGTAACATGGATGACATTTTATAGCACATTTGTTTAATATAAGACTCGAATTAAATGGGTACTGTGCATTTGCCAAAAAATATTTGATTTCAGTGGTGAGTTTTAGTCAAATTATAATTTGTCCAGTTATTAATTTGTGATGTACGTTAATTCCAGGAGGTTTTCTGCCTGTTCAGCCTTTTCCTAACCTATCACTCTCCTCCCACCTCATCCCACGTCTCTTTAGCCTTGTTGGGAATATTCTCATCCCATTCACAGACCATCTGTGACATCCAAAACCTCAAATAATTCCCTTTTAGGATCTTACAAATCTTAAGATTAGAAGCTATGTGATTGAATACTGATTTCTCTCTGACTTCAATACATGTCTGAGAATGTTTGTTATAAATGTGCCCTTTCCTGTAGCAACTAAATATGTTCAATGTCAGTAAGATGCTATTGTATCTTTGTAATTCTCTGCAGGCAGGGAAGACTATTGAAATTTGTATTGCCCGTTGGTGGTCTAGCCTGGATGATGTTGAAATTGACTATTGCATTTCATTCCAAGGACTGAGCTGTAATAGTGATACTTTACATATTGTAAGTATTTGTTTTTTTCCCCCCAATTCTATGTGTTATTCTGTGATGCTCAAAGTTGATTGTAGTTATCAAAATCTTTGAATTGAATATATCAAAGATGCTTAAATGCCATTCGGTGCTACAATGCATATGAACTGAAGTGAGGCCGATTGCGACATTGTATTTGTCCTGTATCAATCTACATTTGTGGTTTACTTATTGTGTTCCTTTTTTTATCTAAAATTTGCAGACAAACAGTTGAACATTCACATGAAACATTTTACCTTGTTTTGTAATAGAAGCAAATGTTAAAAGTCTTATCAGAAATCGCTTTTTTTTCAATCTTAAACAAGTGATGTTTTCTGTAAGGATAGCACAGAGACTCCTTAGACTCCATATATTCCAGCAGTCAAATGCTTTGTGATCTCTAAATTGGTGATTCATGTTTGGAACTCTTGATCACTGTTTAATTCAGAATCAATTTTGCTTACAAAGGCACTTTCTAACCACAACAACAAGATTCCATTTATAGAGCGCCTTTCACGTCAGGAGGACGTCCCAAGGCGCTGTACAGTTGGGTCAGGACCCGAGCAGGGGGGAAATGGTCAGGGTGAGGGGAAGGGAGGGAGCGAGGAGGGGGTAGAGAGTCGAGAGGGGAGCCGAAGGCTCGGTCAAGAGAAAGGTCTTGAGACCGGCCTTGAAGGAGGAAAGTGAGGAGGCAAGGCAAAGGCACTGGGGGATGGAGTTCCAAAGCCTAGGGGCTGAGAGCTGAAGGCCCAGCCACCGATGGTAGGGCGGTTGGGGCGGGGGATGTGGAGCAGACCGAAGCCAGAGGAACGGATGGTAGGGGCAGGTAGGTAGGGGGATCGTAGGTCAGAGAGGTAGGAGGGAGCAAGGCCGTGAATGGCCTTATCGAGCTTATGAGGATCCTTCATGACAAAAATGTACTGTTGAGAATGGGATTGACTTATTACGATTCTCCCAAGGAGAATAGATAGAGAGAGAGAGCAAGAGAAGAACATTTTAAATCTTAGAAATGGCATGCCCCCAGAAAGAGAGAAAAAACTGAGAGCTAGAAATGTGAAATACAGAAAATGCTGCAATGATACGACAAATCAATCAGCATCTGAACAAGGATAATGGGACAATGCTTTGGTTGGCACCTTCCATTTATCTTGACCCAATGCATGAAACTCAAGCCTTTCATAGTCTTCTCGTATTTCTCTATTTTAAAATTCGGTGATGTAAATTGACTGTACAGTTAACTGGAATTTATACTGGCTCTGTCTGTTATTCTCTTCAGCATGCCTCTGAAGGTGTTGTGAGGTTTGATGCCACCGCTTCACTGAAATATGAGGAGCTCTCCCCTGCCTTAACTCTGAAAAATTGGGTCCAGACTCTCCGGTAATACAAATTTAATTGTAAATAAATTTTAGTGAGAGAATGTTTCATATTTTGAACTTGGTGCAAATTTTAATGTGCCAATAATGGGATCATACCCCTTCATTTTTCTTCGACGATATCAAGTCAGATGTACTTGGATTGCCTTTGAAATGCATCTAACAATTAAAGTAAAAGTGCTAATTATTAAAAGGGTGTTCCTCTCTTTTGCAGGCCTGTGGAAGCCAAAACTAGACCGTTAGGATCACGTGATGTTTTGCCACATAACAGACATCTGTACGAACTAGTGCTGACTTACAGCTTCAATCAGGTAACTGACCACAATGCAGCTCCAGTTAATCATTCAAAATTCTCCTTTGATATTCCTTATCAGCATTATTCTACCAATTAGAATTATATGATCTTCTGTAGCTATGAAGTTAGCTGAGCTCAGACTTGGCAGCTCAAATTTCCACAGGTAGTAACTACCTGCTTCACACAGTCTGAGAAGTGTGAGGTAGAAAAAATACAAAGCTAAACTTTACATCTGTTAAAATACCTTTTTATTCCAGATAGTATACTATTTGCACCATTGTAATGCTTCCGATTGCAAAACCCAAATGAAATAGAATGTAATGTATGAATGAAGTAGAATTGAATGATATGAATATAATTACTGTTGTGATATAATTACAAATGAAATGAAAATATTTCATTTGTAATTTTATTCTTACAGTATAACCTACAAAAGAAAGTAGTTTAAAGTTCTGTGCCATATCTTTTTGTGTTGCCTCAGGCTAAGAGTGGAGATGTAACTCTCAGCTGCCCCTTGCTGTGTGACTTGCTGTATGAATCGGAATATGACAGTCAGCTTTGGATGCTCTTTGATCAAAATAAGAGGATGATTGGAGCAGGCGATGCTTATCCTGACAGGGTAAGAACACAGCTTATGGAATGTAGCTGCTCGATCTAATTTAAATGGACCTGAATGTGAATTGCCAATTATGATGAAGTTGGTTTGTGGCAGATGATTGTGTTGACAACGAAACTTTTCCCAAACTTCCTATTCAAAACCAGATACCAGCAGGTGAAGAGAAGTGCTCTCCAAGAGAAAAGGAGTTAACATTGTCTGTTAATTGTCTTGAATTTCAGCAATCTGTAAATTTCTCAGTTTTATAAACAAACTCACTTGCATCAAACAATACGATGTTCTAACATGGACTCTGCATGAGTGCTATCCAAGGTTTATGTTCCATCACTAAAAGGAAACCCAATTCTTGTTTGATTTGGATGTGCTATTCCTTTTGTCAAAATAAGCCTTTTTGTTACATGCAGTCTGCTTTCTTTGCAGTATCCCTTGAAACTGGAGAAAGGGGAGTATATAATTCGCCTACAGATTCGTCATGAAGGGCTCAGTGAGTTAGAGCCTTTGACAGACCTGCCTTTCCACATCAGTCGCAAGCTCCCAGCGCCACTGTCTGTGGATATCTATAGGACACATGCCAATGCTCTTCTGGGCAAGAGCAAGTTTGGCTGTCTCACACTTCCACCAAAATTCACCGTTCCTTTCTTCGTCACTTCACTGCCAGATGACAAGTAAGTGTTACAGTGTTACACATTATAGAACCAACGAAAAAAGAGGAAACAGCAGATTTACCTGATGTTTCTGGGGCCCAACTGTGTTCTCAGTTCAGTTAAAATTGGTTCAAGTTAATTCTTTGTGAAGACTGATTGATATACAGTGGAGATGAGCCAACCTGTTGAACTATGGAGATGAGCCAATAAGGTACAAACTTTTTTTTTATTCAGAAACTAGTTGAAGAAACCTTAGTGCAGGGCACCACCAAGTTTGAAAAGAGTAGCAGAAAATCAAGATGAGTGAAGAAGAAGTGGTTAGGTGATGCAAAGCTTGGACTTTCAAAGCCTGTAGATGGCGCAAGAGAGGAAAATCCGAGAGGTAATAAGTTCCATAACTTTTAGATCCGGGGAAAGATTGAGATATATTAAGAGACAGTGAGCTGAGTTTGATTTCAATACATGAGGATGCATGAAGAGAGAGGAGGAAGAGTGTGATTTAATGTATGAAAATGTTGCTCGTGGCAAGTGTGCTGTATATGACTGATAACATAAATTTATCTTTCTTCTCTAGAGTTCCCAAAGGTATTGAGATTGGATGCTATCTTAAAGGAGCTCTCACACTTTCCAAAACTGAAATGGGCAAGAAAGCTGTAAGTCCTACATAGTGAAAAATGGACTGCTTTACTGTGCCAACACTGTTACTGCTGCAGATATGTAATGTGCAGACCCTTTACTCTCAGCCAGGGAAAAGGCTCGATTGAAATATCAGAAATCGGGACATCACCCCCATGCCAACTTATCTTCCTTTGTATCATAGAGAGCTAATGGTAATTATGTTTATGAAGTATAACAACAACAACTTGGATTTATATAGTGCCCTCCACGCCGAATGGCGTCTCAGAGCGCTTTACAGTAACGGATCCCGGGATTGAGCCAGGGGGAGAGGGAGGCAGGTGACCAAAGGCGCAGTCGAAAAGAAAGGTCTTCAGCAGAGATCTGAAAATGGGAAGAGAGGGAGCGAGACGAAGGGAGTGAGGAAGGCAGTTCCAGAGCCTCGGGGCATAGTGGCTGAAAGCACGGTTGCCGAGGGTGGAGCGGAGGACTCGGGGGACGAGGATGAGGCCGGACCCAGAGGAACGAAGGCAGCGGGTACTGTTTTGAGGAGAGAGGAGGTCAGAGAGGTAGGGGGGTGCAGAGGAGTGCAGGGACTTGAATACAAGGGTGAGGATCTTGAAATCGAGTAGCATTTAATGAAGTTAAAACATTTTTATTACAAACTGATTTACAGATAATAGCATTCCATTTGCTTATGAATATCTTATAAATAATAGCCACAACCTATTTACTTTTTCTTTAATAGTTCCACACAATGTTCCACCCAACAAATGCATGTTGGTGAAAGGTCTCTAAAACAAACAAAACTGCTTGAATTGGGATGACAAGAATGAGCTACGGTGTATTGACACTTTAACATATTGTTTTGGTTATTGTGGAGAAGAGCGTCAGTGGCACAGAACACTGTTCTTGCACCTCAAGGAACTAAGTTGAAACCCAGCCCAGAATCAATGGGTGAGATGTCTCCCGTCACCTGCTGCTAACTTATGTGAACAAAGTAGGTTTGTGCAGTTGGAGTCCAACTCCCACTGGATACAAACCCACAGCATATGCTTAGAATGGCCCTATGTGACAACTGATGTGGATACTGTGCCAGTGTTAGTCAGGGAAGGGAAGGGTTTTGTAAGGCTGAGTTAATGAGCCACTCAGGCAGATCTGTGTTTTACCGCACAGTCCACACTGCATTTATCCATCATGAACTTGGATCTAATGCATTTCATCAGTATCATTAGATTGTGTTGTCAACATACTCTTATTGTTTCATTTTCAATAGGAGATTGCAAGTAAGAAATGGGACAGGCAGCCATTATTGCCATTTTATAAGTAATGCTACAACTGACTATTTCAAGGCTCTCAATAGCCTTTCCCTCTCCGACCCTCTAACCCCTTATCAACCTGTCCTCTCAGAAGTCTCCAGCCTGCTCCACTTTCCCCACCCCACCATCGGTGATCAGGGCTTCAGCCTCTCTGCCCCCACTCTCTGGAATTCCATCCCACATTCCCTTCACCTCGCTCCCTCCCTTGTCTCCTTCAAGGCTTGCCTCAAGACCCTCCTCTTCGGCCACAACCCCCCCCCCCACTCGGGTCCTAATCCCTGACTGTTCAGCACGTTGGGGACATAAAAGGTGCTTTACAAATGTAATTTTGTATTGTATTTATTACAGCCAGTACCTTTCACATTACAGACTTCTGTACGTCAGGTGACTGTAGTTCTGGTATTCCACATATGATGTGTAATATTTGACCTCAGACAGGTGGGTGAAAGGGGAGCAGGAGGACTGACCTATTTTGTTTGTTTGCTGTTGTCTGTAAGCTTACTGCAGGAACATCATATGTTTGCTGTTTTTTGTTTCATTGCGGAGTTTTGCATGAAATTGAAATGGAAAATCCAACTTTGTTTTCTAACTCAGTTCCAATTCTGTCCTCTGATCCACCTCAGCACAGCATCCATCTCTTTTTAAAAAAATATGGTAAATGTATTGTGCAACAGATAAAGATGAATGTAATATCCTGCTGAGCCTTGGATTAATTATCTCTGTCAGTGTCTGTTAGGTGACCCAGTAACTCCAGCAGTGCAATGTTGGACCCAGTCTCTTCAAACCCAAAGCTAGGAATAAATGCACACATCTGCTGCATGTCCACGCTATTTCAGCCAGCTGTAAGCCTGTGTCCTTCTATATGGAGGCCAAGTTTGATCACTCCCTCTCCATGCCGATTGTTGGTTGCTCTCGGTACACAAGATGTCCAAATTTGTAGATACTACAAATACTACCTCAAGGCTGGACTATGGGAACTCTCTCCTTGCCGGCCTTCCCGGCACCTCCCTCCACAAGCTGCAGGTCATTCAGAACTCTGCAGCTCGTGTACTGTCCCGCACCAGGCTTTGGGAACACATCACTCCCACCCTCGCTCGCCTCCACTGGCTCCCCATCTCCCAGAGGATCGAATTCAAGATCCTCACCCTCACCTACAAGGCCATTCATGGCCTCGCTCCCTCCTACCTCTCCGACCTACTATCCCCCTACCTACCCGCCCGTACCCTCCGTTCCTCTGGCTCTGGTCTGCTCCACATCCCCCGCCCCAACCGCCCTACTATCGATGGCCGGGCCTTCAGCCCCCCTCTCGACTCTCTACCCCTTCCTCGCTCCCTCCCTTCCCTCCCCCTGACCATTTCCCCCCTGCTCGGGTCCTGACCGAACTGTACAGCGCCTTGGGACATCCTCCCGACTTGAAAGGCGCTCAATAAATGGAATCTTGTTGTTGTTGTTGTTGTTGTACTATGTCATAAAATAATGTTAGGAGACAGACATGTCTGTTTTGAACATTGGAGAATGGAGTATATTGAGGGAGTGAAGTTGTGGCCCTCCTGATTGGCTCGCGTCAGCGCATCCGCACTTCAGGCACTGACAGCATCAGCATCCAAGGCTGCACTCTCCCACCTCTCAAAGCCAGTCAGGAACCTCGGTGTTCTGTTCGACCCTGAGCTGTCTTTTCTTCCTCATATCCGCGCCACAACTGGCACCGCCTTCCATCACCTCCGAAACATCGCCAGACTATGGCACTACCTCACCCCTCACGCTGCTGAAACTGGTCCACGCCTTTATCACCTCAAGGCTGGACTATGGGAACTCTTCTCGCCGGCCTTCCCGGCACCTCCCTCCACAAGCTGTAGGTCATTCAGAACTCTGCAGCTCGTGTTCTGTCCCGCACCAGGCTTCGCGACCACATCACTCCCACCCTCGCTCGCCTCCACTGGCTCCCCATCCCCCAGAGGATCGAATTCAAGATCCTCATCCTCACCTACAAGGCCATTCACGGCCTTGCTCCCTCCTACCTCTCCGACCTACTATCCCCCTACTTACCTGCCCGTACCCTCCGTTCCTCTGGCTCCGGTCTGCTCCACATCCCCACCCCAACCGCCCTACCATCGGTGGCCGGGCCTTCAGCCTCTCAGCCTCTAGGCTCTGGAACTCCATCCCCCAGTGCCTTCGCCGCCTCCTCCCTTTCCTCCTTCAAGGCCGGTCTCAAGACCTTTCTCTTTGACCGTGCCTTCAGCTCCCCTCTCGACTCTCTACCCCCTCCTCGCTCCCTCCCTTCCCTCACCCTGACCATTTGCCCCCTGCTCGGGTCCTGACCCAACTGTCCAGCGCCTTGGACGTCCTCCCGACGTGAAAGGCGCTCTATAAATGGAATCTTCTTGTTGTTGTTAATAGAAAAGCTCACCTTGTGTGTGTCGATGAATCACTGTATGAATGATACACAGATGAACAACGGGATAATTCAGTTTCTATTCAGGATTCATTCTTATAGGTTAGAGATGAGGAAGAGATCCTGTTAGTAAACAGTTCATGGTTTGTTAGCCAAGCAGCTTCCAAGAATGTAACACGCTACTGTGTCCACCTGAATGCCTGTGTCAGCCTTGCTTTTTTTTAAAAATTTTTGTGCTTGTTGAAGTGGAGGATTACTCCACTGGGTAATGAAGCATTTTCTTCATTTATGCAACCAGTGACTGAATAAGTACTTTGAATTATGCACAGCACAGGATTGTATAATGTAGAGCTTGACTATCAATGATCCTCAAGATCCAGAGTCTGAAGAATACCCTTATTCAATCTTTGTGCTGGATTAGGTGTAATGATATTATAGTGTAAATCTTCAATACGACCCAGATAAGATGGCCTGAAAAAGAGAGGCAGTTGTACAACCATTTGTCTAAAGCATACTTTGGATAGACTACTGGAGTTGTGCAGATATTGCCAAATATTAAAATAATCCTGCAGTATTAACTTAATACTATGGTGTACTTTACAAAAGATATTAAATATATTTTGAGGTATGCTTTGTATAATACTTAGCTCTTTTTAGTAGATCAGATGTTGGTTTGTCACACTGGTAAACATTCTGCAATTTGTTTGCTTTCAGAGTGTGCTCACTGTACACTACTATATGGTGTCATCCCCAAACAAGATGAAGAATGGAAATAAAGAAAAGGCAAGCAGAGATAAAGAGAAGGATCCAAAGGAGGCATTTGATGAAGCTATGAGAGATCTCAAGATACAGTGGTTACCAAAGTACATAACATCAATTCAGTTAATATAGGACATGCAATTCAATTGAGAATAGCTGGACAGCAACCGAGACTACCGATAACTTTAAAACCTATGTCAAGTCAGTGTGTAATCGAGAGTTTGAATGTTAGCTTTCAGAATTCCATTTAATGTCCATGTGGGAACATGTGTTACTGTTACACAACATGTAATCAAATTTTATGAGAAGTTCACATTATTTCCTGTTTGACCCCTCTTTTTTGCAAACCCTTTTCGTTGCCTTTTAAGGCAACACACTCAAAATATACCACACCTTCAGCTGCTGTCTTTAAAGAAATTAGCACAAATTGAGAGAAATGGTTAACTGTGCTGATGGCTTCCTTTCTGTTTTCATTTTCCCCTTTTCTATCATTTTCCAGCCTTCTGAATGAGTAAACAATAGGAATCATTTTCTACAACAAATTCCCTGCTAATCACAGTATTTCCGTTGAACTCTGACAAATTGAGGATGTCCTCTGAATGTGAACCTTTCAGAAACAGTGCAGTATGTTTAGTCTAATTACATTGGATTAACATTGTTCTTAACCCTATTGAATTTTGATTTTTTTCTATTACAGACTGGATCAAGGTTATCTATATGACGAATTGGTTTCTGTCCATCCTGAACATTTACCTGTACATGTTGCTTACCTTGCTTACTTGGATTCAGAAAAGGTGTGCTCTTGAAGAAATTATATTTTATTGCGTTAATGAGTAGAATAAACAGCCTTGACATTTTCATAATGCTTTTTTGTATATCCCACATTATGTTTCACTTATTTAGTGAAAGAAATTTCTCAAAGGTGCAACCATACCAAATTACTCTTGATTCCTTACTTTTTGACCTTAGATGACTAGCTCAACTTATTTTAGTATCTTTATTTTAGACTGTTTTCGGAAATTGTATGCCCCGAAGTACCTGCTACAATAACAGCATTAGCAGATGCCTGGGAGCAGGTTGTCTGAGTTTATTGTTTAGTAGGGAAATGGTGTGTGGAATCATTTTAATTATTGTTGATATCAGCATTTGACCATTTTGATTACTTATATGGAAGTACTTTTCATTTTGATGGAGCAGTGCATGTCTCCTCTTAGGCTTTGCATAATTCTTTAAAACTTGCCTGTGAATTGTAATAGTTTACATCTGCTTCTTAGAAAAGAAAAAGTTTAGATGACATTATTCAAGCAGCTGAACGAGTTATATCCTACATTGATCAAACTGCCCTGGTGACCCACCTGGCTTTGAAGACGGACTCTAGGCCTGATGCTGCTTCTATCAAAAGGTAAGTGGAAGGAAGCTTTTCATTAAAGTTTTACTGGTTCTTGATATTTAAAGCATTTGGCTTTGCATTGTATACGTTGGTCTTCTAACTAGCAGTATTAGGGGCCACATTTGCTACTGTCTGTTGAAAGTTCCTTATAATCTATAAGCTCAGTATTCTCCATTTCTTTTGCACTTGCGATTTTTCCATATGGAAACCTCTCACCTTTCTGACATTTATTATCCCCAAATTACTTTATTCCCTCTATATTTTACGGTTTCAACCAGGGGTACAGAATTACTAAGTTGGTCTGCAGTAAAATGTTTAGACTTTGATCCAGTCAGTTCATCTCTTTCACTTAACTTTTGTTTCTTTGGGAATTTTGTAACATTTGTAAAGAACGTTGTTTCTAGAAGTGATCAGATATCAACAGCAACCAGTGAAGGCACTGTTAATATGTTTGACTATACAGAAACCTTTTGCACTGTGACACAAAAACATGTTACAGGCCAGTCAGTCACCCATAATTAGAACAAAGCTTTTGAGTTCCTCTTTTAAAGCAGTTACTTCAGTTTGTTCTGTAACTGAGATTATGCTGACCCTTCTGCTTTCAGTGAGATGGAAAAACAGAAATCTGCTCTGATTGATGCTCTCTGTCACAAAGGCTGTGCACTCGCTGATAAACTTCTCAATCTCCAGTCACAAGAATCTACTGAGGATGATTCAGAGGAAGTTTACAAGAATCTCACAGAGAGTTTCTATGATATACAGAAATGGATAGATATCACAGACTGTAAGGTAATTACATTTATTAATATTGATTATATAATTAGATTAAATTATTTGGCTTTGGATCATGGCAGAAAGTTTCTGTGTGTCACTCTATATGATAAAACAGCGATGAAATATCAGTATATGTGTGTTATTTAAGGGTTATTACATTAGTAAGAATATTTCTTACAGAAACATTTTTATGCTCTATGAAAGTGTGTTGATTCTGATCCTTCTGACTTATGCTGGGTCATATAAACTAACTGGGTATGACTAGAACAGAATCAAAGTTAGGTTTTATTAGTTTATATTTCATCCTAAGGAGCCACCATTTTCTTGGTTAGAAATGTAAAGTGTTCATGTGTAATTTGGTGGCAAATTATATTTTAATATAATTTCACTGTGGTTCTTCTATTGTATTCACATGCCTTCTATGACATTGCAATGCCAACATTACTTACTAGCAAGTATGTTTGTCCATTCTCAGGCATTAACATTTGCTTACAAGCATGCTTTGGTGAAGCAAACATATGGACGCGCCTTGATGTTTGCGTTCAAAATTGTTGAAAATAAGCCAACTCAAGAAAATGCAAGGAATTGTATTCAGGTTTGTTTGAGCTTCCCTTTTACCACATATGAACAATGATAATAATAAAATCTAGTCAACTTTAGTGTGGAATAATTGTTGAGCAGTAGATTTATAGATGTGTACTCCACAGATAAGCATATTACTCGATGTAATAGGAAAAAAATATTAAGGCATCTCAGAAAATGTAAATTCTAATCCTTGTGTACTGAAGTGAACGATTTCTTCCTCTAATTGTGATTCTGGTGTCCAGTTCATTGGCAAGTTTAGAATTACTAGTTTATATTTCTAAAATGATTAAATAAGCGCATTTTCATGAGTCAAAAAAGATTGTGCAATAATATCAATCTTCAGTATGTACTCTTATTTTTAGGAATGAAAATGTCAGAATGAAATAGTTAATACAACATGGAGTGGGAAAGATACAAATGTGTCTAAAATGTGTATCTGCAACATTATTTTGTGTAGAATTTGTAAATATTGAATCCTGCTCAAAACTCGAAGTATGTCAAGATTACCCATGAGAACTCCACTCTCCCAATCTCCTGATTTACTTCTATTTAAGTTTCAGTGCATCTTTTCCAACAATGAAACGGTCAGGTTCAAGAATGTTAGATATTTTTATGCTAAGCATGAATTTGCAATACATTTTTTATGTCTGTGGGTCAAGAAATATGCTGTTTAATTAAATTAGCTGCAACAAAAATGCAACCAAATGTTTCATTGTTTACTGATCTGATCTCTTGCAGTTGATGAAAACCCTTGGATGGATACACTGTGCCTCATTCGCAGAAAACTCTCTGTTAGTGATGCATCCGCCGGATTATGTTCCTTTTTAACTTGATCGTCAGTGAAATAAAGAGTCTCCATGTGCTTGTTAATCAGGATTCAAACTGCCATGTACCTAAAAATTGGGTTCAGCATTATCTGGGTTTTGTTGTACTTCAGCTAGTCATTTTCATCAAAAAATTCACAACTCGTGGAAACTTCAGACTACAATAGACTAGACTTTGCCATTATGTTAATCCAATCACTTTCTGTTAGATAAACTTTTTGCAAAAGAACAATTCGTTTCAACTACAAAAATTTGCAGTCGTATCTCAGCCTATGGGGTTTTGTTTGTATTTGTTGTCTTTAAATTGCAAATACTAGAAGGTTTTAATTTATTGACCTGTTTTAATTTAAATAATTCCATCCCTCTTTGGATCTCCCACTGACATTCCTCTTTCAACTAGCAGAGAGCACTGCCTGGGGCTCAAACTTGTTTTATATGTAGGTTGTGTTAAGTGGGAGTCCATTTTCAGCTATTGATTGACAATTCCATAGCTGAGAAGCCAGTAGAATCATTACCTTACCTCTTCAACTGAAATTTCCTGCTACAGAATAAATTTCTTGATTTTTCCCTTTGAAAAAAATAGCAAAAGTAAATGTTGGCCAAGTGTATGATTCAAACTCTGGAGCTTGCCAATTCTGAGTCCAGTACAAATTTGCTGTCGTTTAAAACTACCCATTTTTTAAAAAATGCCTCATCTTCTTTGTAGTCCCCTCTTTTGCATTTACTACCTTCAGCACATTACTATGTAACCTCAAACACCTATTGTGAGTTAGTCACGATTACTGGATGCAGACTTCATTTTATAAAAATGCAAGTTCTTCAAGACCAGAATTGTTTTTCAATAAGTCTTTTCCTAGAAATGTAAGTATGCTTTACTGTTTAAGTTATCCACTTAGAAGCCCGGCTGATATCTGACAAAACTCAACACCCAGGAACCAGCCGACTCAAGAATCAGTCAGTTCTGAAACTCTTCCATGTGCTAAAGAATGTAAACCAAGTGTCTAAAGTGCAATTCTACCAGGCATGCTGACAATTATTTTGTATGTTTTGTTAGTAAATGATGGTTTTAATATGATCAGTTTGTGGTACATGTTGCTTTTATGTATTGAGCTGCAGTGATTGCTTTATTTACATTATTATTTCAGGTTTTTTTTCACAACTGTATTCTTTATAGTGATTTTATGAAATCAGTCACTTAGGTGCCTTCTTTATACAGAATTTCTCTTAGATTTTGGTGTTTTGCAGTTATGGATCAATTGTTTTTAAATCAGCTGTTTCTATTTGCTAGATGTATCTCTGAAACTATGTGTTTGTCTGAAATTTGTATTGCCTGTGCTGCGTTGTCTCAAATTGTGAAGACAGATGCTTATAACTATATGCAAATTTTATAAATAAAATAGGAAGAGCTATTGCAAAATATAACTGAGTCTCCAAAATGATTTAAAACCAGATAAGAGATGTAAATGTATGTGATGCACTGTTATAAATGAATCGTTGCAAGATTGTGAGAATACAGTAGTCTGTTTCAAAGTGCTAAATTAAACCAAATCAATGTATTTCAATCTTTTCTTCATTCAACTGTGAAATAAGTTGTAAAGATTTCAAAGTTGAACGTGGAATTCAAAGAAGCTTGTCTCGTTGAATAAATAGTTGACATTGGAAGAGAAGCCATTGTTATCCATATAGCAGTGATGCACTACACTTTATAAAATAAAATTATGATCTAGATTACAGTACACTGTGTTTATTACTAGTAACAAGTTAATGCAATTAATCAGCCTTTTGTCTTGCAAAGGTTTATGTATTTAAAAAAAAGGTACTTGAATTTCATAATTCTACTGCACCCAATGAAAGCATCAGTGGCTAGAGATTAAGATTGGGCAAATTACAATTATAACATTGATTTAAAGCTAATTATTAACTTAGTTCAAAGACAGAAACCATAATATAATACAGTATAACCTAGTACTAAATAATGAAAAACTGCATATTGTATTTTGAATTAAATAACTTTCACAATGCTTATTTAAAATATTTTCAAAATAGCAAAGGATGAAGTAAAAATTAAATTATCTCGTCACTTGTTTGCATTTCGGTTAATGATTAGGACAAATCTTATCAATGGGCTTTGTTTATAAAGATATTTAATTTTGTGTTCTAAGATGCTGTGAAAGGTGTATGCTTATATTATGATTATATGAATATTACTTAAATAAAATCTTAAAGGTGAATTTTGGGACTGCTTCTGACTGATGTAAGTGGTATTTTAGCTGATAAACAGAGTCAACAGAGCGATGAACTTTGTAGTAACTTGCATTGTAAATACAACAAGGTAAACTCCATTTACTTTTTAGCTAATCATTGAACTCGTTTTGTTGTTTTCAATTACACTGTGCATTTAAAGTTTTTTATTTTGAACGGAAGACAATGGCGAGAATCAGCTTTTTATTAATTGCCAGCTTTCTGGGGCTTTCCAGGTACATTGAGTGTGAAGGTAGGTATTTTTTAAGTGAATTAAATTAAACTTGTATTCGCGGCCTATATGCTTCAGAACTTGATTGTTCAAAATTGTGATCTTTCTTTCATATGCAAGCTAACAGTGATAAATGAGTGCTTTTTTAAATCTATATTTTCTCCAATTTATTTTCCTCTGCCGGCAACACAGCATTGGAATAATCTCCACGCAGTCTTTATTTTGTCCAGCAGTACTTTTATAGAGAGTGCTGCTTGAGTTCCGGGATTACCTCAGAGGATTAATCGCTCTGGGACACTACTCTGAGCGAGGGGCGCTATATAAATAAGATGCCCATCCTACTCTCTTCTCATTACAACATCATAATGTTTCTTAAAATTAATCCAGTATCAAGGTTTCCACCATCCTTCTTGTAACCAGATTTAAAGATACTAAATAAAGACATGATTAGTTCTTCTCTATTACTGCCTTGAAAAACTGTCCACCATTTCTTCTGGTTCTCTGCCAGCGCTGCAGCATGTCCAGCTTCGAGTAAATGCAATATTTCTTTCAACAAGCCCAATGTATGTAAACCTTGCTATGCCCCAAGAAAAACTGCCCACACAATCATTTATGAAATTTCAGATGTACTTTTTTGTTAAGAGAAGATACTGTTCTATGCAATATGTACTGAATGCAATAGCAGTATCAAGTGGTGCAATAGTGATACTGCACAGTCTTAATAAAACACTGCAGGTGGTAAATTAGATTATATTGAGCTGTATTTTATTTGACGAAACATGGATTTTAAGATTTCTCTTTTAATATTAACTAGACTATCTATGAACATGAGTATATTTGGATATTATTGGGCGTGGATAGAATTGGTATTTGCTACGATTCCCCAACCGCCCACTTTTAATGTTGGGCCATTTTGATCAGTGATCAAGCTTACTGAAGATATACATAACTAGATAAGGTACATAACTGTGACAGATTTATCAAACACTTTCAAACAAGGATAGTGCTTTTTGTCAGTTTCCATTCATTTATGTATACAGTATTGCCAGGTTTATTCTGTTGAAAATGGGGAAAAGAGGAAGTATCTCCAGGCCAAGTGATTATACCGACAAATTAATTTTAAAAAATCAACATTTCTCAGTGACTGTTGTAGGAGAACACAGCAGCCATTGATTCATTGTATTCCCTGCAATTAATTCATTTGTTTTTCACAGAAAACTGTATATCCAAATAACCCCACCTCCCATTTATTTCAGTTTTTCTCCAAAGAGAGAAAGCAAACTACATATTACAGAGGCAGAGACGTGCAAACTACTATGAAGAGCTCAGGGCAGGAAACCTTGAGAGAGAATGTAGGGAAGAACAGTGTTCCTTTGAAGAAGCTCGAGAAGTATTTGAAAATAAGGAGAAAACAGTAAGCATTAAAGCAATTTTATTTTTATTATAAACACTGATGGATAATGTTATTGTAGGAAATGCCTTTGAAAGCAAAAATTCTCAACCACTGGTCGTAATAAATTGGTCTGGAAAGTTAAAGCCCCTCAGATGTGTTTCTGATGGAATAGTGCACCTGAACATCAAACTTCATGCCTCCTTCAAGACCCATCTCAAGACCCTCCTCTTTGACCATTCTTTCGATCACTCTCCTTTCTCCCCCCACCCTCAACCCTCCCCGATCCCGAGCTTGGGTCCGAAACACTGATTGGGATGTCCTCCCGACGTGAAAGGCGCTGTACAGAAATCATTTTGTTGGTGGTGTTCATACAAGGACCAAATGGAATCCAGGAGTGGCAGAACACTCTACAGCTGTTGTTTTAAGTAATCTGTGTTATGCCGGTGTGTGAAGGATTGATCAATCTGAATTGTATTTCTTTCTCTTCTAGAATGAATTTTGGACTGTATATGTGGGTAAGATGTTTTTTCTTAAACGAGGCTCCTTAACGGAGAGATGTGATGAACATAATGTATTGCCCCCCAATCCCATATTAAAGAGATCTAATATGTAGATTGACCTACAAATGAAAACATTTGCCTCGAGAGCCTTATTCCAAACACTTAATTAAGTTTTGTCAGAATACTTCATGTAGTTTCTGCAGACATGGTCATTCATTGAACAACAAATAGAATGAGACGCTTTTGCTACTTTCATAATAAAATTATACTTAATTTAAATTTGTTTTGAATGATACAAAATTTGTACTGAGCATTAAAATCTGATCTCTGTATCCTTGAATTAGCATATTTAGAATGTTCACAAGAGTTATTCTAGTTCGATATCTAAAATTGTAGTGCTTTCTTTTAGTTTAAACTTTCCTGTATGTGTGTGTGAGAAGTTATATATTCTGTGTATATACACAGATTTCCTTTACTGGTTTCTGGCTTTTTTTTAATCTATTCTCATTTATGAACAAAATTAAATGATTATTTTGCAGATGGGGACCAATGTGTTTCGTCCCCTTGTTTAAACAATGGCAATTGTAAAGACGGTATAAATTCATATTTATGTTGGTGCCAAGGAGGTTTTAAAGGAAGACATTGTGAATTGGGTAAGAAACTGTTCTATAGCTAACAGTTATCGGTGTAAGGTATAAGGACTCCATAAAGTCTATTGAAATCCTTGAAACCAAATAACAACCCACCTATCCAGCAATTTGCAAGTAATTTGATAAATAAATTAATTAGATTTGCTTTGTTGTGCTATGTATGCAACTAGCAGGACAAGATTATGTAAAACACAATTCCAAAGGATAATTATATGATCACTTATACCCAGTGTGAGTCAATACCTTCGAGAAAGAAAAGGACAGCAAAACATTGAAGAAATGGAATTGTATACTAAAATATGGTAAAAATAATTGTAGAACCTGTCAATTAATCATTAAAAGGTTACGCTTGAAGGCTTAGTTGAAGAATGGCAGGAGGAGGCTCATGTGGAGCATAAACACCGGCATTGACCAGTTGGGCCAAATGGCCGGTTTCTGTATATTCTAATGTATTCTAATGTATTTGCTTCATACCTTTTCCAGATACAATAACACGGTGCAGTGTGAATAATGGAAAGTGCCAACATTTCTGCAAAACTAATGCCAAACCAGGATTGAAGTGTTCATGTGCAATTGGCTACACACTTGGGCCCGATAAGTTTTCCTGTATCCCTGAAGGTAAAATAGTTTGTGCTGCACTACACTGAATGGAAGTCTGTGTTGTCTAATTTGCATATTATGCATAATTACATCCCATATTGTAAACTTTCTTTACAAAAGCAGATCTATCTTAAAACAATCACCAACTAGTAACTAATTAAGAATAATAGAATTGTTTCTAGCTCTGCAAAAACTCTTCCAGCATTATTGCCTTACAATGTGTAAAATTCTTAGTGGAATCGGGAGTCTGATAACGAAATAGAGTTATGCAGAAGATTTGACTCACGTAACAGAAAGCAACTGTATTAAGCTATGAGAGTTCATCAGCTTGAGCAGAATATTATTTTCTCATGAGGATCCTTGCCTCAAATGTCTTTCCACTGCTTACAGCAAACCTTTGTTTGAGCTTTTACTTTTTCCCTGGGCTTTATGCAATCTCTATTTCTAGTATAAATTTAAGATGTATGATTCATTATCGTGCATAGATGATGATGTAAAACTATACCAACAGAGCTTTTGGTACTTTGTTGTGCAACACTAAGGTGGGCAAATGGACATTGTAAATGTATTGATATTTTCATTGTTTTTGACAGTACCATACCCATGTGGAAAAGTTGCATTTTATGATAGAGTCCGATCACTTGACACTTCATTCAAGACCACTGATATTCTTACTGACAATTCTGATGCAAGTAACACTTCTGAGACCAACATTAATGCTACAGGCATTTCTGATTCAATTAACATTACTGAAACCATAAATAATGCAAGTAACGTTAATGCTTCGATCTACGCAAAGATTACTCCTGAAGCAAGTCTTCATACCAGGATAGTGGGAGGAACAGACTGCGAAAAGGGACAATGTCCATGGCAGGTTAGTTTAAAAGCTGATGTGCCCTCTTGAATAAACTATGTTTAATCTATTATTTTAAATATTATTAGAATACAAACCATATGCTTACTATGATTGTAATTTATTGATGCACCTTTACTTCTTTTGAAAGGTTCTGCTGGTAAATGGAAATGGTGTTGGNTTTTGTGGTGGATCTATCCTCAATGAACGATGGGTGATAACTGCCGCACATTGTTTTGTACCACCTGTTGAATTTAGAGTTGTGGTTGGTAAGGCTTTTTAAGCTTAGATATCATCAAAATTTTGCCTGTAAAATAAAGCAAGGCAGATCCTTGATTCCAGCAGGCAATATGTGCCTTACAGTTCTCAATGATCATTAGCATAATCTATTAATAAATGAATATAATAATAATAAGCCTTGCATTTGATAGAGTGACTTATCACGTAATCAAGGCATCTCAAAGCGCTTCACAGAATATGCTGCAAAATGAATTGACTGGATTTTGTGGGTGAATGGCTGAAAATTGGTGTTAGAACATAAGAACCTAAGAATTTGCTCGACAAAGGAAGACCAAGGTCCATCAAGTTCACCGTCCATCATCCTGACAGTCGTTTGATATGTCATGTCCCAAACTATATACTGAATCCTGAGATATTATTTTGCAGCAGAAATCTATCTAATTTTTTCTTGAAACAAACAACACTTTCTGCTTACACAATCTCCCTAGGGAGCCTGTTCCATAAGTTTACTGCTCGCTTACTGAAGTAGTGTTTCCGCAGATTTGCTCTGAATCTACCCCCATTCAATCGCAGGCCGTTTCCTCTAGTTCCACTGTTCAGTACAAGATAGAACACCTTATCATGGTTTACATTATCTAGTACCTTCAGAATCGTAAAGACCGTAATCATATTGCCCTTTAACCTTCTCTTCTTCAGCATGAACATGCCCAGTTTACCGAATTGCTCCTCATAGTCCAGTCCCTCCATCCCCCCCTCACTCACATTGGTTACCTTCCTTTATCCTCTCAATCGCTGTAAAATCCTTTTTTTATTGCAGTGACCAGAACTGCACATAGTAATCCAAGTGCTGTTACACCAGTGATTGATAAATTGGCAGAATTACCCCACTATATAGGTTTGATATTGTCTTTTTAATACAACCCACTATCTGGTTTGCTTTGCTCGCTTCTACCGAGCTCAGTTGCTATAGCTTCAAATTATTGTCGATCAGGACCCCCAGGTCCTTTTCATTTTCTGTACAGATTATTTTCTATTTAAATAATAGTCCATTCCTGGATATTTTGTCTCAATGTGTAGCACTTTGCATTTCTCTAGATTGAATTTCATTTGCCATTGATCTGCCCAATTCTCAAGTATATTCAAGTTTTCCTGTAACCTATCGTGTTCATGTTTGTAGTCTACCCACTTCATGTTCAGATATTCTTTCATTTTAAGCTCCAAAAACCTGAAATTCATAAATTGATCAAACATTGCCCAGTGCTATTAACAATTAACCATTCAGTAAGTGACTCTTTGGACCTCCAGCCCACAGTCCCTTCGCATTGCTCCCTCCCTTGCCTCTTTCAAGGCATGTCTCAAGACCCTGCTCCTTGACCACACCTTCAGCCATTCTGCTAACCCTCAGTTGTCTCCTCACCTGATCTCTAGGCCCTCCTCGAGGGGGGTTTAAAATGGATTAAATCCCTGACTGTCCAGCACTGTTGATGTCCCCCTGACGTTAAAAGCGCTATACAAATGTAATTTTGTTTGTTATTGTCGAGTTAAGGCCAAGTCTTTTCAAGCTAAATTTACCTAGAAGAATTGGTTTTATTACTTTAAAATTAGAATAATCTGCCTCATCTCGTTCCCTTCTGTAGGTACTGATTCTGTTTCTATTCTTTGTTTTACAACAGGTGAACATAACACTGCAATATTTGAGAAAACAGAAAAATACCACAAAGTGGAAAATTTGATAAAACATCATAAGTATGACTCCAACATAGATATGTTTGAAAATGATATAGCGTTAATTAAACTCTCAACACCAATAATATTCAATACATTTGTGATTCCCATTTGCCTCCCAGAGAAACGTTTTGCAGATGATGTACTGGTGTCCCAGGTCTACGGGACAGTCAGTGGTTGGGGAAGGTTGCTCTTTGGTGGAGCAAGATCTTCAGTCCTACAGAAAGTGGAAGTTCCATATGTTGAGTCTAGTTTGTGCAAGGCTTCCAGCAACATCAGGATCTCACAAAACATGTTCTGTGCTGGGTATGAAGAAGGGGAGAAAGATTCCTGCCAAGGAGATAGTGGAGGCCCTCATGTCACCAAGTACAGGAACACTTGGTTTTTATCAGGCATTGTTAGCTGGGGATTCAGCTGTGCAGATGCTGGAAAATACGGCTTTTACACAAAAGTATCACGATACACTAATTGGATTAAGAAAACAACAGGCATTTAGTTTACATACACCAACCTGGAATAAAATAACTTGGAAACAATATTCTGTAACCACCTCATGATCATCTTAAAAAGTAGAAGAACTAATTCACAGTTAAACGTATCAAGATTTCTTACTTAGAAATAGTATAAGGAATCATAGAATTATACAGCACAGAAGGAGGCCATTCGGCCCATCGTGTCTGTGCTGGCTCTTTGTGAAAAGAGCTATCCAAATCAATCCTACTCCCTTGGTCTCTCTCCCTGTAGCCCTTCAAACAGTCAAAGGTAGTGATTGTTGGACTCAAATGTAACACAAAGTAGTGGAATGAGTTACAGTATGTGCAAGTATTTATTAGACATACCCTGTGTATGTCTACTTTTTTTGTAAATCTGTAGCCAACTCATTTTGGATTAATTTTTTCTATTAAATTAAATCCTGTCATGTTATTTCTACATTGTTTACATCTTTCTGTTCATCCACAATCAAGTCGATGCATTGCAAATTAGTTGCTTTAAGAATAAACTTCTGTATCCAAAATGTCATGTAAGTGAATAAACTACTGTTTCTGAAGCATGCTTGAGATTGGATAACAGCGCATGCCTCAGTACTCTTGTCTTTCTTATTTTGTATTACTGACATCAACAGTACTTGTACTACTGTACAGTATTGCCCAGAATGCTGTCCAACGGTGTAAACTACAGGGCTACAATTTTTCTCTTCTATCACTAGGTGTTACCCTTCCTACATAGAAGATTAAGTGTGCATTGTGGTGGTGGTAGGAGGATTGAGTAGAATTTGCCATCTCATTCATTTGTAGAGCGTGGGCTACTTTAGCATTAATGGAGCTTTAACTTGCTAACGTTTTTTTAAAAAATTGTAGGTGAGGGGTAGAGTGTAGGAACGGGAATTTGATAACTCTTGCTATAATATTGGTAATGACCAGGGCTTCAAAAGTGTTAACTAAATAAAATGCAAGAATTATTATAATTCATATTTCACTACTGAATTAACCATTACTCATAAGTACCATACAATGGACCTGGGTTGTTTGGGGCCCTGTGGTAAAGTACAAGTCTGTTCCAGCCACATATTAGATTCAGTAGGCTTTTCCTCTAGCCCCTGCACCGTTTCTTTCGGAGTTCCTCAAGGCTCTGTTCTTGGCCCCTTCCTCTTCAACACCTATATGCTCCCTCTTGGTGACATCATCCACAGACATGGGGGTCAACTTCTACATACATATGGATGACACCCAACTCTGTCTCCACTCTCTACTCCAGGACCACTGGTGTCCTGACAGAATATCTGTCAGCCATCAAGTCCTGGATGAGAGCTAACTTTCTTTAGTTCAGGCGCTGACAGCATCACCATCGAAGGATGCACACTCCACCTCACTGAGCCAGTCGGTAAGCTTGGAGTCTTGTTTGACCCTCAACTATCCTTTCCACCCCATATCCGTGCCATGATCCGCTCTGCCTTCCCCCACCTCTGCACCATCACCCGGCTCCACCACTGTCTCACATCGCAGGCCACCGAAACCCTCGTACGTGCATTCATAACATCCAGGCTTGACTATAATAATATATAATAATAATCCTTGCATTGGATATAGCGCTTTTCACGTCTTCTCAACGTCTCAAAGCGCTTCACAGAATAGACTAAAGTGAATTGACTGTATATTTGTGGGCGAAACGCGGCAGCCAATTGTGTGCAGCAGTGTCCCACTAACAGTCGTGGAATGAAAATAACCAATTTATTATTTTTTTGTTGTTTTGGAGTTATTATTAGGTGTGTGGAGTAAGGAAAGCTGCCCAAGGTTTTGCCTTGCTGGGAATTGAACCCAGGTGTCGCTTACAAGGCGAGTGCTCTAACCACTGAGCTACAGGACTATGCAGACTACGCCTCATTTCAGCACTTTGGGACATTCTCCCGACGTAAAAGGTGCTCTATAAATGTAATTTTGTTGTTGTTCAAGACCCTCCTCTTTCACCATCACCCTCTTTCCCTCCCTGGCCTCCACCCTCCCCGATTCCGAAACACTGATTGTCCAGTGCCTTGGGACATCCTCCCGACATGTAAATCTTGGTGAACCGAGACTTAGTTCACTCAAACCTACAGGAAAGTAATAGCTTACAATTTATCTTGTTTGAACTGCTGATATCAGTCAATCAGATCAGTAAATTGAAATCAACATGACCTGAATTTCTACAGATTTTCACTGCTAACCATTTCACAATTACAACATTGATTTAAGGTAATTATTAACTTATTTCAAAGATGGAAACCACAATATAATACATTATAATGTAGGACTAAATACATTATAATTAATGAAAACCTACGTAACTGTATTTTGAATGAAATAACTTTTCCACAATGCTTATTTAAAATATTTTCAACTAACTGTACCTGTTGCAGCTACACTTGCAACCAAAGGATCCAATATGGAATGTAGATTGATATACAGACACACATTTCATCATTATCTATACTCAGCTCGGAGGATCCCTGTGGCAGGACTTTTTTTGGGAGGACTCAGTAAGATGACTTGACGCTTTAAAAATGTAATTTTGTTGTTGCCATAGCTTAGCTTCATCTGTGTTCTTTATTTTGTTTCCGCCACTTGGCTATGTGCGTGCTCTGGATGCCACAGTGCCATGGTCAGCCCGGCGCGGGCACCAGGTTACAACTGCAGTGCTCACATACATAGGTGTTCTGTGATGCATGATGCCATTTTGACTTGACGACCACCAGATGTAATGAAGGCAAAAAAAGCAAAACTGAAAATAACTCATGAACGATAGAAGAAAAACAAATATGCCCATATCGCTCGCAAGGCCTTTCTGTTGAGGTATAAATCATGTCTCTACGTCAATCGCTTATTGAGATGTTTCTCGAAGTGCAGACATACATTGTCATTTTATTAGTATAGAAGAAGATAGAATATAGATATAGCAAAGGATGAAGCAAAGATTAAATCATGAAGTCACTTGTTTGCATTTTGGTAAAAGACTTTGTTTATCAAGAATTTCATATTATTTTAAAATGCCGTGAAAGGTGTATGCCTATATTATGATTATATGAATATTACTTAAATAAAAGCTTAAAAACGTGAATTTTGGGACGGCCTTCTGGCTGATGTAAGTGGCATTTTAGTTGATAAACAGAGTCAACAGAGCGATGAACTTTGTAGTAACTTGCATTGTAAATACAACAAGGTAAACTCCATTTACTTTTTAGCTAATCATTGAACTCGTTTTGTTGTTTTCAATTACACTGTGCATTAAAGTTTTTATTTTGAATGGAAGACAATGGTGAAAATCAGCTTTTTATTAATTGCCAGCTTTCTGGGGCTTTCCAGGTACATTGAGTGTGAAGGTAGGTATTTTTCAAGTGAATTAAATTAAACTTGTATTCGCAGCCTATATGCTTCAGAACTTGATTGTTCAAAATTGTGATCTTTCTTTCATATGCAAGCTAACAGTGATAACAGTGCTGAAACAAGGTATTTTAAATCTATATTTTCCTCCAATTTCTTTTCCTTTGCTGGCAACACAGCATTGGAATAATCTCCACGCAGTCTTTATTTTGTCCAGCAGTACTTTTATAGAGAGTACTGCCTGAGTTCTAAGAGGATTAATCGCTCTGGGATGCTACTCTGAATGAGGGGTGCTATGTAAATGCAAGTTGTTATTCTGGCTGTTGTTACCGACCTGGGGAATTAGTAGTCACTGGTACCCACAATATATTAATATCTTAATGTTGGGTCAGCTCATAAGTGTACAATATCAATATCTTCACCACCAATATTAACGAGACAGGTACAGATTAAGAAGACCCATTTGATCTCATCTTTCCTGAATACCCATCCTACTGTCTTCCCATTACAACATCATAATGATTCTTAAAATTAAACCAGTATCAAGGTTTCTACCACCCTTCTTGTAACCAGATTTAAAGATACTAACTGAAATCATGGTCAACAAAATGTGTTTCTAGGTTAGTCTTCTCTATTGCTGCCTTGAAAAACTGCCCACCATTTCTTCTGGTTCGCTCCCAATTCTCTGCCAGCGCTGCAGCATGTCCAGCTTTGAGTAAATGCAATATTTCTTTCAATGAGCCTAATGTATGTAAACCTTGCTATGCACCAAGAAAAACTGCCCACACAATCATTTTTGAAATTTCAGATGTACTTTTTTGTTAACAGAAGATACTGTTCTGTGCAATATTTACTGAATGCAATAGCAGTATCTAGTGGTGCAATAGTGATACTGCACAGTCTTAATAAAACACTACAAGTGGTAATTTTGATTCTATTTATTTTATTTGGCCATTCGCAGATTTTAAGATTACTCTTTTAATATTAGCTAGACTATCTATCTATGAACATGAGTATATTTGGATATTATTGGTATGGATAGAATTGGTATTTGCTATGATTCCCCAACCGCCCACTTACTTTTAATGTTGGGCCATTTTGATCAGTGATCAAGCCTACTGAAGATGTACATAACTGTAGATAAGGTACATAACTGTGACAGATTTACCAAACACTTTCACACAACAATAGTGCTTTTTGTCAGTTTCCATTCATTTATGTGTACAGTACTGTTCAGGTTTATTCTGTTGAAAATGGGGGAAAGAGGAAGCATCTTAATATCCCCCTCCACCATCCCCCATTTATTTCAGTTTTTCTCCAAAGAGAGAAAGCAAACTACATATTACAGAGGCAGAGACGTGCAAACTATTATGAAGAGTACAGGAAAGGTAATCTTGAGAGAGAATGTATGGAAGAACATTGTTCTTTTGAAGAAGCTCGAGAAATATTTGAAAACAATGAGAAAACAGTAAGTATTAAAGCAATTTTTGGAACACTGATTGATAATGTTGCTGGAAATATCAAGCCTCTCAGATGTATAATGCTTCTGTAAAGAAAGTGGGAATCAGTGGAGGTATGTTACAATGGGTATGCAATTGGTTGACTGGAAGAACCTAGAGGGGTGGTACAGGGAATGTCGCCAGACCAGGAAAATGTTGCCAATGGAGTTCCACAAGGGCCTGTTTTGGGACTTCTTTTGTTTAATATTTTCATAAATGATCTGGAACTAGGAGTCACAAGCACAGTGGCTAAGTTTGCAGATGACACCAAGCTATTGAAGGTGGTAGATTGTGAAGCTGAACAAGATAGATTACAGGAGGATTTGAACATATTTGGGGAATGGGGCAAATCAATGTCAGATGACATTCAATGTGAAGAAATGTGAAGTACTTCACATGGAGACAAAAAATTCTGGAAGACACTATTATTTGAATGGAAGGAAAATAATATGGATGGAAAATGAAAAGGACCCAGGGTTCCTGATAGTGGGGTAATCCTGCCATTGTATAAATCATTGGTGAGACCATACTTAGAATACTGTGTACAGTTCTGGTCGCCGCAGTACAAAAAAGATATTAGAGAAATCGAGAAGTTACAGAGGAGGGCATCCAAAATGATTGAGAGAATGGAAGGACTGGACTATGAGGAGAGACTAAGTAAATTGGGCATATTCACGCTGGACAAAAGATTGAAAGCGACATGATTGCTGTCTTTAAGATTCTAAAGGGACTAGACAATCTAGATCATGACAGGCTGTTTCAACTTGTCCAGGATAGTAAAACCAGAGGACACAGCCTGCGATTGAAGGGTGTTAAATTCAGAACAAATTTACACGAACACTTTTTCAGTGAGCGAATAATGAACCATGCAACAGGTTCCCTAGGGAGACAGTTGAAGTGTTGATTCTTTCAAACACAGATAAGATAGTTTTCTTTTAGGAAATAACATTTTGGGATGTAGTACATAGGTCCTTCAAGACCCATCTCAAGACCCTCCTTTTCGACCATGTTTTCAATCGCCCTGCTTCCCCACCTGCCCTCCACCTTCATGCTCTCGACCCCCAGCTCGGGTTCGAAACTCTGACTGTCCAGCACCTTGGGAACGTCATCCCAACATAAAAGGCGCTATATAAATGTAATGTTGGTGGTGGTGGTGTCGTTGTAGACAGTTTGGGACATATATGCATGCGACCGCTAGGAATGTGGAAGGCGAACTAAATGGGTCTTGGTCTTTTTTCGTCTATGATTTCTTATGTTCTTCATACAAGGACCAAATGGAATCCAGGTGTGGCAGAACATTCTACAGCTGTTGTTTTAAGTTATCTGTGTTATGTCGGTGTGTGAAGGATTGATCAATCTGAATTGTATTTTTTTCTCTTCTAGAGTGAATTTTGGAATGTATATGTGGGTAAGATTTTTTTTTAAACAAGGATCCTGACTTAAGGGAGAGATGTGATAAACATAATGTATTGACCCCCAATCCCATATTAAGGAGATCTTTTTGTTCATGATTGACCTACTAATGCAAACACTTGCCTCGAGAGCCTTATTCCAAACATTTAATTAGGTTTTGTCAGAATACTCCACGTAGTTTCAGCAGACGTAGTCATTCATTAAACAACAAATAGAATGAAACATGTTGTTACTTTCATAATAGAATTGAATTTAATTTAAATTTGTTTTGAATGAAACAAAATTTGTACCGAGCATTAGCTTAAAATCTGATCTTTGTATCCTTGAATTAGATCTTCAGAATGTTCACAAGTTATTCTCGTTCAATATCTAAAATTGTAGTGCTTTCTTTTAGTTTAAACTTTCCTGTGTGTGGTGTGTGTACAAAAAATTATGTATTATTTTACTGGTTTCTAGCTTTGTTTTTTTTAATCTATTCTCATTTATGAACAAAATTAAATGATTATTTTGCAGATGGCGACCAATGTGCTTCGTCCCCCTGTTTAAACAATGGCAATTGTAAAGACGGTATAAATTTATATTCATGTCAGTGCCCAGAAGGTTTTAAAGGGAAAAATTGTGAATTGGGTAAGAAACTATTCCAAACCTTTTTTGGTATAAGGTATGCTGCACGGACTTCATAAAGCCTATTGAAATACTTGAAGCCAAATAACAACCCACCTATCCAGTAATTTGAAAGTAATTTAATAAATAAATGGATTAGATTTGTTTTATTGTGCTATGTTTGCAACTAGTTTATCTAAAACACAATTGCAAAGGATAATTAATATGATATTTATGCAGTGAAATCTGCCAGAAAGTGAACATTAAGCTACATTCAATGTTTAGATTGGCACATGAAGAATATAAACTTCAACAAGGTGCCCAGTATGAGTCAGTACCTTCAAGAAAGAAAAGGAAAGTAAGACATTGATGAAATAGAATAGCATACCAAAATACGGTAAAATAAAATTGTAGTAACTGTTAATTATTAATTTGCTTCATACCTTTTCCAGAGACAATAACACGGTGCAGTGTGAATAATGGAAAGTGCCATCAATTCTGCAAAACTAATGCCAAACCAGGATTGAAGTGTTCATGTGCAGTTGGCTACATACTTGGGCCTGATAGGTTTTCCTGTATCCCTGAAGGTAAAATAGTTTGTGCTGCACTACACTGAATGGAAGTCTGTGTTGTCTAATTTGCATATTATTCATATTTACATCCCATATTGTAAACTTTCTGTACAAAAGCAGATCTATCTTAAAACAATCACCAACTAGTAACTAATTAAGAATAATAGAATTGTTTCTAGCTCTGCAAAAACTCTTCCAGCATTATTGCCTTACAATGTGTAAAATTCTTAGTGGAATCGGGAGTCTGATAAAGAAATAGAGTTATGCAGAAGATTTGACTCACGTAACAGAAAGCAACTGTATTAAGCTATGAGAGTTCATCAGCTTTGAGCAGAATATTATTTTCTCATGAGGATCCTTGCCTCAAATGTCTTTCCACTGCTTACAGCAAACCTTTGTTTGAGCTTTTACTTTTTCCCTGGGCTTTATGCAATCTCTATTTCTAGTATAAATTTAAGATGTATGATTCATTATTGTGCATAGATGATGATGTAAAACTATACCAACAGAGCTTTTGGTATTTTGTTGTGCAACACTAAGGTGGGCAAATGGACATTGTAAATGTATTGATATTTTCATTGTTTTTGACAGTACCTTACCCATGTGGAAAAGTTGCATTTTATGATAGAGTCCGATCACTTGACACTTCATTCAAGACCACCGATATTCTTACTGACAATTCTGATGCAAGTAACACTTCTGAGACCAACATTAATGCTACAGGCATTTCTGATGCAATTAACATTACTGAAACCATAAATAATGCAAGTAACGTTAATGCTTCGATCTACGCAAACATTACTCCTGAAGCAAGTCTTCATACCAGGATAGTGGGAGGAACAGACTGCGAAAAGGGACAATGTCCATGGCAGGTTAGTTTAAAAGCTGATGTGCCCTCTTGAATAAACTATGTTTAATCTATTATTTTAAATATTATTAGAATGCAAACCATATGCTTACTATGATTGTAATTTATTAATGCACTTTTACTTCTTTTGAAAGGTTCTGCTGGTAAATGGAAATGGTGTTGGTTTTTGTGGTGGATCTATCCTCAATGAACGATGGGTGATAACTGCCGCACATTGTTTTGTACCACCTGTTGAATTTAGAGTTGTGGTTGGTAAGGCTTTTTAAGCTTAGATATCATCAACATTTTGCCTGTAAAATAAAGCAAGGCAGATCCTTGATTCCAGCAGGCAATATGTGCCTTACAGTTCTCAATGATCATTAGCATAATCTATTAATAAATGAATATAATAATAATAAGCCTTGCATTTGATAGAGCGACTTATCACGTAATCAAGGCATCTCAAAGCGCTTCACAGAATATGCTGCAAAATGAATTGACTGTATTTTGTGGGCGAATGGCTGAAAATTGGTGTTAGAACATAAGAACCTAAGAATATGCTAGACAAAGGAAGACCAAGGTCCATCATCCTGGCAGTTGCTTGATATGTCGTGTCCCAAACTATATACTGAATCCTGAGATATTATTTTCTAGCAGAAATCTATCTAATTTGTTCTTGAAACAAACAACACTTTCTGCTTACACAATCTCCTTAGGGAGCCTGTTCCATAAGTTTACTGCTCACTTACTGAAGTAGTGTTTCCGCAGATTTGCTCGGAATCTACCCCCATTCAATCGCAGGCCGTTTCCTCTAGTTCCACTGTTCAGTACAAGATAGAACACCTTATCATGGTTTACATTATCTAGTACCTTCAGAATCGTAAAGACCATAATCATATTGCCCTTTAACCTTCTCTTCTTCAGCATGAACATGCCCAGTTTACCGAATTGCTCCTCATAGTCCAGTCCCTCTATCCCCCCCTCACTCACATTGGTTACCTTCCTTTATCCTCTCAATCGCTGTAAAATCCTTTTTTTTATTGCAGTGACCAGAACTGCACATAGTAATCCAAGTGCTGTTACACCAGTGATTGATACATTGACAGAATTACCCCACTATATAGGCTCGATATTGTCCTTTTAATACAACCCACTATCTGGTTTGCTTCACTCACTTCTACCGAGCACAGTTGCTATACCTTCAATTTATTGTCAATCAGGACCCCCAGGTCCTTTTCATTTTCTTTGCAGATTATTTTCTTCTTGTTGAATAATAGTCCATTCCTGAATTTTTTTGCCCTCATGTGAAGCACATTGCATTTCTCTACATTGAATTTCATCTGGCAATGATCTTTCCAATTCCCAATTATGTTCAAGTTTTCCTGTAACTTATCCTGTTCATCTTTGCAGTCTACCACCTTCATGTTCAGATATTCTCTCATTTTAAGCTCCAATAACCTGAAATTCTGAAATTTATAAGTTTAGAATATTCTGCCTCGTCTGTTCCCTTCTTTAGGTACTGATTCTGTTTCTATTCTTTGTTTTACAACAGGTGAACATAACACTGCAATATTTGAGGAAACCGAGAAGTACCATAATGTGGAAAATTTGATAAAACATCATAAGTATGACTCCAACATAGATATGTTTGAAAATGATATAGCGTTAATTAAACTCTCAACACCAATAATATTCAATACATTTGTGATTCCCATTTGCCTCCCAGAGAAACGTTTTGCAGATGATGTATTGCTGTACCAGGTCTACGGGACAGTCAGTGGTTGGGGAAGGTTGCTCTTTGGTGGAGCAAGATCTTCAGTCTTACAGAAAGTGGAAGTTCCATATGTTGAGTCTAGTTTGTGCAAGGCTTCCAGCAACATCAGGATCTCACAAAACATGTTCTGTGCTGGGTATGAAGAAGGGAAGAAAGATTCCTGCCAAGGAGATAGTGGAGGCCCTCATGTCACCAAGTACAGGAACACTTGGTTTTTATCAGGCATTGTTAGCTGGGGATTCAGCTGTGCAGATGCTGGAAAATACGGCTTTTACACAAAAGTATCACGATACACTAATTGGATTAAGAAAACAACAGGCATTTAGTTTACATACACTAACCTGGAATAAAATAACTTGGAAACAATATTCTGTAACCACCTCATGATCATCTTAAAAAGTAGAAGAACTAATTCACAGTTAAACATATCAAGATTTCTTACTTAGAAATAGTATAAGGTAGTTGGGTGTTGGACTCAAATGTGACACAAAGTAATGAAATAGTCTGAGTTACAGTATGTTTTAGGCATACCCTGTATACATCTTCTCTTTTTTTGTAAATCTGTAGCCAACTCTCATTTTGGATTCATTTTTCCTATTAAATGAAATCCTGTCATATGTTATTTCTGCAATGTTAACATTTTTCTGTTCAGCCACAATCAGTCACACAGGACTGCAATCAAGTTGACGCATTGCATCTTAGTTTGTTAAGAATAAACTGTTCCGTATCCAAAATGTCACATAAAAGAATAAACTACTGTTTCTGAAGCATGCTTGAGATTGGGTACCAGCGCATGTCTTTCTTATTCTGTATTTCATTTCGACCGAGCCTTTGGTCACCTTCCTCCCCCTGCCCCGGGATATGTTACTGTGAAGCGCTCTGAGATGCCGTCCAGCATGAAGAGCGCTATATAAATCCAAGTTAGTGTTGTATTACTGACATCAACAGTATTTGTGCAGAATCCAACCTACTGTACAGTATTGCCCAGAATGTTATCCAAAGGTGAGAACCACAGGACTGCAATTTTTTTTCAAGTATTGACTGTGGCACTCTGTCCGAAAAGTGTTCAATTTCATTGGCTGCTTGTCTGATTAACACATTGCCTTATCCATCCTGCAGCTAAGACATTAAAACAAGGTCCCATCAATGTGCTAAGAAAGAGATTGGCCAATAGATCAATTGGTGATTTACTGAATGGCTGTTTGACAGACCTTGAGAATAAATGGTTGCTGTGTGTGTTTCCAAAAAGTCATTAGATCTCCTAGTAATTCTCATAAAGTGCTTTGAAACACTTTCAAGTCATAAGATGGTGTGAAAAAGGTAAGCTCTTTCTTACTTACTAAACAAAGATGTGTTGCATACTGGACCGAAGTGTAAGAAGCATCTCAACAATCCATACTCACCAACTAATACCGCAGCAAAATGTCAGTGAGGAAAGGGTCTGATGAGATGAAATATATAGCTGTCCTATCCCATTGTTTCTTGTTGTATATCCTCCATTGATAATTAGATTTCAAATGTATTCTCTCTGGCTTTGCACTTAATTGTTGTATTAGAGTTTTATTGTGAACTATCCTGACCACATGAGTGTGTGGTTGAGTCACCAAAGAGTGATAGCACACAGTGAACCTTGTAAATTGGAAAATGATTAGATAAGTGCTCTGTAACCTAGAATTCTGTTCATTTTATTTAATACTATATACATATTTCAAACAATTCAATGAAGATTGAAGGTACATTTTGAGCATATGTACTAAGATACATATGTATATACAAAGTTTATGAACTGAAAACAAGCTTAAAATATAGAATAGCCTGTGCTTTCCACATGATTTTAGCAATAAGTTCATCAGTTCCTTCATGCATTTTAAGTGCTTAGACACTATATACTGTTTTTATCATGTGGATGATATTATAAAGATGGTTATTTATTCTTGTACTGGTGCTCTATGCAGATCTATGCAAATTTCAGATCTGGCGTCTTGTGCACCCATTCAATTTGCTAAAGGAGGATAGATTTGAGAAAAGGTGAAGATAAATAGGATGGAAATGATCGTAAACTTTATTTTCAGCAAATGCTAGGCATCTTCTAGTTTCAGAGTGCAGTGTAAGCAAATGTATTTGAAATGCCTGAGATAATGAAAGTGTGGACCACATCATACCCTGATAGATCCATTAATCCAGTGTGAATCAGTCTAACTGATTCATAATTCACTGGGTGCATACCACAACCAGGTTTTAAATTGTATGTCAACTTAATAATAATAATAATCCTTGCATTTGATATAGCGCTTTTCACGTCTTCTAGACGTCTCAAAGCGCTTCACAGAAAATGCTGTAAAGTGAATTGATTTGTGGGTGAAACTCGGCAGCCAATTGTGCACAGCAGTGTCCCACAAACAATCGTGGATTGAAAATGACCAATTTTATTATTGTTTTTTTCGGAGGGATTATTATTAGGCGTGTGGAGTAAAGAAACTTGCCCAAGGTTTCACCCTGCCTGGAAAGTCTTTTTTTCTCTATTCACTAAAGTTGAATTCCCTCTGAACTTATTCTCATTTTAGTATTTTAACAATTTTATGAATTCATACATTTGTTTAAATTTGAAGCTTTCCATCCAGATAAGGTAAATGTTTGTATTTAGTTTGTGTAGAAGTAGAACTGAAACTGTTGAGTTAAAATCTGCACATCAGTACTAAAAGTACAATAAGAACATCCTCATCATGCAGTTGGGCTTCATGAAAACTCAATAGATTGTTAATTTTCATTGAACCATCTAAGAACACTGCAGCTATGTTCAGTTAATCAACTGACATGATGAATGGTTTAAGAAATCATGTTGAGTGGTGAACTACAACAAAAGGAACAATGGCTAATTGTATTGCAAAATGGGGGTTCAGATTGTACAGAGTACATCTTCAACAATTTAAGGGTGTATATTGAAAAGTATCAACACAGGAGGGGAATAAATGTCAGTGTGGAGTTTTGTATGGGTGCACATTGGCTACCATAAAATGTAAAGCATAAAGTTCATATGCATTTAGATTTTCCTGAGCTGTAGACCTGGAGTGTAACTTATGTAACATGAATAAAAGGCCAGCTTTTACGGTATGCATTTGGATTTAAAAGCGAGAGTGCAGAATATACAAAAAATGCCACTTCAATATATCACTTCAGGCATTTATGTAGTAAATAAAATTGGGATGATGTAATCACAAACAGCATCTATCACTTCATTGTTAACAATACTTCATCTATACTTGGAATGGGGAACAAATACTACTGTCAGTGACTCTTGGCATTGTTACTGTTCTTAACTTTTGAATATTTAGTCAAATAACTTCAAAAGCTTAATTGATACAGTATTTAAAGTGGGCTGAGTGTTCCTTTTATAAAAAAATACTGCTGCATACAAAGCAAGGAAGACTAGCGCTAAAAATAACTGGTGCATCCATGACACAGATTTAATTATACATTATTGATCTGCTTTTATATTTTCCTTGAATTTGCTGTAGTTTGTCTAAGTGCCAGGAACTATAAATTGGAGCCAGAGAAGCAAGCAAAAAATGGTGGTCTGAGCTCAAGTCACAGAGAGCGAGAGAGAAACGGACAAATAGTTAGTGACTCAGTCTCTGTAAATGATGAGAAGTTTTTTTTTGTGGTTGATTTAAAAATTAAATATAAATCAAGAGACTACCCTGGACTCTTCCTAACTTCCCTCCTGCTGATTTCCCAACCCCAATTACCCACAAGCATCCTAATCTGGGTTTTTCAAAAGTTGGAAAGTAAAACTGATTTGTGTTCCAGTGATGGGAAGTGTGAAAGTGTAAATTAGAAAATTGTAAGCGTATAGTACAAGGTGAGCCACAAGCTATCAACTATGAAAGCTGTAGTGCCAAAAAAGGGAAATGAACGGTTAATAAGAGAGGTACAGTGTGAGACACAAAACAGGTTATTGGGATACACAATAAGAGATACAAGTGATCAGAAAGACATGGGAAGGGAAAGCAGTTTGGAGGTGCAGGCATGATAAGAAACCAAGAATGGAGAACCTGTAGGGTCCAGGATGTTTGCGATGCTTTTCTCCGAGCGATAGAGTGGGGTGAAGTTATTTATAGAGCAGGTTTGGTTATAGAAAGTGTAGGCTTGACAGGCCAAACAGACATTCTTTTATCCCATGTTTTCTGATGTCCTTAAACCTCCCATTTGTAATTTAGTGCAAGAAGGAGCATGAACCTCTAGTCAATGAGCATAGCCAATCGTCAAATCTTTCTTGCAGAAAAATGAAGTATGAAAACATACTAACATACTAAATACTTCCATAAGAAGTTTTGACTTATAATTACAAATAAAAATTAACAACGAAACTATCCACAAGGCCAACATAATTAACAATAAATGGTTGTAGAATGTTCATATCTTGATTTAAATATGTTTGTATGTTAACACAATGATAAAAATATGGATTATGTAAACATTATATCCTTAGTTCTAGGATCCACACATTCAATAATCACAAAATGAAGAGGTTTCTCAGTATTACATTATCCTCTGAGTTGGGGAGCTAACATTTCAGTCAAGGGAAATGGACCCATTCAACTGGGTGTCCATAAATGGGTACCGTTTACCCGATGGCTGTAAAAGATTCACTTCCTGATTCATATTGTTGCATCTCTCTGTGTCTTTGACTTGCTTGAGATACATATGGCCACAAGTCAGGAGTCTTTGTCAGCTTATGGAGCAACTGCCTGAATTAAAAGGCTTCCACTTGATTTATTTATGACTTTGGATTGTATTTCATTTGCTCCCGCTGACTGGCGTGAAGTACAGATGGAGAAAACATCCAGTCCAACATTCCTCTAACAAAAGAGGAAGACTAAAAATAGAGAAGTTTTTTTGCAGAAAGAAATAGCATTGCCGTATACAAAATGTATTAGGCCCCATCTTCCTGAATACTCACACTGTCAAGGGGATGAACTGACCTTCCTTATTTTGTGGAAGTCCAACCCTGAAAATCAAAACACAAGATTGTATTTTTCTGACTAACACCAGAACCACTTCCTCAGCAAAAAATCTTAAACAAAAGACTGTCAAGATAAAACACAGTTTGCAATTACGTAACAAAATGTACAAGTCGGTAGGGTGGGAATTTTGTCAGGATGAGATCAAATGAGCCAAAGGACCTACTTTGTCCAAATCTCTCATGATCTTGTACACAGCTTAAAGCATAGTTTAACACAATCACATTGGACCATACTAGTCTCTGGATTGGAAAGTTTGTTTTCCAAAAAAAAACAAAAAACATGTTTCCTTCCTGGTAATTGTAACCTTCAAAAAACAAACTAGATTTCTAGATCATGGAATTTGGCCAACTGGTACACAACATTCATAATCCTGTACTTAAAGGTTCTGATCCTTTCTGTTTAAAAAATGATATGAAGGTTTCACATAGATCTATTCATAAATGGAATTTATGATTTCCACAAATCAGTCAGGATATCAGTCAGTGAGTACATTATGTCATGTGATTGCTCAAACTGCAGAGTTTTTATGAAAAGAATCTGCAAGTTTAGTACAATGCTAAGATTGTGAGAAGCACTGATATTATTTGGCCAGGGCACTAACTCTGCGTGATATGAAATTATGTAACTACTGTATTTTCATTCATAAGAAATGGGAGCAGGAGTAGGTCATTCGGCCTATCGAACCTGCCCCGCCATTTAATAAGATCATGGCTGATCTTCTAACCTAATTAAATTTACACACCCTATCCCCATATCCCTTAATTTAGTTTTTAAAAGTCTATCGATCTCAGTCTTGCCCACCCCCCACAACATGAGGATGTTGACCTACCTCTCCTCGTAGGTCAACATCCTCATCCCAGGAACCAACCTAGTGAACCTACATTGCACCTCATTTAAGGTGAGTATATCTTTTCTTAGATAAGGAAACCAAAACTGCAGACAATATTCTAGGTGCAGTCTCACCAAGGCTCTATACAATTGCAGCAAGACTTTCCTACTCTTGTACTCTAACTCCTTTGGAATAAACGCTAACATGCTATTAGCCTTTCTAATTGCTTGCTGTACCTGCATAGTAACTTTCTGTGATTGGTGTACAAAATCGAAACCTAAATCCGTCTGAATACTGACACTATCTAGTCTCTCCCCCTCTAGAAAATAATCTGCTTGTCTATTATTTTCTACCTAAGTGAATAATTTTCCACTTTCCCACATTATACTCCTTCTGCCACCTTCTTGCCCACTCATTTAACTTGTCTATATCCCTTTGCATCCTCCTTGTGTCCTCCTCACAGCTTACTTTCCCACCTAGCTTTGTATCGTCTGCGTATTTAGATACATTGAGCTCTTATTTCCTCATCTATGTAATTGATGTAAACAGTTGAGGCCAAACATTGATCCGTGCGGCACTCTACTAGTCACAACCTGCCAATCTGAGGAGGACCCATTTATCCCTACTCTGTTTTCTGCCTGTTAACCACTCTTCTTCGATCCATGCTAATTTGTTACCCTTAGTTCCATGAGCCCTAATCTTATGTAACAACCTTTTATGTGGCACTTTGTCGAATGCCTTCTGAAAATCCAAATACACTATATCCACTGTTCCCCCCCCCCCCCATATAACCTGCTAGTTACATCTTCAAAAAACTCTAAAAGATTTGTTAAACATGATTTCCCTTTCATAAAACCAAGTTGACTCTGCCTAATCATACTATGACTTTCTAAGTGCCCCACGACGACGTCCCTAATTATAGATTCTAGAATCTTCCCAGTACTGATGTCAAGCTAATTGATCTAAAGTTCCCCATTCTTTCTCTCCCACCCTTCTTAAATAGCAGCGTTATGTTTGCGACCTTCCAATCATTGGGAACTGTTCCAGAATCCTGGGAATTTTGGAAGATCAAAAACAATGCATCCACTATCTCTGCAGCCATCTCTTTTAAAACCCTAGGATGCAGGCCATCAGGTCCAGGGGACTTATCAGTTTTTAGTCCCATCAATTTCTCTAGTACTATACTGATATTAATTTCTTTAAGTTCCTCACTGACATTAATCTCTTGGTTCCCCACTATGGTAAGTTTTTAGTATCTTCTAACTTAAAGACAGAAGCAAAATATTTGTTTAATGACTGTCATTTCTTTATTCCCCATTAGAAGGTTATGCTTGAAGGCTTAGTTGAGGAAGGGCAGGAGGAGGCTCATGTGGAGCATAAACACGGCTAGACCAGTTGGGCCGAATGGCCTGATTCTGTGCTGTATATTCTAATGTGTTCTAATGTATATTATGGTCACTCTGCCCTAGAGGAGCCTTAACTTCAAGATTACTGATTAGCTCTACTTCATTACACAATACAAGATCTAGGATCAAAATACTGCAGATGCTGGAAATCTGAAAACAAAAACAGAAATGGCTGGGAACACTCAGCAGGTCAGGCAGCATCTATGGAGAAAGTAAAGTGAGTCAACGTTTTGGGTTCACAGAGAGCTAACAGAGAGGGGGGAGGCAGGGCAAGGAACACAAAGGAGAAAATGGGGTAGAGGACAGGGGATAATGGGTTAAAGAGGTATTAATGATCCAGAGCAAAGGCGGGGAGGGCTTGCAACAAAGCAGGGGAATAGGGGTGTTAATACTGCAGAACAAAAAGTGTGGGGGGGTGGGGGAAGAAACCTTGCAACAAAACAGGAAGATAAGGGAGAGAAACGGTATGTCTGGGACCAAGATGATGTGAAAAGCGAGGATAGCCATTCCCTGGTTGGTTCCTCAGCATACTGTTCTAGAAAACTATCTCTAATGCATTCCATAAACTCATCCTCTAACTTACTTTTGCCAATTTGGTTTTCCCAGTCTATACGAAGATTAAAATCAACCACTTATTATTGTATCACCCTTGTCACACGCTCCTCTAATTTCCTGATTAATTCTCTGCCCAATACTGTAAATGCTGTTCGAGGGTTTATAAACTACTCCCACTGGTGTTTTCTGCCCCTTGTTGTTTCTTAGCTCCACCCATACTGATTCTACAGCCTGATTTTCTGATTTAAGATCCTTCCTCTCTCCTGTTTTTATCTCATCCTTTATTAACAAGGCTTAAATCACATCAATGTCCTATTTTCTTTGTTAAACTCTTTATCCCTACTGTTCCCGGTCCTGGGATCCATTACTGTGAAGCGCTCTGAGACACCTTCCGGCGTGGAGGGCGCTATATAAATCCAAGTTATTGTTTGTTGTTTTTCATCTCCCAAGTCACTACTCTGCTCTACAGCCTTGAATCTTCTTATTTGCTTTGTGAGTTTATGTTTAACCGAAACCCTCCCTCCACCCCTTGAATTAGTTTAAAGCTCTATCTACCTCCCTAGTTATTCATTTTGCCAGGACACTGTCCCAGCCCGGTTTAAGTGGAGCCCATCCCGATGGAGGAGCTCCCTCTTTCCCCAATACTGGTGCCAGTGGCCCTTCCGCACCACTCTTTCAGCCATGGGTTTAATTAACCCTTTAATCTGCTTGTCCCTGTACCAAAATATAATAATAATCCTTGCATTTGATATAACACTTTTCACATCTTCTAGACGTCCCAAAGCACTTCACAGAAGATACTGTAAAGTGAATTGACTGTATGTTTGTGGGCGAACGCGGCAGCCAATTGCGCACAGCTGTGTCCCACAAACAGTCGTAGATTGAAAATGACCAATTTATTATTGTTTTTTTTGGAGGGATTATTATTAGGCGTGTGGAGTAAGGAAACTTGCCCAAGGTTTCGCCCTGCCTGGAATTGAACTCAGGTCTCTCGCTTGCAAAGCGAGTGCTCTAACCACTGAGCTACAGGCTCCACCTGTATTTGCGCATGGCTCAGGTAGTAATCAACCTGCCACCCAGATTAAAGCCTGTCCTTCCTGTACAGCAAGTTTGAGAAAAGGGGGTGGTTGGGGGGGGTGGGGGAAGGGAGAAAGATAAATAGTTCTCCAACTTAAGGCACTCCAAACCCGCCTCAAGTAGTTAAAAGAACAGGGATTTTTTTTTTAAAAATTGCTTCCTGAAGAAATGTTACATCTGAGAATATACTCCACCTACTCTCCTTTCTGGTACAAAAAGTGTTGTTTCCTGTTTGTAGACATATCTGCTCTGATATCTTTTAAACACAATCTCGACATTTTACTTTCCTGCGTCGGCATCAGTTTGCTTTCAAAAATGAAGTGCTATTGCAAATGTGAAATTTCAGTCCAAGGTCAAAGTACAGAATTGTAAGACAACAGCTGTCTCTTTTTTTCTCTCTTTCTCTCTCTCTCCTTACCCAAAGAACCAGGGTCTTGAGATTTACAGTCACCAACAATAATCTGTAAATTGTGGACCGAAATCCAGGCTTGCTGTCCTCGATTCAGGTTTTTCACAAACCTTTGAACATTGCAAAGTACATGTCATTTTTTGATTTGTTCCATTGAGCCATATTTAAGTGTGAGATAAGTTTCAGTAAAGTTATAAGTGTTCATTTTCATCATAGCATTATCCATAGAGTGACTCAAACTTTTCTGGTTTGCATGACATAAAATAGCTTGCCTCAAATATATTTTTTTGCCTCCTGCTTAACTTTTATAACATTGCTATTATTTGTACCTCCTTCTTCTTGGTTAACATCTGGATTGCAGCAGCTTTCTCTAAGGCTGCAGTACCACACTGCAGTGGATCAATAAGGGATCACTTAGTTTGATCAGTGGAGCACTTCCTGTAATGTTTTTCTCCAGTAAAAGGAGAAAGGACAGACCTGCTGCTGGTGAATACCATTATAAAGAAAACTGAAACTCACTTTCTCTTATTTTATTATCCATATAGATAATAGTTCTAATAACAAAATTAGCTAAGATGTCTTACAAGCTGTAATATATATTTTTTACAAATGTGATGTTGTGGTGCTGTGTGTATATTTGATTTGTTTTGTGATTTTTTTAAAATTCAAACTACATTTATTCTATACATGGCCTGTAGTCAGTAAATGAACTTTTTTTTAAAAAAAAGCTTTCAATCTTTAATCCATTTAACTGATAAGCTGGAGAAAGTCTTGCCTATGTGTTACAATCAAGGCTGCTCCACAATTTATTCTTTCTCTTTGCTGTTCAAAATTCTTTGTTATAAAGCTTCTCCGTACCTTACTTCCTAAGTACCTACTTATCTTCCTCTTAAACATCTAAATTTTGCACCCATGGTCTTCTAGGCTAGAGTATTCCATATTCTCGTATGCCTTTTCTGGGTACATTTGGTGTTTTATTTAGCTCTAGGTTTAACATGCTGTTTCTGAATCTGCCAGTCAGACTTACCATTGCCCCTCGCCATCGTCATTCACCAACTGCACCAGGTCCCCACTTTTTATTAACAGTTCTTCAGAATCTCTTTTTTTACAGTCTGACAAAGCTTTGTACTTGCCAGGGGACTATAAGCAAAAAGAGAATGTCTCACAAATAAGTAGAGAGAAAAGAACTTAAAAAGGCATTTGTAAAATGATGTAAATGAAAACATACAATTGACTGCAGATTTACTGAAACTTTCGTCACAAGTTTTGTATCCAGAATTATACTGCCCAAAATGTCATATTCCCTGTTACTCTTTAGAATAATTGATCCAAGGATAATATTTAATTGAAATTTCTATTCAAAGCACAAAATGTTCTTGAAATCTCCAGTGTTTGTATTCTCTGTACAGTGTCAAACTTCACTGACACATTTCTGGAGTCTTAACTACTTGAGCATGAAAGCTATGATTTATTTAAGTATTTCCGAGGGGGTTTTATTGCATGTAAATTGAATTGATAAGAACTAATGTCCTACAGGAAAGATCATTGGGCCGAAGCAATGTATCTTAGTCCCTATTGCTACCAAAGGTGAAACTAGTACACAACAAGGTTACAGTAGGCAACATAAGCCAAACTCCAGATGTGAAATATCTCAACCATATGAAGTTGCTGCAATAGATGTATTACAAGTATAGTGTTCAGATGAGATATTTAGACCGATAAGAAATGTAAGTTTAATTCAATGGATGTGGATCGACCACTGACCAGCTGGTTCACGTCCTCTTCTTCAGTATCGTTATTACTGGACAAGTCATCATTTCCCTCAGAGGCTTCAGTAAAACGGGATGTTCCAGCCCAGTCTGTGTAAGTGGGAACACACCAGAATGAAATTCATAGAGATGAAAAAGGAAATCAGAAAATACTACAAATCAGGATCTGAAAGAAAATGCTTAATTGATGTCTCGGATTGAGACCCTCATCAGAACAAAAGGCGATTGTTTTAGGAGACCTATAATAATAATCCTTGCATTTCATTTTGTGCGTCTATGCACTCCGAGAAGCTACCCCACGTGAAGGGTGTTGTAAAAATGCAAGTTGTTATTTGTTTCATCTCCTGGATGACATTTCAAAGCTCTTCACAGGATGCAAAGTGTTGTGACTGTGTATTGCCTAGGTGATCTGTAACTCGATAGCATTTGCTTGGGCTTTCTATAGTGACGCACAATAATCGCTGGCCCTCCCAGCATTGCCCACACCTTGAGAAAAAGTAAATTTAGCTTTCTGCTCACTTTCTTGTAATAGGTCTAGATAAAATGAAAATGTATTTCAGTAAAACACCAACACTCTAGGATTATTAAGGGTGGGACTCAAAAGGTTGAAACTGCTGTATATTTAAAGCTTGGGTGGATATGGTATCAATGCACTGCTGAATACGTCTACCCTAAAAATAGTTCTGGTAACTTTTAAGAACAAAAGCTTTAGAAATGCAGCACACACTTTGGCCCTCACATTCAACTTTGTTCTGGCAGCCAAACAAACAGAAAGACTGAGTGGAGATTTTCAGAGCAAGCTGTTCCTGACTGTGACAGGAATGCAGTCTGGTTAGAACGCCCGAAACCATAACACCCACGCAAACACAAGTAATAAAGTTTTGTTTGCAAACATAAGAAACATAGTATTTCTGGCAATGCTCTTGATTAGGCTGGATGGCAACCTAAAGCTAATCACAATTCTTTTTGTGGAGTCCTGTAGCTCAGTGGTTAGAGCACTCGCTTTGCAAGCGAGAGACCCGAGTTCAATTCCAGGCAGGGCGAGTTTCCTTACTCCATACGCCTAATAATAATCCCTCCAAACAATAAAACAATAATAAATTGGTCATTTTCAATCTACAACTGTTTGTGGGACATTGCTGTGCGCAATTGGCTGCTGCGTTCGCCCACAAATATACAGTCAATTCACTTTACAATGTGTTCTGTGAAGCGCTTTGGGACGTCCTCCCGACGTGAAAACCGCTATATCAAATGCAAGGATTATTATTATTATTTAAGAGCAGCTCTGGAAACATGTTAGAATGGAATACCTTTTCTTGGTGAAAGGTTGGGTGAAAAGACGATGTTTTCTAAAACCACTGGACTTGTAAGATCAGAGTCATTTTCCTCTGAACTCAAAGAGGCCCTCTTTTGCTTTCTGTAGAAAATCAATTAAAAAAAACATCTAACAATTAGATGGGTCAGAAAAAAATATGGAAGAATTTGTAAGTTTAACAATTTAGACTTCGGGCACTGCACGTTTTCTCTCAAACAGAGCATGCAAACCTAATGTAATATTAATTGGATTCATCTCATTGCTTTGTGAGGCAAACACTGCAACTGGCATTTGGTTTTGTGGACTGTTTGAGACTTACCCTGGGGACTGCAAAATCTGATCTGAAACCTGATGATGCAGTGGACTGTCTTCTGTAAATGAGACATATTGTTAAGTGATTACTAAGCAGTGCAATAATTGTACCCTGGTTATACATTCCCAAACTAATCTGTGTCCTTGACTGCAGTTTCAGTAAAGCATTTCAAAAGAGGTAAAATTGTAATTACTCTGAGAGAGGAACAAGTTCAACCATTCGAACAGGGCCCTTGTCTTAGATCTAAAATCAGAATTCTGTCCGTTTGGTTCATGAGGTAGTTGAGTTTCTCATTGTTCCAAGAGTTCACCAATTACACTCTATCTATAACCACAAGGAGATCCTCCCAACTTCGTTTCCCTGCAGACTGAACCTAATCCTACTGCCACTTTCTCTTGACTGTATAATCAAGACTGACAATTAACCATTATGCAAATCAGGAACCATGATCCTAGGCTGCAACGCGTCATGATAGAGTGATTTAGAGAAACTAACCCAGAAAACAGTTTTCAACAACACAGATAAAGGTACACAAAATAGTAATGCACCTCTGAAGAGTTTCTCTGGATTTGTGAGAACTTTTCTTATTTCATTCAACCACGCCAACTTAACATCTACTGTTGGAGCCTAAGAAGAGGGGAAAAAAGGCATTTAAGGCTTTCTTACTTCTCCATAAAATGTTTCTGTTCTGCAATTCTGAAATACAAATTTCACACTAGCTTTAAATACAGATTTATTATTGGCATAGCAATAAGTAAGCAACAAACAATTGTTTGTTCTGTAGATATTTTTCAAATACATCTTTCCATGAAATTTTCAAACGTGACAACATGCCAATGTTGGGAAATATAATTGTTTTACTTGATCAATATCAATATGATTTGTTCTCAGATTACAATCAGATGCAAAGTATTCTCTCTATATTCTATTTAACAATTTATCTTAACTCCAACTTGTACTATAAGTGAACCTAGAAGAATATGTAAACACAAGGTTCCTTTAAATACATGTTTTTAATTCTGAATAATGGTGACTTACTTGGATGAGATAAACTTCTTCCCGTCCACTATACCAAACTTCAAACTTTCTAATATCTCCTTTAACATTCTCAGTTATTCCAACAGCATTCATCTATCAAATAAAATACATCAACAGTTATGCTCCTCAGCCATCTGGTTCATTGTTAAGTTAGAATTCACATCATTGTGATTGGTCAGAGATATTGAATTATCTTTGAATGTACATAGTATCATGAAGAAGCAAAAAAAAAAAAAAACATCCAATGTCTATAACATTAACTATACTATCATGGTTAATGGTCTTAAACTCTTATCTCTTAAGTTACAAGCATCTGTTTCAAGTGAGTCTTTTTCTCCTCTCCGTACCCTGTCTCAAATTGATTCCTAATCCACAGGACAACTAATGTGTACTGTAGCTCTAAATGATATTCAAAATGGACAATTGGTGATGTTTTCAGCTGGTTTAAAAATCCAACCCAAAATATGTCATCTGTAAAGAAAGGAAAGCCTGACTTGAATTACCCCAACCACACAACTACCCTTGCCAGTAGGAAATCTCCAAGCTACAGAGGCAGAAATTGCACAAAAGGCCCAGACTCTGCTCCATTCCGTATTCAAAAAGGAAACTTGGGAGACTGCTGTGTGAAACCTAAACAGGAGAAATAGTACAAATATAAACTGATGCTGCAAATAAAAGCAAAATTGGAAATGCTCAGATCATCTGTCTTACTTTTAAGTAATGCTTGAAACTATAAGAAGGTGCTTTATCATAACCTTCTCCATGTTCTTCCCGCTTCTTACAAAACAAAAGCGCTCTTTCATGGAGGAAAAGATGACGGTGCATAGGCTTGAATCGTGCAAGATCTTTCATTTTTGTGGGACCTTTCTTATGATTTATCCAGACGTTAAAGGAACCTTGCATCAAAACTTTGCCAAAGTCTTCTAGGTTACCCTGGAAATCATAAGGAAAATTGATGAATTATTCCATGTTAATTATTAATTGTCTACTTCTACTACCAATACAACAGTGACATCAGTTTTCCAGAATTCCTAAACTTTCCAATCATTAACAGTTAGTTCTGTATGCCTATTAATTTTCTGGGTTTGTGATAAGCTGTAAGCTGTTTGTCACTGGAATACACATGTCTCATGAATTAATCAATAAAAATCCAATTAATATTAAAGGTGCAGGTGCACATCCGTTGCCAAAAAAAGGTACTTACATTATATCCGGTTATAGCAATCTGGTGCATTGAGTCATTCACAGACTTTAATAAGTTCAACATGGCTTCCAGAGCTTCCTGCAGCTCTTGAATTCCATCACCATTGTTACTGAATTTCAGCAGTTCCTGTCAAAGCGTACAACAACTTTCAATTTATTCATATTATTAAATTATTCACTGCACAGATTCTACAATCAAAATAATACAAAAATAGCTTTTTCTATCTGGGCTGTGACACTGTCCTCTCACCTCTGGATGGTGGGATTCAATCCAGTCCTGGATAATGGGTTGAAACCTTTTCTCTCGGTCAGGACCCTAATATGAAATGTGGCTGTGCAATGTTAACCAATTTCCTAATTATTGTGGGCAGGTGAACAGCACAATGTGGCTTACAGTTCAGAGCTAATTGGCAGTTTGACGCTGGCATTGGGACCCCTAGGTAAAAACAAACGTCTTTCATTGCATTAGATGCCACGTCAAATTATAGGAGGTTTTGAAGCCCAGGAAAACTGCAGGTTTACTATGATTTACACAATAACCTTCATCTGAATAGACTAATTCACGTTGTATCCTGATACCAAATTGAATCAGCATTCATGCATTTTATCTTCCACATATCATCTCCCTCTTCCGCAGGGCTTTGCTCAGTGGAAACCAAAACAAGTCATTAATCAATGCAACAGCCAATAATATTGATTTGTATAAAAATGCTGAGGTGGAACTAATAAATTACACACACAGCAGAGTCCTCATGAGGATTACTTAAATAGAATGAATTCATACAGTGTTTGCAATAGGTCTTTTAGAACTATTCATTTTATCTTGTTGTGTGTTCCAGCCAGATTAACATACATGAGGTTTGCTGTGGTTACTGGCATATTCAGATAGCAAATTGATAGAGGTATCATAAACTCCAACAAAACATCTGTAAATATTGGAATATTAGCTTCCCTTTTCTATCTCGTCACCTACACCTTCAGTGATTTATACTCTTATCTTTTAAACATTCTTCAGTTGTATGCCATCAAATGTAGATATCACATGGTTAGATTATGCCTTAGTAATTTTGTTGTGCTGTTCCAACTTGTCCTTAACATACCTTCAATAAGAGTTGATATTTTGTTAGCCTTTGAATTGGTTTTAGTAAGTACGAGTCCAGTCCGAGTTTGTGGTCCAGTTTCCGTTGACATTCCTGGTGATAAAAGCAAATGTTACAAATAGCAAAATAGATGGACCAGATTGTACTGGCTCTTGGTTTTTCTTTCTGAAAAATAATTTGTTGTTTTGCAACATTCATACTGACTTTTCTTTTCCGAAAGCGACACAAAATGAATATAAATTCTGTGGAGTTGTGCCAAAATTAGAAATTACCAATCTGACGAGTTAATATGCCATATCACCATGATTTAGCAGATATCCAAATGCTTGAAGAATTTAGCCAACACAGTTTTTTTTTGTAAGGTTGCTTAAGAATAATTTTGTTTAATCAACAATAATAATGTTGCAATTTCTTTGCAATTCCTTATGAATAGACACTTAGCTAGTATTAGGAGGAAGCTCCCTCACACAGTCAGGCTCAATCACAGACTCAGAAATGTCTTCAATATTGTGGCACTCGCCAGATAGAACAAAACTATTCAATGTAACAAACATTGGAAGGGCAGAGAAACGAGACAGATTTTAATCAGTGCTCTTTGTCACTATGCCATTTCAAAGGCTGTCCTAAAAGAAACACCCTCTCCAACTATACACAACACATATAAGTTGAGTTGTGGAACATTTCGGTCATGGCACACTTCCTCATTGCGTGATGAGCTCCATCTATATATACAGAACAAATGTCAACTGATTCAACACAATTGCACACCTGAACATTCCAGGCAATAACAGGCAATTTTTTTAAAAAGTGTGTGACATATTGGGATCTCAGCACCATGCTTAAGAGTACATGGACCAGACTCAAAGTTGCACATAGATTTGCTATTTACACATGGAAATTTCTCTATGTCTGGAATGAAATGCGTACTTACTTAATTCTGGAGAGTATTAGGCATAGTTTGGCAAGGTTCAAGTTTTGGGATCACAAAGTGTGTGTTTGGGTACTGCTGGAGTTTAACCAACGAAAACTGCATAGCTTGCCATACAGAGCACTGTCTGGCAAGCTTCCCGCTATATCAATAGTTAAAGTAATTAACAATCTATTACCTGAAAGAAAACAGAGTCAGAACACTGTCTCCAAAGGGTTTCTGAACGAGGTTTATTCTGACAATACTTCACGTACATTTGAAAATTTGCTTTCTGAAGGGAAGAGTTAAAAAAGTGCATAAGACAAAACAAGTTATTTTTAAAATCTAAATGTAAACATTGAAATTATTTTGTAATATGAGGATTACATACCCTTGCAAGAAAGCAGAGACCCACTTTTTCTGGTGTTTCGATGCAGTTTTGAAGATCATGAAGAAACATTCTGATATTAAAATATTAAAGATATTAAACATTACACAGTACAACACAAAATTACATTTGTAAAGCGCCCTTCAAGTCGGGAGGACATCCCTAGGTGCTGAACAGTCAGGGATTGGTGTAAAACATATTCGGCAGGCATTGATATCTATAACAGAAGCATACATAATGTTGTACCTGCTATGAAAATCATGGATTTCAGACATATTGCCAAAGAGAATTTCTTTCTTGTTCTGCAATGCAGAAGGCAAAAGGTGTAACATGCTAGGGTTGTCCATTTCCACTCGATAACCCTGCAGGACACAAACACATATTGGATGCGTTGCACAACAATAGCAAAATCCAGCTGTTTGTAACAGCATCAGATCTATATTAAATGTTTAATAAAGTACGTTTGCAGAACAGAAAACGTCTGAGGCAGCTTATCAACGAAAAATGATTCCCAGAGGTTCTTTTTTCAAATATTAGTTTGCCTTATTCTGCTTATTCAATGCAGCAAATAGTTTATTATATCCATTTAAAACAATAAAGTTCCAAACTAAAGCAGCAGTCTATGTACAAGCACTTCGATTTGTCATCACTTTAACATGACTATAATAATAATAATCTTTATCATTGTTTTAATTAAACAAAATTAAAAACATTCAAAGAGCAGTTTGAGGTTTGAGAAGCTTCAAAATGACCAAATGGAGCCCATTCTACTGAATGCAGGTTTCAACTCTTCTTCATACAAATAGTTTACATACTATGGTCATCTGATGTAGAAAAAGAAAAGTGGGCTGATCTTCACAATACTAACAGTTACATTACCTGCAGAATGGTGTGGAGCTCCTCCACGTACACTCGCTCAGTCTCTATTAGCTCATTTATGACATGCCTGTTAAATCAATAACAAATTAGAATTAAATGGCAACAGACTCACAATGGTACTAATAGATTGAACAGTTCAAGAAAGCTGCACAGAGAGCACTGAGCTGTGTAATCGAGACAATTGTCACAGACAAGCCCTGATCTATTATTCTTTCATTGCATCTTTTTTTCACAGGAGATAGCGTGAATCCATTTAATCTTAAACTAACATTTTGTTTGTGTATGCAGACCCAGTGGGTAAGTTGAATTTGCAGATGACATCAATTTGGAACTGTGGAATCAGAGAAGACAGCAATGGTCCTATGAAGAGAACTTGCTAGGGTGTGCACATGGGCTGATAACTGCAAAGTACTATATTGCAGGGCTGGTGATAGAATGTGTACAGGATACCCAAATATGTGGTCCAGGTTTTGGGGATCACAAAGTGTGTGTTGGGGTACTGCTAGAATTTAACCGACGAAAACGGCATATTCTGTTGCGGGATCAGAAATAACTGGACACGAAACATAAAATACTACAGATGCTGGAAATCTGAAAACAAAAACAGAAGTTGCTGGGAACACTCAGCAGGTCAGGCAGCATCTACACCAACAACAAGATTACACATGTATAGTGCCTTTCACGTCTGAAGGATGTCCCAAGGCGCTGGACAGTGTATAGAATTCCAGACCCGAGCTGGGGTCGGGGAGGAGAAGGGAGGGGGGGGGGGGGCTGATGGCATGGTCTAAGAGGAGGGTCTTGAGGCGGGACTTGAAGGAGGCTAAGGAGGGGGCCAGACAGAGTGATTGGGGGATGGAATTCCAGAGAATGGGGGCAGAGTGGCTGAAGGCTCTCCTGCCAATGGTGGGGCGGGTGGGTCGGGGGATGTGGAGCAGGCCAGAGCTGGTTGAGCGGAGGAAGCAGGCGGGTTGGTAGGGGGTTAGGAGGTCGCAGATGTTGGGGGGGGGGGGGCGAGGCCATGGAGGGCTTTGTATGTGAGGAACAAGATCTTGAACTGGATCCTCTGAAGGATAGGGACCCAATGGAGTCGGGTGAGAATGGGGGAGATGGGGTCACAGAGTTTGGTGCGGGAGAGGGCATGGGCTGCAGAGCTCTGGATTATCTGCAGCCTGTGGAGGGAGGAGTTGGGAAGGCCGACAAGCAGGGCATTCGCATAGTCGAGCCTGGAGGTGATGAAGCGCCTTGGGACGTCCTTCTGACGTGAAAGGCACTTTATAAATGGAATCTTGTTGTTGTTGTTGTTGTTGAAGGCATGAACAAGAGTTTCAGAGGCCTGAGGGGTGAGGTAGTGGCGGAGTCGGGTGATGTTACTGAGGTGAGAGAAGGCAGAGCGGGTTATGGCTTGGATGTGGGGAAGAAAAGACAGTTGAGGGTTGAACAAGAATCTAGGGAGAAGGGAACAAAACTTGTTTTTGTTGCAAGTTCTTTTTTCTCCCCCCTTTTGTTCTGCAGTATTAACGCCACTATTCCCCTGCTTTGTTGCAATCCCCCACCTCCCACTTTGTTTTGCATCATTAACACCTCTTTAACTCATCATCCCCTGTCCTCTACCCCATTTTCTACTTTGTCTTCCTTGCCCTGCCTCCCTCCTCTCTGTTAGCCCTTAAAAGCCTCACCCTCCCAACATGCCCCAACTCTGACAAAGGGTCGTGGACCCGAAACGTTGACTCTCATTCCATTCTCCATAGATGCTGCCTGACCTACCTCCCGGCGACGTCCGCTTTTGTTTTCAGAAATAACTGGACTTTGGCCTCAAATGCCTACTGGTAAATAAATGGAATTATTTCTGATGGGTTTGGTTTTGTGTTGGCTTTGAAGCTTTATCATTTATTCCTCATTTTGCCAATTTTCCTGATGGCATCACTTGTCACTATAAATTACCCTTTAGATTGAAATAGATTTGTTAATAGTTACAAGATGGGCCTCGCTAAATTCTCAGAACTATTTGTGAAACATTTAGCGACTTACCCTTTTAAGACATCCAGGTTATCTTCGCCTTCAGCACTTAAGGAGAACCAAGTTCTTTGACAAGCTTCATGCATGACCTCAATCTTTAGGAAAGGGAACAATGTAATCTCGTTATGTACCTTTTGCAGGGAAATTCCTCTTCCTGTTGCCTCCCAGCATTGAAAACCTCTCTTGATGCCACTGACGATAACCACCAGAATGCATAAGAGCAGCCCCAAATGACTATCTCCCCCACCCACACTCCCTGCATTGAAAGGGCTTGGTATCCCACAATGGGTGCAACCTCATTCTTTGTAGGAGGATCATAACCCCGCCCCCCCACATAATGATATTGTTGCTCCAACTCGATATGCTTCATCTCTATAGGCTCACTCTTACTTCTCTGAGGTTGCTCTGGCAATATCAGGTATTCAATAGGAGTCATCAGACTAATGGAAATAATTAAATTTGTTTTTTTTTCCTTCAATATTTTTGTAGGTAGTGGGCATTTCATTAAGTGTTTATCAATCCCATTATAAGTGCATCACAAAAAAGCAATCACATTGCATTAAACCTGCCTGCTACACTGTAATCTCATGTAACGCACTAACTGGGAGGCAGATGAAAATTTGCTGCATCTTTCAGACTATCACAAGTGTTTTTTTTTTAATCTGTCTTCTCTTAGGAAGCTAGCCGGTGGATATTTATAGATCTATCATCAATTTCACTCTATAATGGTTAACAGAGGTGTGCTTTGTGGGTGTGCTTGGTTCCATCCAAATTTTCACGCTGTAAGAAATAACTGATACCAAAACTTTTTTTCTGAAGTTACTCAAATTATGATCTCATAATTACCTTTCGTGTGTTCTGGGTTTTTCTGACATGTTTCTTTCCATATAGCGATATATCAAAAGGGAACTTTGAACTGGGGTTGGTATCCACACCTTGGAAAAAAATTTCAATTAAAAAGCAGTCTCTGTACACAGTTCTCCTCCCCACTTACTTACTTAGCTTGGAGCTGAGGTTAGAGAACTTGCAGTGAGGAATGTTCAATTCAAGTTACTACAAAGTCCATCAAACCCAGAATTTAAAACAGATTTCATTTCTAAAACTAAAATATAATAATTAAAATAGCAACATTTTGTTTGAAAACATTCTATGCCTGACTTGGACCTAAAATAAATACTTTTCTTATTATAAGCCCCATGTTGTTTTATGTTGGTTTAGTGCTATATTCAGCTGCCCTACAACAGGGAAAAACTATTAATACTAGGAAGAAAAGTCATAAAAGACAATACCTGCACTGAGTGGACTAAAAAAAAGAATGAAGTCAGATAAGCTGTGGCAAATATGTTATGAAAAAGGTGACTTGTCAAATTGGCAGATATAGAGGATGTTTTATCTCCTTGAACTGGGCTGTTTTGGAACAAACATCAGTGAAAAAATGTCTGCAATTATTCAATTCAGAGTTGAATATTCTGGGTCTTCACAACTGGGTGAGCTCCCAGCACACTTTAAAAACCTGATGATCTGTTGCATTTGGGAGTGTACACACTATACGTGTCAGTCTCTATTGCAATTCATTATGTCTCAGAATCGGTGCCTTTACCTTGTTTTGATGAGAACAAAGGAGACTTAAACTGTAAAGGCGAGGCATCTGGTCGTGGAGCTACAGGTTGCACTGGCCGAGCCTGTTTGGCAGCCAGTTTCTCAAGGCAGATTTGACGTTTTTCAAGCATTCCCTGGACGTTCTCAAGCTTCCCGTGAACCACCTCTATCTGAGCCTAAACATTAATAAAAGATAATGTGACTGAGAACAAGAAGCACCCAATTGACTTGACCCTTGTTGTGGTCTTTGGAAGTGTATCGTGTTGCATGATGTGTGAACGTTGCACTCCCCCAAACTGAACAAGGAAAAAGGATGAGAGGTTGTTGAACAATGGGACTTCTTATTTCAAAGATCGAACAGAAGCGACTAACTATATTATTTGTGCATATATACAATATCCAATACAAAAAATAGCAATATTAATACAAACATTTAGATCAAAATCACCATTGTCACAAGCCAAAAGAAATGGCAAGTATTATTAATCAAATGCTATAATTGTAATTGTTCATGCATTTGGGCGTGTGGCTTTTTTGATTTTCGTGGTCTTTTTGGGTCATGGGCCAAACACTAAGGCAGGAAGGAAAGAGGTGGTCTTTCTCGAGGCTTGCACTGTTACTGCTGTGAAAGCATTTGCTGGGAGGTGGAGAAAAATATCCAGGGAGGTCTTGCATTCCAGCTCTTCTTCATATCCCTCCCTGTGGAGATGCTCACAAACTTCTCCTAGTGCCTCATCGTACCATCTGTCAACTCTGTAAATGCTACCTTCTTACAGGAAACCGTTCACAGTCAATGTAGATTTCATCCAAGTACATATTTTAAAAGGTTAATGTACCTCATGTGGCTGTAATGTAGAATTATACAGGGTTTTCCGTTGTAGGTACATGAGCCTGATTTAGAAAGAGACATTAGAGGCTTCGTCTTTCAATACAATCTTGTTATGATCATTTAGTGATAGAATAGAACCTGCAGTTTCAATGTACTATAATATGTAAATGAAGCATGATTCTGCAGACAGCATAAGTGCCTGCATTACAGCAGGTAGAATGTTTTTTAAATTTCATTTTAAAGTGAAATGATGGAAAAAAAATTTTTTACTTAAAATATATCTAGCAGAAAGAAGGATTATTGGTCACAAAATATGTCAACTATGGAAGGTGATAATGCCTGCATTCTTCAACAATTCAGTAATAGCATCATACCTCTCTGTAACTAGTAACAATGAGTATTTTTGAACTAATTATCACAATATTAATGTCACTCACTAAACAATCACATTGCTGGATCTTAACAGTTCATATGGCACAAGGCTTGCTATTTGTTTAGTACCTTAAGCTTAGATGTGAGAATAGACTGGAACTCAATGTACAATGCTTCAGCATCACGCTGCAGATAATATGTAGAGTTTTCCAGGAATCTTTCAATTTCCTGCAGTGCCCTCTTAGCTCCTTCCTGAGACTGACACTTGTCCATGGACTGAGAAGCGAGGAGATAGGCACCTTCGTCACACCAGTCCAGTGCCTGTAATGCAATGTCACATTTTCTGATGTATACAGTATTAAAAAATGTAATACTGTTTAGAAAACAAATTGCAATGAGCATATGTTAGATTATTGTCACACAATGGCATTTATATCCATTTGTCTTCTCGTCCACCTGACCCATGTTCTGCTAATGATTTTTTACATTTCCACACAACTGTTTTTTAGGCATTTAGGGAAACCTGGATCAGCAGTAATTTGCGTGTCCTCAGTGTCGTAGGCATCTTTCAGATAGCGTATAGGATGTCTGTCTCACTAATGTCGCAAGTGACAGTGTCAAGAATAAGAGAAAATGGTTTTGATTGGTGCCATTAACCTGGTTAATAATTAAAGACTTTATCTGCTAATATTTCCAACTGCCATTTATCATTTCTGCCATCCAATATCATTGAAGGTTGAAAAGATTTATTTTCTGAATTCGTATTAAATTTATTAATATATATTTTTTCCTCCCTGAATCTTAGTTGTGTTGGCCATACTAAACTCCAATGAATGTTACCTGTTAACAATGATGAAAGTTAATTGTGTGCAAATGCTGAATAATAGGCATTTATTCTTATACTGTGCAGTTACACAGTCACATAATACAGTACTTACTGTATTTATTGACATTAGGATTTAATTTGTAATATTCAGTTAATGTGTTAACTGTGATGTCCAGTGGCCATGTAATTTATAATATTCTCCAAACCATGAATTGCAATTTCCAAAAGCCAGCAAAGCACAAAAAGAGGCTGGAGAGAAAAATGACCCAAGGACATTTCACTCTCGAGCATTTTACTCCTTGTCAAAATCACCCAATTTTCAAATATTGCAAGTTAGACCCCATTATATTAAAAATGACAGATATCCACAGGCTTACTCAATGCCACAAAACAGCGCATTACAAATGAATAAGGCTGTTGATTTGTAAAGGCTTAAGCAAGCAATTCTTTTAGCTTTTAAGTTCCCTCTGGTAGAGCGTACGTGACTGCTTTTCATCACCACACTGGAAAAATAAAGAAGTCCTCTATTATTGATGTTACTATGTTCTGAGATTACTTAGCAACACATGTCAGAAATTTGTATGTAATGTAATATGCAGCTCATGTGGCTGGCTACAAATGACTAGGTGTCATTTTGGAAGACAAACAAACCTATTTGCCAAGTTAATTCTATAGCTCAGCTGCACATAGCTTTTTAACAACTGTTATCTGTGAATACTGGATTGAAATGCATTTAGATCAATTTAGACATAATCTTGTTTGGACTATGGTGAAGAGATGAACCTCTCAAATTTCCATCAGCTCACCTGCTGCAACCGTGTGTGCAGTTCCAGGGATCTGTTAAGCGTGATGTATTTCCTCCTCATTTCATCATGCAGGTCTTCACAGCTATGGTGTAACTCATTGCACTTTTCCCAGATTAAATCCATCGCGTAGTGGTGATTTGATATCAGGTGATCACCTTGTAAAACCAGATGTTGAGCATTTTCCACCAGTTCCTGGAGAAAAAAAATTAAAGTATTTAAAAGTTAAAAATGTAAGAAGCACAAGTAGGCCTTACATGCATTATTCAACAGTGGCAGTAAATATCTAATATATGTGTAGGAGCTAAAATGCTTTGCAATAGCGGTTAGTGCACTTGAAACGCTCTGAGACGCCATCCGGCGTGGAGGGCACTAGATAAATCCAAGTTGTTGTTGTTAGCCTTTTTCACACTTTACATCAAATTGTTCCCTTGGTTAAGCATATTGTACAAGTTTCCCCTGGTAGGAGAATCTATAACTAGGGGTCACAGTCTGAAGATTAAGGGACAGCCCTTTCGAACAGAGTTGAGGAAACGCTTCTTCACTCAGAGGTAGTGAATTTATGTAATTCTCTACCCCAGGCGGCTGTGGATGCTGATAGATTTCTAAAGGATAGAGGGATTAAGGGATATGGGGATAAGGAGTTAGGTTAGAAGTTCAGCCATGATCTTATTGAAAGGCGGGGCAGGTTCGAGGGGCTGAATGGCCTACTCCTGCTCCTAATTCCGATGTTCCTAAGTTTTTTTCATGTCCTGCATGTCCTTATGTTATGAACATGTTTTTGCAATATAGTTGCAGTATTGATCTTAGACCTCTTTAGCTAAATTTATGCCTCCTCATTGATACCTCAAACAGTTGCCTTTCTATCAACAAGCTGTATTATTTCTGCCACACTGTCACCTCGACTTTGTTATCACTTCCTCTACCACCTCCAACCAGACCACATATCAATCTGTCTCAGCTTGGAAAATGGTCTAAATTTTCACCAGTGCCATATTCAGCTCACGTTCTTTCTGCGTAGCTTGGCAACAGGTGCTTGAGGAAGAGCACAGACAGCAGGATTCAGGAAATGTGCATGTGGTTATCACTTAGCTTCACTTTCATATTCACATTGGCGAGAAAGCCAAATAACATGCATTTTTGTTAAAAAAAGGAGAAATTGGCCTATAACAGGAGGATGTCAACAGTTCCCTACTGTGCTGTCAATCTGCTTTCTTGAGCATTATACACTGATTTGTATTGTATTTTATTCTGGTTGAAACTTCCCATTAGCAGGCATTTAAAACACTGCATCTATATGTAACAAGGCACACTACAGAATAGTGGTAAAACTGCAGACAGGAACGAATATCTCTGTTTAGTATGCTTGCTGGCTGCACACCGTTTTTCTTATGATACAGTATTACAGGGTGGGCTGTAAGTCCATAAAGTCCTGGATGTGAAGCTTTGTGGAGAAGGGGTGTTATTAAACAGGAGAGCCAATGGATGATGGACTTAATAAAGTATTTAATAATGTGTTATAGTCTCTTTAATGTGCACGGGTTTTAATACTGGAGAGCGAATAATTTGCATTTATATAGCATTTATCTTTGATGTAAAAATTAAAGGTCTCGAAGCGCTTTACAAGAAAAAAAATCAGAAATGAAAGCAAATATCGTTATATAGGCAAATACATAGCTAATCTGTGGCAACAACATTGAGCTGAATAACCAATTAATTTGAATTTGAGGGTAAATTTAGTTGCGGGCGAGAATATAAACCAGGTTAACCAATGGAGATGGAGGGAGCTAAGAATTACACTTTCAACCATACAACAACCAATTGGTGGAAAGGTTAGTGACTGATATCACATTACCTGAGATCTCTCATCCAAGTTACTTAATTCACGAAGAGCTTGTTCTGTATGAGCAACATTATCCCCAATTTCTGGTATGTCTCCTTCCTCTGCTGCTAAACAATCCACAAACATCTTTACCTGCGGGTAGATTCAAACATTTAACAAAATGCATTCAAATCTAGCAATATATGTAGCAGTTCAGTGAAAATTATATTATTAGACAGCTCTATTTAAAATTGCTTCAACAGTTTTCTTACAGATGATAAGACAGAACCACCTTCAGTTGTGTGAGCCTTGTTTTGAGACTTAAACTCCTCATCTCTTGACAAGGAATCTCGACTCTCCACACTGATTTTTTTTAAGGATTAGGTGATGAGTGTATTCATTACCTCTTGGAAAGCTTGTTCAAATCTCCAAAGCTGTAGACACTGTTCAAGTTTAAGCAGATGCTTTTCCCAAAAGCCATCAAAAGCAGTCTCCATCTCATGCAACTGTGCAAGAAGTCTACATTCAGGAACAGAAAGGAATTAAAATGTGACAACACCCTGGGGCAAAACTCTTTATCTTTTGTCCATCCACACAAGTTCCTGCCAGTGCTTTGATGCTATTGTAGAACATTGTTTCTCCATAATATTCAGAGCACAAAGTTCCATGTAAGGGAGAAACACTGAATGCAGGCAAAATAAATGTCATTCCATTTTACAATTCACAATGTTAAAGTATCATTGTAAATCTTTGGGCAATTCTAAAATAATTCTTTCAAAAGTCTTCTTATTTTGACTCAAACTTTGCTGGCTTTAATACATCTTTATCTGGGACCAGGGAAAGCATTGCTTTAAAATGAAGTTTGTAACAATAATTCTCAGTTGGATTTCTTGGTTTCAACACCAGGACATAGAATCGGAAAATAAAATAGCATAGCAGAAGCCATTGACTACAAAACCTTGCTAAGTTATCCACTTAAATAATGTACTCCAATCCTAATTCCCTGCTTTTTTCTCAGTGCCCTTTTATATTCTTCCTGTACAAACGCCACCCAATTCCCTTTGAACGAAAGATCGTCCAACCCTAAAGCAGAACATGAAAGTCCATTGAGTTCCAAATGATGGGTAAAATGGGTAAAACTAAAGGAAAGAAAGAAAACTTATTGCCCTCTGTATATAAATGAATTAAGCTGTCCTCTTGTGATGCACACCTCTTCACAGTGGCCCGATCACCATTTTTTTCAACCGCATCTTGGGTATGAGGCTCATTACTGAGTGGCTCCATGAGGTTGGTTAAAAGCAAGTCTCCTTCTTTTATCACTCTTCGAACATCTTCCTATTTGAAAGGAAAACAACTGAACATATAAGTTCACAATTGATCAATGACATCAAAATCTGCTTCCCTTTATGCTCCGACGTTAAACAAAAATGAATAGCGCTTAGTGGAGCTCTGCATGATGCTTAGTTGTGCATGACAGGGTTCATTCCATCCAGAATGTTTGGAGCGGGAAATATAAATCCAACTCCTATCTCTGAATCTCTCCGCTCTGGCAGAAGTAAAACTCAAGCAATTATGTTTAAATTTAAAATTGATCTGCATATTTAACCTATATTTCTATCATCAATAATTTGGTCACTCAATAAACGGCTGTTTGTGGGATGCTGCTGTGCGCAACTGTCTGCTGCATTTCGCCCACAAATATACAGTCAATTCACTTTACAGTATATTCTGTGAAGTGCTTTTAGACATCTCGAAGACGAGATAAGCCGCAATATCAAATGCAAGTATTATTATCGATACAAATTTTGTTTTTTATCCTGGAATTTCTACCCAAAAATGGCTCCAGTATTCCATTGATTAGTTGCACTGCAAGAATTGATTCCTCTAAATTTGTCATGTAACAACTGCAGCATTGTGTTGAAATTACCTTGAGCTGATTGTATTTTTCGGTTCGGGTAATAAGTAGATCCTCTACAGAATGTAAATCATCAGGCAACTCAGCCTCAGCCAGGTCTGTACCAAAAGCTTGGAGCATCTGGGCAATCTCCTTTACCATTACAGCAAAGCTCTCTATGGCCTGAAGAAAAAACACTGACATTGCTGATAAATGTACTGACATTGAATTGAATGGCCCCGTCCTCCCACTACAACAGCTTAATTCTCATATGCTTCCGCTTGTTCCTCACACCCACAGAAAAGGCCAAGTGGGATCTCCCATTTTTAATGCTGGATTTAGGGGGAGATGGAACAGTTGCAACAATTTTTTTTAAGTGTATTGATACATCTATAAACTGGAAATTGCTTCTGATTCATTTCACACAATACAATATTTTTATATTGCACCTTTCACATCTCAAGCGTTACTCAAGGTGCTTAACAATATTGGCTTGGCATCTGAGCTGGGAGCCAAGGAGAGTGAGAAAATATGTACCACAAAAAGGGTCAAAGTCTTGAGATAACATGTTAGTGTGGGTGTATGTGTGTGTGTAATATATATATATATAAAATCTGTTGAGGAGGGTTTCATAAATGATTTGAAATATTCTTTTTGTTTTAAAGTTTTTCAGTTGTATTTCAATAGAAATGAGGCTGCTTTCTACTTGTTTTTTTTAATAAGTAATACATACTGATAGCAATTTGCATTTTAAGCTGTATGTAATAAGATAAATATTTGTGGAGTCCTGTAGCTCAGTGGTTAGAGCACTCGCTTTGCAAGTGAGAGACTTCAATTCCAGGCAGGGCGAAACCTTGGGCAAGTTTCCTTACTCCACACGCCTAATAATAATCCCTCCAAAACCAAAAACAATAATAAATTGGTCATTTTCAATCTACGACTGTTTGTGGGACATTGCTGTGCGCAATTGGCTGCCGCGTTCGCCCACAAATATACAGTCAATTCACTTTACAGTGTGTTCTGTGAAGCGCTTTGGGACGTCCTCCCGACGTGAAAAGCACTATATCAAATGCGAGGATTATTATTATTATTTATACTTACAGGATGCAATTTGGATTTCATTTTACAATCTGGTAACTTATTGCCCTTGGTAAATAAGGAAAGTTATATTCATATATTCTAATTAACAAAATGAGTGTGAAGGGATATTTTTTAACACAATTTAAAACTCAGTGCTACCCATTTTCAATTACACATTTGAACACTACTGCAATTATTCATTCGTAAGCAATGCAAATTTCTGCTGTTATCAGTCCAATGTTTATTATTAACTCAAACTGAACTTTTCACCTTTTCACGAGTTGCTGGTTTTTATGAGTAGGTTTTTTGCTTATCCAATTTTCTAACTTTTCTCTCTATTCTGTAATTCTGAAGCTGGTAGTATCTCCCCGCTCCCCTATTGTTGCCTTAGGTAATTTCAGCTGGTTCATCAAATTTACTCAACCATTAAATAATGGCTAAATTATTTTAGGTAACTGACTAACAAGAATGACTTGAGGGCACACTCCCTGTAAGGGACCATCTGAATCACATTGACCTCCCATAGCAAGAATCAAACATATACCAGCAGTGTACAAAGGTTAATTCTTTCAATCCATTATACAGTCAGGAGTGAGGAGTGATTAGCAAGATACTCAAAATTGGTAAACTTAGAAAGTTAAACTGCTAATTTCATTACGTTTCCACCATGGTGGGTTTCTAATGGGATACATTAAAATGTATGAAAAAGCTACATTATTGCAGTTTTGCAAAGATCGGCAACACGTGATTAATTATATACGACTCCTCAGTGCTGTTTAGCATATAGCTAGAATTAAGCACAATAGCAGAAATATAGGTCAGATGGACTTTACATTTATTCACATCTACATTGGCAGTCGAGGGAATTATAGCTATTTATAACATTGACTCCTTGTACTTTTCATTTCAATACTCTGCGGTTTATTTCTCCTCCCCTCTCACTCGAGGGCTTATACAAGCTGTAACTTTTACTGTGATGATAATGAGGAACTGTGTGCATAGAGTCATTCATGTTATGAGTCATACTTTAAAGTTCGAGTACTTCGGAAAAGTGGAAAAATACACTTAAAATTTACTTTTAGCCAAGATTAAATGAAGATGCAATTGTACATATGAAGCTAATAGTGGAACATTCATTGGATATCACATACATATGTTTGAATAACTAGCACAATTTTGAAATTAATATTTCAACCTCAAATTTAAGCACTGTACATCAGGTTAATTATGAAAGGCATCGATATCCCTAATTTATAGGTGTAATCAAAGTTGAATAAAATCTAGAAAATCAACAAATCAAGTTACTGATTTAACTGTGCTAATTTGACTAATCTGTGTAAAACTATTTTGCACGGTGGTCTTTCTAATCACCTTGTGATAATGTAGATCAGAAACTCGTTGGTTCAATCCCTAGTCGAAGGCTGAGTTACCTATTCTCAATCCAGGGCAACAGATGGAGTCATACAATTGGTCATAGTGCCCTGGGGTAAGGAGGGGGAAATAGTTGCTGTTGATTAGTGAATCCTCCTGGAAAGTATGTATATGAGATGCTGCAGGGTTGAACAGTCTGTTCATTGTACATCTAAAATTAGCAATCTTTTCTTTACCTTTAGAAAGATGTAATGAAACAAGCATTTTTTTAGCTATCGTTCTGTGATATACTGAATGTCTAGGGTCACGAATGGTGAGATACCGGAGTCCCTGTGGAACCACACCCAAACTCAGTGTCTTCAGGATGAGAAACAATTCGTGAACAGGAAAAAAAGATAACCAGATACACGAGAACTTTAGAGCTCAACACCATTACATACCTATCTATCATTTGTTGCTAATTTTACATGCAATGATTGCTTAAGCGTTTTGTGAGTGTCTAGTGCCAATGTGCTAACACAGGGTCATTGCTTCATACCTAGATCTGACCAACAAAGGATAAAGAAAAAATACATACAGTACGGAATAGGATCCATTCATTATGGCAGTACTCAAGTGTTCCCCCAAATTCCTGGGTTAAATGTGTATCATCAATATATTTAAGTAATTCGGTGACAGAACTCAGCATAACAACCTGCAAAGAAAGCATCAAAATTTCAGTTACACCAACAGTGGAGATATTTCCTACAGTTTAAGGAAATATTTTTTGTTTTGAGAAGTGTTTCCCTCCATTTCTGCTACCTCAATAATTCGACATTCATTCAAACTTTTACCCTTGATCAGGTCAAATCAACGAAAGCAGCCACAAGTGAGTGTGGTGATAGATACAGATAGAAAGACATTTTCTTACTGGTAGTTTCAGTATAAAATCATCCTGACTAAATCTGAAGCTGATGTCGGATATGGCACGCTGAAAGAATCCTGAAGGCCGGAGAACAAGAACCAACTGCAGGTTTTCTGGACATGAGGCCTGTTGAACATAAAAAATATTGTATTTCAGCGCAAGGAAAATATTTCCAGAAAGTGGGAGAAATTAATTCCTTGAACTATTAAACATGCAATTGAGTCCTGAACACTTTCCTACACAAACAATGGGGTCATATTTGCAGGTTAATGTTTTCTTTAGCTTAATTATCACAAGGAACCCATTAAAGAACAAATGTTGCCTCCATGTTCTCTTAAAATTCTGTGTGGGTACACAGAGCACATCAAGTCAAGCATATCTCTTGCAGATGCCGCTGTACATTTTTCCCAAATGAAAATTAGGTTTGGCCCAACATTGATTCATTAAGACAGCACGCTTGAACAAAGTATTTTTTAATGCAATGTATAACTGTTTCATTTCCTCGTAATTAGTTGTTGATCATCATGTGAGAAGTGAACAGAGGACAAATTAAAATCATCCTTTATTACTGCATAATACTGCCTGCACTGCATCTGGGGATGGCAAACAAAAGACACCATCAAACCAACCAAACAATATGAATGCAATATTTACCAGATGCAAGGGAAATTCTCAATGTCCATATAATTGTTTTGCTCTAGCAATTTATGATATAATCTGAACCTTTGAAATAGAGCTTATTATACTACTTGGGTTCATGTGGCCGCTATACTATTCCAAGCCAGGGAGATTCACCAAAATGAGAGAGAATGAGGCATGAAAAGACACTTTCAAGCAGGAGAGAAGAAAATTGAACAAAACTGGTTTGGAGCAGATAATTACAAAGTAACGCAAATCCTTCAAATTAACTGGTTTAAATCCAGATGTGTGATCAAGTGCTCTGGGACACTACTTGACCCAAAGGGCACTGCAAGTTGTTGTTGATATAAATGGCCATAATTTTTTTTCAAAAGAACATTTTGATAGAAACCAAGACACAAATGATTTTCTTAAAAAAGATAAAAGGGATAGAAAAATCTGCCAATCCTCCATCTCTAAAGAATTTGGGCAGCACAGCTTAGCTACTGGAGACTCAGGGAAATCATTGAAAAAACACAAAACTGAGGGTACTAGAAGGTTTGACATACAAAGTGGCTTATTGAATAATCCATTCATTGAACCTCACTGGACCCGGTTTATTACTATTGTAATTGATGTATTAAGATCCTATGCAGTCTCTCTACCTTGCTGACCACATCTTCAATGTATTAAAGATATTTTCAAGGGAAACCTCCTTGAAGAGTGTTTTCATTTCACTTAAGTCACACTCAGCACCACGATGTGGAGTACTAATTCAAGGGGCATATTTATTTTATTATATCACTGATGAGACATGGAGGCTCCAGAAAGGAAAAGTAAAAAATCGTGGAATTTAACAATTTATGTTTTAAATATGGCTGAAAATATCAAAATTAAAAAAATCATGGTGAATCAAAATAAACATTCTTAAATCAATAGTTTTGTAGGTTGCTGTCCTTTACACCAGATAACCATGCACTTAGCAATATAAAGCATTGGATCTTCAAGCTGAATCTTCCTGCCCACGACTGCATTGACTAGAGATCAAGTTTACACCTCCACATCCATTAGTAAGTCAACCATTAATAATGCCTTTGGAATCGTCTTAATCTTGCCCCTTTCTGAGGATATTTTTAGCAATGATACTCGATCATTGGTCTTCGAAAGAGTGAAGAGATAAGTGAATTCAGTGGGATTCAAATCCAGAACATTCTGGTCCCAGGGATGTTGGTTTGAAACTAATTGAATTTCAGCCCCCTCCATTTTCAGGGTATGAGTCACTCAATTGCTCAGTACCAATATTTGGATTTTTTAAAAAAAAAAACGTCAAGAGCACAACAATGAATCACTGCTGCCTTTGTGCAAATAGCATTCTTCCTTAATCCAGTAACTGGATCATCCAAAGTCATAACTGGAGGTGGGAAACTCTCCAACCAAAAAGCGCAGAATAAAGGAATGTGTCGTTCCAATGGGCTAACAGACTATTTTGGTGAAACAAATTGAAACTTTGTAGAAATGTGAACATTCAGAGTGGAATTTACAAAGTTCTGTGCTTTGCTGCGGTCTTGATTTGGCTGGAGCACCCAGGAATGATGGCTGTGAAAAGCAGGGCAGGTTAAAGCAGCTATTTCTGTCAATCACTGGACAAAGTCAAAAGGATTATGATGTTGCTATCATACCAGGACTGGGACACCACAATTAGGTTGGCATTATCAGTTCCATTGACATAAAGCTAATGCACCTATCCAATGAGCTGGAAGGTGCAAATGGAGTGGGGAGGGAATGAAATTATACCCCTGTTAATTTATCATCAGGATTAGTTCAGAGGATTTAGTCGATTTAACAGTGGTACATTGGAATCAAGCAGCTCAGGTGGTAACATTTCAGGAAGTTATAAATGGTTTAGTGCGAAAAAAATGGATTGTTAATAATGAAGGGCCCTAACTGTAGTGAATATACAAAATAAATACTCATCAGTTTGTATGGTTGATCAGAAGTGCTGCTTCTAAAATATCTGTTTGTCTACAGGGATCTACTAAAACTTTGTTTTGCAGAGTCAAACTCATTGTGATTGCAAAACAATTGTCTCTTCATATTTTATAAGTAAAGAGCTTCCCATACATTCCTTTACATTTCAACCTCAGTTTAATTTAGCACAAGCCTTTAACGCTTTTCATGCTGGTTTTGTGGTAACATTGCCAAAATAATAATCCTTGCATTTGATATAGCACTTTTCACATCTTCTAGACGTCTCAAAGCGCTTCACAGAATGTACTGTAAAATTAATTGACTGTATATTTGTGGATGAAACGCAGCAGCCAATTGTGCACAGCAGTGTCTCACAATCAGTTGTGGACTGAGTGACTGGTGATTGAGTAATTAAGTAGTGGATTGAAATTATTATTTTTTGGTTTGAGGGATTATTATCCCCGAAAAAACAATCTGCCAATCGACTAACAGTCAGGTTTCTACCTACTGCTAAAATCCAAAATAATTAGTTTCCAGTGTCAATATATTTCCCTGTTTCCATAGTGATTTCAGATTTTCCCCTTACACATACACAATGGAAATAGCCACAAATTAACCCTTTTTGTATTCCCCATAAATCCTACACACACATCACATCCCAGTGAGCACTTTGGGAGTTATGGGATGTGCAGACCAGTCACAGATACCAAATAAAATTGGCAAATTTTGTTGTTTTTTTACTAATCGCCGTTACTGAAAGAAAAGGGTATTTATTAGTGAAAAATGGTTTTAATTTGTTTTATCCTTGCTCTCAGAAAGCTATGATTCTCTTGATTCAGCGCAGTACCTGCATGCCCTACACTATGGCCATCAGTAGAATGGATAGGGCCCCTTTAAGAGAGCACATTGAAGTTGGATATTGAAGTTAGCATCCGAGAGTGTGGAGCTCGGTGGGGCAGAGACTTTAAATGGCTCCTGATGAGACTTTGATGGATGAGCTGGCAGATTTATTTATTTAAGAATATTTATAAACCCCAAGTACCATATACTGATTATATTTAAAAATGTATGAATATAAGAATGAGAAAAATGTCATTCAACTCAATCAACTTGCTCCGACATTCTGATTAGGACACAATCGTTCAGTGACCTTTAATTACCTTAAGATCCCTATCACAGCACTGACCTGAACTGACCATTCACTGTAGGCTATAGTCCTTAGTTACCTGAACGCTACCACTTTTGACACGGGGGGAGGGGAGTAACTATTTTTGGAAGACAAAACTTCAGACACTTTAACGACGCTACTCTGGCCAATGAGGTTAGCTTTGAGAATAAATTTACGCACCGGTAACAATTTTAAAATGGCACCCTACAGAGCTCTGCTGTCCTCTGTTGAAGCGGACAATGCAGTGTGCTATCACTGCAGCAGAAAAGATACTAGTGGGGACCACATTCTGCAGCAAACCAGCGTGGGTTAAAAAAACAAATCAAACAAAATGCTCAGCATCTTGAATTGAACAATAATCATCTAAAACAAACATTAAAACCTGATATGATACAAGAAGCTACTACAAAGTCAAAGGGTCAACACCACCTAAAAATAATTTTGCTCTCCAGTTACATTTGATCCCATCAGTATCCATCCTGCATAAACTGTTAAACAGGACAGATATATGGAACAAGCAGCTGTGTCTATCCACGGTACAGAAGCTGCTTCTCTGCAATCTTTTCCGACTGCACTTGCAGCATCCTGCAGAAGCTACTGTACATGAACTTGGCATTGTATTTGGGCTGGAAGCAAGGCCTTACCGTATTCCTCTTGGGCTTGATATTGCTTCTACGGGCATCTGCTTCTGCCATGTTTAACACTGCTGATTAGCCTATTTAGTGTCCGACAAATATTGATGAAATATGACCCACTTTTGCAGCTGTACGTTAAGCTGCCACGTGAACCCCAACACATCTCCTGCCATGTTCCAACAGCACAGTCTGACTGCTAAAGCATCACTTGCTTATTTTAGCCCTCAGCTCCTCCACCAGGTCCCATGGGTAATTTTAATTTATAGCCGACACCTTCTCACAATCAATAATCCTGATTCAATCCAGGGGATCTTGTCACACCAGTCTATCCGCTGCATACGGATAATACAGTGATCAGGTTGGAAACACGTCTATTAACACCGAAGGAACAGAGCAGTTTGCTTTCTGTATTTCAATTAGGGATTGTGCTCCTGCTGAGAGAACGTCACTGGTGAGCTGCGTCAGCGCGCTATCTAATTTATTCATTCCCTCTGAAGAGATCTCCTCAGACCATTTAAACAGCTGCCATGAAATATTTTACAAGCCCTCGAAATTGACGACAAGACAATTTTTGTGGAACAATATTTTTAAAAATCACTCGTTTTTGTTAAAAGTGAAGAAATGAGGCACTGAGCAAAACATTAAAAAATTAAACGATCTTGACAGATTCTTTCCCACATTGGGGAAAGAGAGCTATTTGACCACAGCAATTAAGGGCTATCGGGTATGTTCTGAGATGTAATAGAAAATGAATCAGATGCATTTAGCATTAGTGTAACAATGATTTTTGCAAAACAGTTTTTGTTCTAATTCAGGGCACACATGGATCAGGATTAGGTATAACTAGAGCTTTTGGTTTCAGATTTACATCATTTTACTAATAAAAAAATCATTTGATAAGATTTGACTCAAGCACTTTACAATAACTGATCTATAATGTGACAGGTGCGCATGTGACTATAGATCCAAGTTCTGCTCTGACCTGAATTTGTTTAAAAATAAACCAGAAGGAAAGACAATGGAGTGAAGAAACATATGCACATAAGATTATGTTTAGGGAAACGCTACTCAATTGTTACACTTAGTTACAGTTTCTGTAATTATAGAAAAGATGCAATATTTTCCTTGTTTGATATCAAAAATAACTTTAAGCAAAGACCTGAATTTTAGAATATAATATAGAAGTTCATTTCAAGTGTTGAGTATGTGAAATAACGGTAAGCAGCAGGCTGACATAAGAATAACTTGGACAAGACAGTTCAGATTATTAGTATAGTAGCTAGTGAAGGGTGAAATGTTAGTAAATATGTGAATAAACAGTTAAAACCCTCACATTTGTAAAGATGAGTCAGGGTATTAATCTATGCACATGTCCATCTGTCATGTCTGCTGTCTGGTAAACTATCAGCAAGTACTGAACAGAACAAGCAGGTAAAGAAAAGCTTCAATATTTACCGCTATATGGGCAAGTGATGTTTTAACAGATCCCCAAGTATCCTGTCTTCTGTCTAGGATGAAAATGAACTTTATTTCAGGTTGATGTAGACTAAGAGAGAAAAATAATAGAAAATTTATGTCAAACAAGTTAAAAATAACAATTACCTGAATGAAATCTGAGATTATGCATCACTAAACAGTGACTAAGGAATTCTCATGTGAGGTGAGTGCTTTGAGACGTCCTCCCGATGTGAAAGGTGCTATATAACTGTAAATTGTATTGTACTTCGTGCTTCCTGAACTGGATGTTCAAGGCTGTGGGCTTGTCTCTGAACAAAATTTGCCCATCAATGCTCTCCTGTGACTGACCATTCGGTGGTAAATTTTGTTGAATGACAATAAACCACTAATATACTATTTAATTTTAGAAATTGTAATTATAATTTTTGCATTTGATATAGAACTTTATCATGTCAAGACATCTCAAAGCACTTCAGAAGTTTGTGTAAAGTTTAGTAATTATATATTTATAGGTGAGCATGGCAACCAATTTTACAAAGCAATGACCCACAAACAGCCATGAAGTAAATGAGTGAATGACCAATTTTATTTATTTTTATCTGGGGGATTGTTGATCAGGAGGAATTCCTTTCTCTTTTCAAAGAGTGCATGGAATCTTTAATGTCATGAACAGGCAGTGAGACCTTGGTTTAACTTCTCATCTGAAGGACGGCACCTCTGACAATAATAGTCCTTGTATTTGATACAGTTGGAGCCCATTCAATCCATTTTCTTAGTTTTGGTATTACCTCAGCTCCAAGGAGGATAGTCACTAGTTGGTCATTAGCAGCTGAGAAGTAACAGCTTTGAGCCCTTCCTTTAACTGCTCTGAGATGCCGTACGGTGTGAAGGTCACTATATAAATGCACTTTGTTGCTTGGTAGATAGCAGACACCAGAAACTCTTCACAAGCCTCTGGTACGCACAACAAATCAACATGAAATGCATGAGAGCATTGCCACCATCTTCCTTCTCACAGCTCGGACACCCATCCCTACCCATTGAGCGATGGCTCCGTCAGTCGGAATTGCAATGTTTCAGCAGCAGTTGCTTATCTCTTTGCATACCAATTAAGGTAGCTCCCAAGCCCTGAATATATGACCATGCGCTTACAAACCCAGACTCCAGATAATGCCTTCCAACAGCTGTTATTCCAAGACTCAAATTTCCCTAATCAGCTATTTGACAAACATCTGCCTCCATTGTGGTGAAGGATCTGTGCAGTACACTGTGTACCTTACTCAGCCTCAACCCCGCCGCCCCCTCCGATATTCCTTTTCACAGTAACAAATAGCACTAAAAATAAAATAATTATAATCATAATAAATAATAATGTACTCGTTAAACATAAACATAACATTAACTTGTGATCCAGTGAAGGTTACAAACAAGTAGTAAAATATTTATATTCAGAACTATATGTAGGGAAAAGCTGAAATTATGCACTTTGTGGTGCAGAATCTGATGGAGCAATAGTCCAATAATTACCCTCATTTGTTATCTTCATTGATCTTGAGCAAACCTTTGACAGGGCTGATCAATAAGTTGTGTTTTCTATTATGAGGTAGGAAAACATCCCTCAAAAACTGAGGGCAATCAGAGCATGATTTGACAACTCCCATAGCTCTCTCTTCACAGATGACCACTTTCATCAGAGAGATTGAAGTCTCGCCTAATTTCCTGGCCTTTTCTTCAACATCAACATCAAGTTGACGACATATAATTTGATCAGTTTATATCGCACCAAAAAAAAGTTATGAATGACTTTGACTTTGTTAAACTCCTCATAAAAAGATGTGTATACAACTCAAGTGACAGCTCATGAAGCAGCTCTAAAAGTCAGCCTGACCAGAACCATTGATCTGCCAATCCAAAATAAATCAATGATAAAGTGAAGTAAATCAATGATAATGTGGGACATTACTGTGCGCAATTAATTGACTGGTGCGTTTCGTGCACAAAATATACAGTCAATTTACTTTACAGTATAAATTCTGTGAAGCGCTTTGAGATGTATTGAAGGCATGGTAAAGCGCTATATCAAATGCAAGGATTATACATTATTATTATAAATTGTGGGTTAGGTTAACTATATGTAAAACCATATGTAGGGAGCATATTACAGTTTCTCTTATTATTATCTATCTTATAAGTCATTGCTGTCAAGTGTAGTGACTGCTTGTTTGTAGGCAAACGTTGCAGACATTTCGAACACTACAAAAAACAACCATGAAGGGAATGACTAATCTGTCTGGAGGATTGTTGTCTAGGAAAAAATCCTCTTCCCTTTTCAAATAGTGATGTGGAATCGTTAACCTCCACCAGAACAGGCAAACGAGATCTTGGTTTAATGTCTCATCTATGAGATGGGACTTCCAGCAAGCAAAGTGCTATTACCCCTGTACTGCAATGTGGTGTCTGTATTAATTATAATAATAATCCTTGCATTTGATATAACGCTTTTTCATGTCTTCTAAGACGTCTCAAAGTGCTTCACAGAATAGACTGTAAAGTGACTTGACTGTATATTTGTAGGCGAAACGCAGCAGCCAATTGCGCATAGCAGTGTCCCACAAACAGTCGTGGATTGAGGTGACCAATTTATTATTGTTTTTTCTCTTGAGGGAGTAAGAAAACTTGCCCAAGGTTTCGCCCTGCCAGGAATCGAACCCACGTCTCGCTTGCAAGGCGAGTGTTCTAACCACTGAGCTATAGGACTCCAACATGAGCTCAAGTCCCAACGTAAAGCCATAAGCTACAACTTGTGACCCAATGGCATTCTTGCCACCAATTTAGCCTAGTTGGAATAGAACTGTTTTGGTAACTGTACCTCTAAAAGTCGCACAAACAAATTATTTCTATTTCCTTTAAATTCCTGCACATTTTATAATCGGAGCCATTGCCACAGTTGTAAAGGTTCCTGTGAATCCATGATTTATTGTAGTTTGTTTCCGCAGATATTTCACAGTGATCAAAAGCAATCTAATGTTTATTGTCTTGGGATGTCCTCCCGACCTGAAAGGCGCTTTACAAATGTGATTTTGTATTGTATTAAGATTTTGGAAGAGGCAGCGACTGTATGTCCTTATTTAATTGAGAAGTTACAAAAAAAGGCTCTTTAGCTTATTCTTGCCATCGATGTAAATTTATCTTTAATCTGCAAATTGATTAAAGTTCCTTTCTATGGAGCAAAATGTCTTAACTTATAAGAAACAGTTTATGGATATGCCTTTTGGTTATTCAGGAGGTTTCTGTTATCTGACCTTGCAATGTTCCACATCAGAAATGTATGGTAAATTCCTTGTGGAGATGCTGTACAGAAAATGTTGTACGTGTTGAAATGTGTGAATTTAATGGAAAACTGGATTTAAATATAAACACATAATTAATGTACCTTGGAATGGTGGTCAGATAGGTTACAATCTTCTGCACCACTTCTTCAGATATATCAACAAAGTTGGGATATTCAGGGAAAGTTATGATCACGGCACCCTCTTTTCCTTGACCACCTGGACAGTAATAAGGTATATCAGCACAACATCATTTACAGCTACAATAGTGCTAGTAGAAGCCTGATGAAACCCTATTGCTAACATCGCTTATAGATGATCTGGTACTTTGAGCCACTAGTAATCAGCATACGCTATGAATTTGTTCTGCAGCTCAAGCACTGCCAAATTATTTTTCTCACATTCTGTTGTTAACTAAATTTCAGATATCCCTTAAATGCAGAATAATGGACATCACTTATGGACATCAGTTAGTATCAGTGTTCGCCTGTTTAACCATTATGTTTTAGTCTCAGTGTCTAGAAATTTAACAACCTGAGGACACCGTCTTAAAATAGTTGTTAAAAGAAACAGAGGGAAGGTGAGGAGAATTTATTTCACGCAGCGAGTTGTTTGGATCTGGAATGCATTGTCTGAAAGGGTGATGGAAGTTGATTAGATAACAACTTTTAAGAAAGAAGTAGATAATTATTTGGGGAGGACAAGTTTGCAGGGCTGTGGGAAGAGAGCGGGGGAGTCAAATTGATTTGGATAGCTCTTTTCAAAGAGCTGACCTAGACACAATGGGCCGAATGGCCTCCTTCTGTGCTGAATAATCCTGTGATTCTATGAAATAAGCTCACATGTAGAATCTGACCTTTGTGGTTTTAAAACAAAACAAACTAAAACTTTCTTGTGATGGTGACATTAGATTTATCAGCATTATAGATGAAGGATCTAACAAGCATTTCTGACAAACTCAGTGTGAGCTGAAAATAGCTCAAGTTTATATATTTCCTTGTGTGTAGTACGCTCCCACCCTCCAATTAGTAATGAGAGAAATACATACAAGATAAGGGATGTATCTTAACCCATCTCTAACATAGGAATCTAACAATGATATCATGGTATCTGAGCAACAGCTTTGCAGCTTCACATTCTCTGCAACTGGAAATTTGCTAGAATTCTGAAAAAGGAGGAAAAGCAATTTGGGGATTACAAAAAAGTGCTGAGTTAGTTTGCATACCTTTGTAATGTGATATAAATCACATTAATTATCAACTGCCTTCATATCCATGAAAGTCATCATTCCATATCAAGTAGGGATAATTTCTTATTCATGAAGTTACTGATCTTTAATCCAGCTGGTAGTGTATCGCATTATCAAACAATTGTGTGCCAGTTCAACATCCAGGATCAAATTAACTGCTGGAGACCAAGTCATGCTGAGTGAAGCAAGCTTACCTGAGCGATAGGCAAACTGATCCTTCAATTGTTCACTGATGTTTTCTGCACAAATGGAGTTCAGAGCTTCTGGTGCAATCTCATCTGCAGAGAAAAAAATATTAGTTTGGAGGCAGCCAAGTACTTTAATTAGCTCTGAATTCTCAATATCAGATTAGCACCAACAGAAGAAGCCACAAAATTGAGCAGACACCTCAGAATGCAATACTCCTCACTGATATCAGCAAAATAAGTTCAAGGGCAGGTAAAACAGAACTCACAAAAGGGAATTTTGAAAAACTCACTCATGTGAAAGACTGAAACATCATTGTTTCTTACAGAACTTTCTTAAATAGGTTCATGAAACAGAGAGAGAGAGAAATCAGGCTGTTGAATTTATGTGTAACTTGTTGTTTGCCACTTGAGCTTTTGGAAACCAAGGAATGCACTTAGGACTTTTCTTTTGCTATTCCTCATCCAATTTGCCTCCTTACCTTATGGCATTGTCTCATGCTGGGGATAGCCACATGGATGTTCATACTGTCTAGTACCTCAAGTGTCTATTCTTCATGCTGCGAGCCTCGATAGTGAGTGTGGGTAGTTTTTGGCCACAGGAGCCATCACAACTGAGATTGATTCTAATATACACTAATCTACCACTATTACTAGTGGGTAATCAGATAGTGTTTAGAGTCTTCATATATTTCATGAAACGTTAAAAATGGCTGCCCCATTGAATGCAGAATTCCTTGGAATTACAAGCCCTGTAAATTAACATGGGCTGTATATGTGTCAACACAGCAATAACAATACTACCATTGTTTAATAATTGCATTCAATATAACAATTCTCTGCAAAGCTATTATGGTTTCTACACTTATCTTCACATAAACAACATTATGTTGCAATGCTGCCTCAAGATTAGAGGTTTCTATTTTCTTACTTTAAAATTCTTAACTAAAAGTTAACCATCAGAAGCACAGCCCCATCCTGGGAATTGAATCAGTAAAGAGGCCTTAATGAATGCTGACCTGCTACTATTGTTCTGCTGTTGTCATGTCCTGCATTGCTCATCAGTTGGGTCAGAATCACTAAGTCCACCTGATTTTAATTCTAAATCCAACTGCTGTCATATTTATAGCACTTTTTGCACAAGCAGATATGGAAAATTGATGCAATATTAGAAATAAGTCTGGGTAAAAGAGCTGAATCAACAAAGCTACAATCCTCAGTGTAGAGTAGGTAAGGCAATCCCAAGTCACAAATGATGAGAACATTGCAACCATGGTCATAACAGACCTGCCAACTAGCAATCATTTGGAGTTGCCCCTCACTTTGTTTGCTTCAAGAAAATGAAATGTAACCAATTTTCATGTGTGAAAAATAAACAGTCCTAAGATTTCACCAATGTTGACTCTGCAATTAAAAACAAAAATAGCATTAAAGAGATTAATTTTGGCAAATAAAAGTAAATTGTAGCTGAATTGCACATCAACTCTGACAAGATCAATTCCCACTTACTGTGTTGAAAGCTTGCTGATAATGGGAACAGGAAGATCAATCCAAATTAGCAACAAGATGATTAAGCAGAGATCCAAACCAATTAGCCAATAAAACCAGAAAGACAGTTTTACAGTTTTTCCACTCACAACACTATCTTTCGCTTCTCATCTCAGAGGGACTTGACGATGGTTAGAATGACAGTTCCTAGATTGCTGCAGTACAAACTTGCTTTTTTTAAACATTTTGTTTTGTAATAAAAAGGCAGTGCTGATGTAGCATGATCTAGATAATGAATGAGGATAGCAGGGATATGCAACAAAAAATTCAGACAAGATCAGGTTCTAAGGATACTAGAAAAGACTTATAGAAGTTTAGGGCAGACTGGCATCCTTGCAGTTATGGAAAGTGCAGGTCATAATAATAATCCTTGCATTTGATACAGAGGGTTATCATGTCTTTGAGATGTCGCAAAGCGCTTCACATAATATACTGTAAAGTGAATTTACTCTATATTTTGTGGGTGAAATATACAATCATATACATAATGCACTAATGGACCAAGGAGCAGTTGATCCTAAATTCTTGCATTTCATATAACGCCTTTCACATCAGCAGGATGTCACAAAGGGCTACACAGGTTATAATGTAAAGTATACTATGTATTTTGTACGTGAGTGCAGCAGTCAATTTGTGCGCAGCAATGTACCACAAACAACTATGATGTGAATGACCAATTTTGGCAGTTGTTGACCAGAACACTGGGAGAAACTCTCTTCTGCTCTTGAAAGTGTTATGGGATCTTTAATATCTACCTGAACAGGCAGATGGAGCCTTGGTTTAACATCTCATTGGAAGAATGGTACCTTCAACAGTGCAATGCACTCCAAGCACTAGGATTTAGTTTCAAATATAGTGCTGGGATAGCACTGGTCTGTTGCAGGTGTCATCCTTCCTGGAGCTTGAATCCACAACTTTCTGATTCAGAGGCCAGAGTGTTACCAAATAGGCCAGGCTGACACGTGAGTCCTTGAGACTTCACTCCTTGCTTTGGGTTACCTTCAAATTAACAGCAAAAGCTGAATTTAAGAGTGAGGTAACATTTTATTTATAGAAATAAAATGCATGCCAGATTGTAAAGCAGTTCACACCACTAAATTTATTCCAATGACCCTGGTAGTTTCCATGCCAGCACAAACTTTGTAAATTCATCTTTCAGCTATAATTTTATAACTGTATAATGTCATAGGGTAAAAACAGGGTCACTGAAGTTTGCCTTTGATCTACAAAATAAATCTTCAGTCAAAAGGTCTTAACTGTGAAAACTCAATGCTGTTACAATGGTACTCTTGGCTAGATGCCTGCATGACTGTAATTAAAAAGTCAGAAGACCTGCAGTAGTTTAAAATGATGTAAATGCTGGAACAGTGCCTGGTGTGAACTGCACCAGTCATTTAGCCACGAATTGTGTATCTGGATAAGAGTTCTGGTTGCTGCTAATTAATCATTCTGTGGTCCAGTACTTTTAGGTCACCTCAGAACAAAAAGGGGACATATCTGCAGCTTGAAATTAATTGATACTAGATATTAATTGTATAAATATATGCTGGTTGCTTCCTAGGCAAGGACTTGTAATCAATACAAACAGGATGGGTCCTAGTACTATTAATGTAGGACCCGGTGGATTTATATTCATATCACAAAACAATCTCTTGCATATTCTTAGCTCAGTCATACTTAAGTTTATTTATATATTGGAAACCAGTAGCATTTCTGGGTCCCACGTAGCATTCGGATCAACAAATGAGCCTTAGACTATATTCACGCAGTATTCAGCATGGTTACTAATTTAAGGGAAAGGCTGTTGACACAATTTTCTATATGAAGAAACAAAGTACGAGGAATTAAGACTTGGAAAAGTAAAGTTCCTCGGCTATAGATTTATTTTGTAACCAATCACTTCAGTACATTAATTTTACTTAATTTGGAGACATCAAATGATCAAAATGCCAATGCATCTAATTTCAGGTTGCAGTTACTGTAGTTACTTGCAGGTGACATAGTAGCACACTACAGTATGTAATGTATATAGCCTACAGTATACAGCCTCACGATGATATGATGGCTTTTTTCTAGTTAATTCAGTGTCAGTTGCATATTCCATCCCAGTGTTACCTTTCCTGGATCAGGCAGAAAGTCATACCATTGGGAGGTACAAGATAAACTGGCAGGCATTGCCGAAGCAATTTAACAAGACTAAAGAGATTTTGAGCACCAACACAAGGTGAAGGGGGATTTTCAGTTCAGTTGTCTCAAAAGAATGCAGATTGCTGATTCAATCACAATTATTAACCAGCGAAATTTAGGTCCATGTGCAATTTGTATTCTACAATGTCGTATGGGGAGAGAAAACATCTGTTGATGGCACTTCTCATTTCCCTGCCTCTTTTTCCCACTTTGCTCAGGCTAAAAAAAAGTGATGAGCACTAATAGTATTACCATGAAATTCTAGATTTATATTGGTCATCACATTTCTACAGTTCTTTGCTGAATTCATGAATTTACATATTGGCAAAATTACATATTGAGTTTTCAGATCAAGAAAATATTCCAAGTAGCAGATTAAGTAATACGGGACTCTTTCCAACCTGGAAAAACTGAGAACTGCCCCCAATTTAAATAAAAGCTGTAACATTCATTAGTATGTCAAAAAGGATTAATTAGTTTGTTTAGCTCACAGAACAGCCAATACTAAAAATAGAGAGTTATGGTGAGATTATGGACCAGGCCAAACACGACACAGATTCTAACTGTGAATACCTATCTCTCGGCATCCATAGATAGTTATATTTCTATATGTTATATATATCATTATTTATATAGTTCAGACTATATTTATTGTTAAAACAAATGATACATGTTTATAGGTCAAAACAGTTCCTAGAGACGGAAATTATTTGCACTCAAATAAAACTAACATCCGAATTGCTGCATCTAAATTTGACAAAAATTTATTTGTATTTTTTTTCAGTTGTGAACTTAAATTGTATTGTGTAAATGTATGAGACTGATTCACAGTAAAACTTCATAACCCTCATTTATTTTTGAGACACGACACTTAGCAAATAAATTTATCACACAAGGACTTACAATTAAATAATGAAAGTTGGGGCACCTACTTTTTATTGTGGACTCCAGCGATAAACAGGTTTCACACAGCAGGAAGTAGCTTTTCATTTCTGCTTCAGAGATTTTCTGGTTTTCCACGGCTGCCATGGCCATGAGAGTTACATTCAGTGCATGTAGTTTGTATAATCCACGTACTCCTGCCTCCCAGTCTTCCTTTCACACAACTCTTCCCATGTTAACCACAGCACCAATTCAATAAATTTCACATGCTCCAAAGGGAGCCCAGGCTCAGTGCGGCTGCGCTAATAATCACCTTGAAAATAGAACTCAAAATAAATCAATGGATTGCTCAGTCAAGACAGTCCGGCTCTCACAGTGTCTCTCGACTTCCCATGTTTGCAGAATAAGTGTGCCAACAGCCATTTGATCAGACTAAACAGTACCTCTCTTCTCCCATAGCCTTTGCAAAGCAGAATTGCTGGATCACAGGTTTGTCTTCGTTGCACAAGCTACTCAATAAAATTAGTTCATGACATGATTTTGTATCGTTAAGCTGGCCTGAAACTCTGCCAGTTGGTGCAAGTTCTATTTTCAGATTGAACAGCTACAGGCAGTACTGTGACATCTAGTTTCATTTGGTTCTGCCTTCAGTATGCCACTCCTCTTTTCCAATGTAATATTATCAACTCAGATCAAATAGCAACTCAAACATGCCACTTGCAAATGTGATGAGTGATTGTCAACAACTGACCCTGGTTTGCCTCTGTCGTTAAATGATGGGTTGGCAAACATCAGTGACTATCATGTGAATGCCGCACGCAAAGATGTGAATTTAAATACAGCAGGAAGCAAATGAGTCAGAAATATAAATTTCCCTCAGGCCACTTTGTTAAATATTTATAAAATGTACAAATAAAGCTGGCCTCAATCAGGCTATTTTGATGATTGCAGTATTGTAGATGATTTCAGCGCCTTGGGACTCCCTACGTGAAAGCACTATATAAATACAATTTGTTGTTTTTCATGGTATTAAAATTAAAGTTATACTGTGACCCTATTGGAGAGCACATTTAAAGTCAAGCATCTTACAAACCTTTACCCTGATACATAGTGTGATACTAAGACTGGGTATTGACTGATAGTAGTCAACTTTTTTTTGGTACAATTATATACAATGAATTTTAAAAATATAGCTTTAAAAATACTGCTAGCCAATCACTTTCATTCATGTTCAGTTTCAACACTTTTTGAAAAATGTCGCACGTAAATTGAGAAGCTATTGTTAAACATGACACACCTTGAAAAACAGGTCAGTTTCCCACTCAGTCAACAATTCAATGCACCATAAAAAGCCTGGAGTTATAATAATAATAATCCTTGCATTTGATATAGCGCATTTCATGTCTTCTAGACGTCCCAAAGCGCTTCACAGGATATACTGTAAAGTGAATTGACTGTATATTTGTGGGCGAAACGTGGCAGCCAATTGCGCACAGTAGTGTCCCACAAACAGTCCAGGAATGAAGGGACCAATTTTATTATTGTGTTTTTTTTCTTGAGGGATTATTATCAGGCGTGTGGAGTAAGAAAACTTACCCGAGGTTTCGCCCTGCTGGGAATCGAGCCTAGGTCTCTCTCTTGCAAGGTGAGCACTCTAACCACTGAGCTACAGGACTCCCTTATCTATCTTATACCTATAGAATATTAATGTATTTAAAAAAGGACACGGGCTACAGAGTTCCGGATTATCTGCAGCCTGTGGAGGGAGGAGTTGGGAAGGCCGACAAGCAGTCCGTTTGCATAGTTGAGCCTGGAGGTGATGAAGGCGTGAACAAGAGTTTCAGTAGCTTGAGTGGTGAGGTAGTGGCGGAGTAACGTATGAAAGAACTTTAAATATACTAGACACCTAACAGGGAAAAGGGAGGTGATCCTATACACAGTCAACAACAACTTGCACTTATATAGCACTCTCCACCCAGGGTTTAGTCTTACAGCACTTAACAGTGGGGGAGCCTGACTCGAAGCCGGGGGGAATGGGGAAGTGGCCTTAAGCACGGTTGAAGAGGAAAGTTTTCAGGTGGCACTTGAAAGAGAGAAGAGGGGGCAAGGCAGAAGGATTGAGTGAGTGTTCCAGAGTTTTGGGGCACAGTGGCTGAAAAGGCGACCTCTGATGGTGTGATGGAGGGTGCGAGGGACAAGAAGGAGGTCGGTGCCAGTCGAGCGGAAGGTGGTGGATTGGGGAATGAAGAGGTCGGAGAGGTAGGGAATTTTTTAGGAGAGTTTAAAACAAATAGAGAGGGGGATTTTTGGAGAAAATTCAAAAGGCTAGGGGCATAGAGGCTGAAGCTTTGGCTGCTGATCATTGGGAGGGTGTTGGGTGGCGAGAAACTTTGGTTTTGTCTGTTAAGCTGAAGGAAGTTAAGGCTCATTCTTCACTTGATGTCTGACAGGCAAATGGTCAGGTACTAGAGGACCTGGAATCAAGGATGGAAGTAGAGATAGATACATTTATTACATATGGAATTTTATTCCACATTAGGACTGATGCCACCAAGGAGAGGCATATGGATGAGAAGGAGACCAAGAATAGATCCCTGAGGCATGGATTCATGGACCTGAAACATTGACTCACTTTCCTTTCTCCACAGATGCTGCCTGACCTGCTGAGTGTTCCCAACGACTTCTGTTTTTGTCCCTGAGGTATGCCATGGGTGACATGCTGGGGTGGGAGGAGAAGCCATTGGAGGAAATGTAGTGAAGGTGATGGGATTGGAACCAGCAGGTGCAGCACCATGAACGTAAGTGAGAAATTAGATACATTTTACTTATTAGTTAGAATCCTGCTAAAATCTGGTAATTCTTGCACTGTGGGGAAATCACTGAATTGTCAAAAAAATACATTTCTTCTTAACTAGGTTGATGGTATTTACACTTCAGGGATGGAGAACTTGGGCAAGGAAAATAATTTCTCATACTTTGTTACAGAAGCACAAATGTTACTGTTTTTAAATCAAAAGTCTCATAGCTTTCTAAAGGTGGTGCATATTTTTTACCTCCAGTAAAACCCGATGCAAGGGTTTTATTCAGAAAAAAACTACTCTCATTCCTCAGGTCATAAAAGTCCACTTCAAGGTGTGACTAACACACTAAAATTTACAAGTAGTCCAAACATAATCCTGGTTGGTTGAGTATGAAAAAGGGAGTAGCTTTCTTACGCTTGTCAGGAAGCAGTAGTGTATTTCCGTGTACATGGCTCACAGCAGGAAACCTGATACGCTTCAGCTGGGAGTCTAAAACATACACCATTGGTGTAAAAGAGCAAAACTTGTAAGTGAAGAGGCACTTCACAGGAAGTTGTTGGGACTATATGTGAAAAGAACAGCATCATTGGCCACAGTTTCAACAGCTCTAGGAGCTATGGTAGTCTTCAATCTATTCAGGTTATAATAGTCAAGATTAAATAAAAAAAATTTCAGCAATTTTAGTTTTTACCCTTTTTAGTTGAAGCAACATTTTGTTGAATTGTGTTGAGATGTCAAATACATTTTCCCTAAACAATAAGCAAAAACTGACAGGCCAGCAACTGTGCCCAGAATATGGACTTTACCGCCAAATAATGTACACTTGCATTAATCAAGTTAGTTAAAAAGGTAATCTTGCTAACCCTTTCATTATTTTATTACAATTTTTTTTGTAAAAAAATTTCACAGATCTTTTATCTTTCTAAATCTTGTTCAAAAGTGAAGTACAATATCCCAGTGTCTAAACTAGAACTATGAAGGGGAGGTCATCTCCAAGACCTATTTTGGCATGAATTTCATGTTTATTGAAAGTACGATTGTTCCTGGCAATTCTAAACAGGTTTCTTCTATTTTCTTTAGAAATGGATTTTATTGCCACTGAAATCCCATAATCGACATTTTGCTGTACTGTTGACCTGATCTGTAGTGTGTAGCGCTTGAAATTAGTGTACTTCCGATGCAATTAGATTAGAGACTACTTTGCTATCACACACACAGTCTCGTCCCCTTTGCTCAACTATCGCAGACCTGCTGCGTGTCCCCTATCCTACCTTTGGTGACCAAGCTTTCTGATTTTATACCCCTAGGGTCTGGAAACCCCTCCCTTTTAGCTCATCGTCTTCAGGTCGCATCTTAAAACCCACCTCTTCAACCACACCAGCAGTCACTCCCCCTACTCAGCGTCTGTCCCGGTTATTGTCAAACACTCGGACGTTATTCTAAATGAAACACACTATTCTATATATTCAAATAATTGTTGTATAGTTGAGAAAAATCAATTAAAGTTTTGGCCATGTATGACATAACTGTTGTGGTCTCAGAAATCCTCAATCACTCAGCAAAGATTTGCATTGGTTTGTACATCACATACTCACAATCTATTTGGTAAGCAACAGAATATTTTGGTTTTAAACTAAATGCAACCTTCTATTTTCTTGAGAATAAATTACAACATTCTAAAATGAAGGTGATGCAGATGTGTAAAAGTGTTTACATGTGTAAAAGTTACAACCTGAACAATACTTCTGAAGAATATTTGTTTATTCTTGCATATCAGGCTTCTTAAACAAGCTGTTTCTACGTGTTAAAAATGCTGGCATACACATTCTATAATTCAATCATGACAAGTTCTGTACAATAAGTATACACTGTACAGTTAAGTGGTTCTTAACTATAATATTTTTCTTATACATTCCTGCAAGTCTTCAATTCAAGATATTATTTAAAAAAAATTAAAACAATGCTGGTTTATATTCATGCTTTAAAAAGTTACTATATACATTTTTTTATTTGATAAGTACTACATTAGAAAGACAACCAATCACCTTTGTAAAGGCAGAAAAATAACTTTGGTGGCTTGTATTTGCATTACACGATTTTAAATATCCTGTAAATAAAATCTTTAAAATGAGAACAAAAAAAAATCGACTCTTATCAGCATCGGAGCTCATTGGTTTAACAATAGGAAATTGGGATGTATTGTACAGATTATTAATTTTAGATCCTGGGATATTCAAAATGGCCATATTATACACTGAGGTTGAATAATGTATAAACTAAACTGCTGAGTACTGCTGAACTGTATATTATTTTAAATATTGAATAGTTTATTCAAATCAGTAGGCAAGTATTACTCAATTACATTGGATTTGTCATTTGGTATCATGAAATCAAATATGCTGCAGTATTCACCAGTACACAATTCTATATTCCCTGATTACTGAAGTACATAACAAATGCAGTGATGTCAATGTTGACAACTGAAAAAAAATCAAACTATTTTTCACAAGATTGCATCATATTATGTGTAATACATGACATCAGAAGGCTGTAGGACCAGACAACCTCGATCCAGTCTATCTGACTACATCACATTAATAAAAGTGCATTCTTAGAACACAGATCAGTCTTCAGTTTCTGATCAATCGCAGAAACTCTAGTCATCAAAGTAAAATTCATATTATCATAGTCCTCAGGAGATCCATTTTATGTTGAGATTAATCAGAGGTTTCTGAGCCTTGAAATGCCACAGGCACAAGGGTGTATAGTGGTTTGCATATATTTAGCAGTCTGACCACTTAAGCAAGCATCTCTTTGCAGGCTGGGAATCCCGATTAATTTTTTGGGTCTGCACTGAAAACATCACCTTTGAAGTATTTCAAAGTCAGCAATTCAGGTCCTAGAGGTTTTACATTCTGGAAAGGATTAAGACAGATGTCAAGTTACATTCATTTATTGCAATAAAAAGTACTGTATGCTGTAAGGTCATTTTTAAAATCTATCAGAATGTCTTGACAAATTAAAAATTGGATATAAGTTTTTCCATCTGCACTCTTTGGTTGTTCTTGGTTGATATCAAATGGAATACTTCTGTGGGAGGACCAGATATCACAACTGCTGCTCTACATACCCCATCCTTAATCTTTGGGAAATTACATTAATTTGTCACAATGAGGATATAAGAATAAAGTGAGATCCTCCATGTGGAAATAATAACGATGTAACCCATTCGCCTGTTTTTAAATTTATTTTAAAAAAATCAGGATTCGTTAAGCTCTGAGTTAACTTGAGCTCATTTCTGCTTGTGATTGAAATCAGTTAAAAAAAAACACTTCAAAGCAGAAATGTGAAAAACAAAGAATTCTCTCATAAAAAAAGAAAGGTGTCAAAAGTTTTGAAAGTTTCATGTATGCTGGAATCCAACTGGACTTAAGAGTTGGAAACCTACATCTGCAGAACGAGCACCCCTGTCCTGGCAAGTGCTTGTCCAAAATCAGCAGGTGTAGTTTTTAATAATTATCAGTTTGATGCTCAACTGAACCACCAATAAATTAGAATCTGACAATTAGGGCATTGTGAATTTCTGAATTTTAATAACATTTTTGATTCTTGTAGGAAAGCCAAAACAACCTAGGTATAAAATTCATTAAGTGATAAACAGTATCATCAGTTATTATTTGGATTTTTTTAAAATATTACAAATAGAAACCGGTAATCTTTTGAGGCGATTTCAAATTTGCCACTAACACATCTTAAAATGTCTGGGGTCTGGATTCAACAGTTTTTTATTGATACTGGTGAGCCTTATTTAGGAGTCCAAGTTTTGACAAAAAAACCACTTAATTGATAATGAAGTGCATTCAAATAACGCAGTCTTAATTGACTGAAGCTTTGAACTTTTTCCATAAGGAATTTCCTGAACCACTAGAATTGAATGATTGCTAAACCCATCCCATTGTGTTAATATATAACCTATTGTCAATTGAAATAGAAATTAAGATATGGAAGTGTTCCCTGACAAGCTGATTTTGTAGATTGACACATACAAAAAAAATATATAACATACATATCTCAATAGAGGGCGTGCTAGAGCCAACCTAGTGTGGTTATATTTAATGTTTCTTTTCTCTGTTCCCCAAAAATGAACATGATGGAATAAAAAAAATGTTCACCAATGAATAAGAATGGGCTGGTTAAGACCATGAATCAAGTCACAAATGCAAGAAGTGCAGAAGTGAATGGTAGGAAAGGAATGGATGCAATTAAAAATGTGTAGTGCATAATTTGCACCAAGAAAAATGCGATGAAATGGGGAATGTAGACACTTGAGTGTGCATAAGGCCTGCTTTTTAAATATTCCCTATACCCCCTGTACAAATCGTCGGCAGCCTAAAGTAATGTCTTGATCGCTGGTGACCATTGAGTCCCCTGAATATTTGCACAAATTTAGATAAGTTCATGTTTGATCAGTAGAATGTTTAGTTTTTTCTTGATTGAATATTTCTTGATTTCTTGGCATAAATAAATATTTAATCAAGAAATTTCATTTGTTGTCCCACCATGAAGGTTGACCACCACTGATCTAGATAATCAGAAACATTAAGCTATGTGTTTAAAATATAAAATCATTTACAACACTGTCAAACTTTATAAATTCAAATTTAAAGTAAATACCTGGCTATAAAGGAATTATAGTACTTACAATATAATCATTCTAGTCAAGCAAAGCAAGCTGCATGCACCCTATGTTACTTTGAAAGTGATCAAATATTCAGTTCTATAATAAAGCTTTGCATGCGATAGGACACATAGCCTAAAAATGCATTTACATTTTATGCACGAGTATCAAAATAGAAGCGCTCCATATCAGCAGTAAATAAGGTTATGCAACAGAGTAACTTTAAAAAGAATGTGTCTGATGTCACACAAATGTTCTATAAACATAGGTTTTAACATCATCAATCTTGACAATAACTGCCAAAAGACAAGTACCTGTCAATGACAATCATGATTCAACTGAGAATGATCTTGCAAGAAGTGGTTCAACAGGGGATCTGGGAGTCGATACTGAATCTGCAGCCTTGTTATAGAGCAATTTATTCTGTAAGAATGAGTTGAGAAATTCTTAGAATCCAATGGAACCACAGACTTGCGTGAAGGGAATCTGTCTGAGATGACACACGCTTTCCTAAAGAAGTTTTAGCCTATAAATTTCCAATATGAAACAACATCAAGGGGATGTTTTTCTACAGGATTGAAGTAATATAAAAATCGCCCCCAAAAGAAGCGCCCCTTTTTGAATAAAAATAAGATTATCCTTTGCTGTGAATTGGTAAGTCATTCAGTAATATTACTCAACAAGAAAAAGACATTTTGAAACCATTTCCTCTGTTCAAAATTGACATTGCAAAATACTGATCAATTCAGACATTTTTACTTTGACTTTTTTTTAAAAAAGCTTACTGCCATTAAATTTATTTTCAGAGTCTAGAAGGTTGCAGATACACTTGGTCTTTCACTGGTCATCTTTCTGAGGTGCTGATCAGTTAGGTTCATGCTAATAAGAACCCGAACAAAACAAAACCAGCGCCTTGGGACGTCCTCCCGACGTGAAAGGCGCTCTATAAATGCAATCTTGTTGTTGTAATGATGCTAGGACCACTTGCTGATCCAATCAACTTTATATCGCTAGTTATTAATGCATTCTATTTGAAAAGTCAAATGAGAATCAATGGCTTCAGCTAATGTTGTTTTATGGTCCACTGGTAAGAGGTACGAGAACGAGGGTCTTGAACCAGATCCACTAAGGGATGGGGAACGAATGAAGCCGAGCAGAACAAATCACACAACTAAATGAAGACAGCGCCTTGGGACGTCCTCCCAACGTGAAAGGCACTCTATAAATGTAATTTTGTTGCTGTTGTTGACAGGTTTCGTTGGTTCATACCTAATCAACCAAAGTAGGAGTAAAAAAAATATTTTATAATACCTTATAGCAGAGTGTGGGGGATTCTATAACACACAAACAATTTTCGTGTTATGAGAAAAAGGAAAATAAATAGTTAAGCACATGCACAAGGCACTTGCACATTAAATGCGTTTCTGAATGTTAGCAACATAAATGCAAAAGTAACTGCAAAATGCCAAACTCTACCCTCCATAATAAAATTAGGTATGAAAGTACAATGTAAACAGTGCACAATTTTACAATTGAGCAGTTTCAAAATTATAGTGACTAATTTTTTTTACTCATGGTCTTTTTTTTCCATAATAGTTTGACATGCCACAAAACATGTTAACTGGATAAAAGGCTTATACATCTTACCAGACAAAAGCATTATGAGTTGTTACAAGTACAGCATATTACTAAATTAATCTTTTGTTCTATTAAGACTGTTAATTAGTCAAAGGACAAACATCACACAATATTGTGAAGACCCTTGCAGTCATCAGAGCTTGTTCACTGATCAAAACAGTTTTTTGTTAGATAGAATCAGTTTAAAAGAGTAAAAGGATATGCTGTTTCTGAAACTGGATAGGATCAATTCAGGAATAATTGAAACAAAGGGTATGTCACAGTAAAGAGTTTTCAGTGTGAAAGTCGAGCTTTGCTGTCACAGCCATGCATTTACTGAATACTCATACTGTTCCAAAATTCACCAGAAATAGTATGAACAGGATGCTCGTGCAGGTTAGAAAATGCACAACAAAAGATATCACCTCATTCACTCCAAGAGAAACTTTGACTGCTGGAAGTTTGAGAGAGCATAAAAACTGTAGACTGCCTGGATGAAGGCAAGTGAGGTCTTGCCTACACACATGGGGAAGCAGGTGGGGAAAGAGAGAGAAGAGAAATTAAAATAGTAGATTAAAGTCATTAAAAAAGAGAAACTATGGCAGAGAAAGGATAACTTGAAAAGACATCACAAATATGGTTCAGATTCATACAACTTTCACAGTATGCAAATCTCCAACAGTTGTAGATCGTCAATGTTGACTCTTCATATTCTATTTTCCCTTGGAATCCACTGAAAAGAATGTAATCATGTAATTTTGTATTTACAGCATGTGTAGGACTGAAAATTTCCTCTTCCAGGAATGTGGTAATGACTGGTATATAGAGTAGATTTAGTTAATATTTCATGGTAGGTAGGCTATTTAAGATTATTGACAGTTTCACAGAACATTTGGAATGTTAATTTGTGAAACTAAGTTTCTACTGCATTGTAAAGTGGGTATTACTAAGTTTTGGAACTGGAGGACTTGAAATAGTATTTCATGTTTAATTCCTCAAAAAGTAATAGCAAAGTGCTTTGATTTAACTGTACACAAATTGAAAGGGGAGCTTTCAATACTTAAAATGGTTTCTCCATAAAGTTAAGGTAACGAGATAGCATTATAACATTTCTGAAATATTTAAATGAAAGATTTGAAAATGGACTCTTAATACAGGTAATGTTAATTTCCAGATTTAATGATACATATGCATTTCGCTATGTTTTAGTTAGTTACTCCACCTCATGTTAAAATGGAATAGTGTGAAACACATTATACTCTCGCCAATCAGAAATGTTTGGTAGTAGTTCTTGATCTCAGGAAAAATGGACTTGTTGGTGCGGTTATGTTAGTTAAGATTTTAATGTTCTGCACACAAACTTGGATTTATATAGTGCTCTCCACGCCGGACAGCGTCTCAGAGCGCTTCACAGTAATGGATCCCAGGGCCGAGCCAGGGGGAGTGAGAGGAAGGTGACCAAAGGCGCGGTAGAAAAGAAAGGTCTTCAGCAGAGACCTAAGAATAGAAGGGAGAGAGCGAGGCGAAGGGAGTTCCAGAGCCTTGGGGCATAGTGGCTGAAGGCACGGCTGCTGAGGGTGGAGCGGAGGACTCGGGGGACAAGGAGGAGGTCAGACCAGGAGGAACGAAGGCAACGGGCACTGTTTTGAGGAGAGAGGTCAGAGAGATAGGGGGTTGCAGAGGAGTGGAGGGATTTGAAGACAGGGGTGAGGATCCTGAAGTCGATTAAAGTGAATTAGAGCAAAGTACCACATTATTCCCTTGAGTTTAGTCAGTTTTCAACACTTAACTAGTGAGAGGTGAGAGAAAATCAATTTCCCTCCAGTGAGGCTCAATTAGAGACTTAATCACAGAACAGAGTTTGAAGAAGGAATATAGTGTTCCTTGTGGGGGGAAAATTAAATTGCTTGAGGAATTCCAATATCCTCACGAGAGCTTGTCTCTTAGTTAAGTGACGAAAACAAATTCTTATGCCATTTTTATATAAAAATGCTTTCAACTAAAGAAACTATCCTCTCATTAAAAATAGAACCCATTTTTTTAAAAAAAAAGTGGTTTCAGGTTTCCCTGCAGATTCTTGTCCATTTGACTTAAAGCTGAGATACAATTAACTGATTTAATTTGACAAGTTTTAAAATTGAGGTTCATTTTAGTATAAAGAGATAATTACTCCTTTCAATAGCACAAGGACCAAATTCATCAAATTACTTACAGTTTTGCACACCGACTGAAACAGTAATCACATCTGACTCAAAAGAACCGTTGCATGTGAGAAAGTAATTATTTTCAGTCTAACTAATTATCATTACCAGCCAAGTCAACATGGACCAATATATTAAAATAACACATTTGTTATTAATTCTCAAGTTACACATGTGTAACTTGAGAATTACTAACACATCAATGACAGATGTGAAAGAGTATGTTAGAATACATTAATTATCTTTCAGATTTGAAGATTAGGATTTCCGAATTTCTCCCTATTAATGATCTACCAAAACAGTTGTGAAGTCATCAAGGTTTACACATATAAATGTGCATTTTCATCCAAAATAGACACTTAAGTGTTAGTCACCTACCTGCAGCTTTTCTCTTCTTACTGGCTTCCTTATAATTTTTACCACAATATCAGGCACCAGGCTAACAACTATTAATAACATAATAGTAAGGCATGCTGGGGGGGAGGCAGACATCTTTATGAACACAGAGTACATTCTTTGATGCGTCAGGAAAGGCCTGTAAAGAATAAAGTCAAAATCAAAACTCTATAAACAGTTAAAAAAAGTAAGCTAAATGTACTGTTTTTTTCATAAAAAATTCAAGCTTCCTTCTTCCTGGGTTGGAACTGCAGCACTTGTACAAAAAAGACGCAGTTGCATACAATTTTTATCACCTTATTTTAAAATGTGTAATTTTGTTACATTTGAAGTGGTCAGTCAATAAAATATGCTTCTGCAAATTATAATCTAATTCACTGACATCAACACTTTGAAACCCCCTGAATAGAATTCATATTATTAAACAGGAATTTCTGTTGTCCTCAGCAGAGATTTCTGAAGACAAGGCATTTTTTAAAAAATGGTCAATTAGTGTGTGAATTTAGAAATACATTAGTTATATAATAATAATAATCCTTGCATTTGATATTGCACTTTTCACATCTTCTCGACATCTCAAAACGCTTAACAGAATATATTGTAAAGTGAATTGACTGTATATTTGTGGGCGAGTATTTGTGGGCGAGTTCTAAGTAAGCAGAATAATAATTACTGCAGTTTACATAACATACCCAATATAAACAGTTCATATAAAAAGAGAGCAAAATCTGGTTAATAAAAATAAGAATTTACAGGATTGTAACATTGTTCCATTTATATTAAGTGATTCATTGGAATTTAAAATTTACTATTAAGCCAGGGAGTACATACCAGTAACAAATAATATTGCTTAGAAAGTGTTGGTTTTAAAATACATGGGAACTCATGGTTGTCAAATGTTCTTTTGAAAATGCAAAAAACTTGTGGGTGAATTTGGGAAACGTTTTCAGATGAGATGCTAAACAATGGTCTTATTTGCTGGTTCTGGCGGTAAGATCCCATTGAACTGTTTCAGAGAACAGGGAGTATTTCTTAGGCAATATTCTTAAGACAATATTCCTCTCTCATCCTAACTCAGACAAAAATGCTTCAGATTAATTGGTCATTCTTTGCTATTCATGGAACATTGTTGGCGTAGATTAGCTGCTGCTTGTGCCTACATTATAAAATCCAATGCACTTCAAAGCAACTCATTGTATGAGGCACTTTGAGACATTGCATGATAAGGAGCTATTTCACATGCAAATATTTTACTTTAATTGTATTCGGAATTCCAACAAAATGTTGCTTTCATAATTTCAGATGTACTTACCATATGATGCTTCCCCAGATGAAAGAGAAGATGACGAAGAAACCTAAAGAGCCCCATAATACAAAGTGGTTGATCCATGTCCAGCAACGAGTATCCAATGCAAGCTTGAAACAGAATAAAGCAATAATATTAAATAAACTCGCAAACTAATTGTATTCCATACTTTTTTAAACGTTTCACAATCTAATCTAAAATGGCAATTAATAAGTTATTCAACAGATGTTACCCCAAAAAGACAAGTCAGTTTTTAAAAAAAAGTTTCAAAGTCAAATTTGTTCCTAATTTAACTTTGCTAAAAATATCATCTCCCAAGCATTTATTGTGTAAACTAATATTTACACATCGTAAGTTTTGTATCACACCTGTGATGGCAAACATCCAGCTTGAAAAATACAATTATTTTCCAGAAACTATAACTTAATTTCAGTGTTTATTATAATCCCTATAAATGAATATGACATGATTCAGCTGCATATGAAACAGTTTAATAGCAAAGTATATTATGTAATTTTTAAATTTACAAACCTTCAGATTTACGGTAAATACCAAAGCAGTATAGACAACTGTTCCAAAAGTCCAGTTTCCAAATACCTGTAATAAATCATATATATGGTTCGTAATAAATGAAAATCAACAGTCACTGTAGAAGAAATGATTTAAGAATATAAATATATCTGCTTTCATATTATAGCAATGATACAATGGATCTCCTTTTACACACCATTACTGCTAATTTAAACATCAGCATTTCTTCTGCAAACAAAAGGTGAAATACCTTAGTTGAGATTTTATATGTGAAAGTTCATTAAATACCATGTACGTATTTATATGTTAATTGTGATAATATTCTACTTATTTGTAAAAATGAGTAAGTGAATTACAAGAAAGTTATACCGAACATAAATAACTCATTTATTAGATATTACACAGCTATTTACATACAATTCCATGGTGATGAGACTAGGTTTGCAAACCACAACCAACCCTATCTGTTGTCAAGTTACCAATGGGAGGCACTTCCCTAACGAAAGAGGGAATGAGGATGAAAGCTAAAGGAAGCTGTCATCAAACTGATCGTATGCCACACCAAGTGGCTGATTCAAGAGATGCACAAGCTAAGAAGCAAAGATACAGAAGGAGATCGGCTGCCCTTTTGTTTCCACCTGGGCTTTGGCTTAAGGAGACAGAAAATCTACGAGGTGGAAAAATGATCAAAATTAGTGATATCCTTTTGCACAAGTATTCTCTGTTTCGTAGAGTTCCCTATGTATTTTATGTGGTTGGAAAGAAAAATTCCCCAGTCTCGTGGGACAGGGTAGGGAGAGAAGGTAATAGAAACAAAATATAAGAGTGAAAATACTTTGTACTGACCTGACCACTGTTTTCAAGAATTGAATTGTTGCAGAGAAAGTAAGTGCCAAAGAAAAATACCAGACCATTGAACAGCCCCAAGAACGTCCAATAAAGAAAAGGTTTCCATTGAAGCATTGCATTATTGGCAATATTTCTGTAAAAGGTTAGAGGAAAAAATAGTTTTATACAAATGTCAGCTTAAGTTCAGTTAGAACTCCTTAAAACATTTCTTACAATCCAACACAAAATCTTATTGTACATAAACATTTCATGTGTAATAGTATCTATAATGTATGCAGTTGAAGTGCCAAAACCACCTTGTGGCAAAAGAATTAACCAACTTTTTTGAACGTGACACAAATGCTTTGCAGCAGACTTCTCACTTAAATTCCTAGAAGCTCCACTTTAAGAAATTTATGTATATCATATTCATAGTATTATCATTCGGCTTTCATGTTTTGCCTAAAACTTCAGAAGTTGCATTTGAATTCTCTATAATACTATCAATACTGAATATAAGAAGGCGAGCAATATAATTATTTCTTACCTGTAGAGGGAGGGTTCTTTTTTCAGTGCTTCCATGTTTATATGCTGTTCCAGGAGACTGTATGCCAAAATTGGGAGTGAAGTGAAGCAGATATTGTAACATATAAGATATGCTGCATCGTAGAGTGGCTTGATTTCATGAGGGGAAAGAAGGGGAAATGATTTAGTATAAATCTGTATAATTCAGTAATTCATTCAAAGATTAAAATTGTTGCTCAGTTTAATTTTCTTATGGAGATTCAGGAGAGGTAGAAATTGTTTGAACATTCACTCTTCAATTTAAAAGAATGTTAAGAGGTTTAATTACAATTTGACTACTTGATCCGTTCAATGCAATTATTTCACACCAGATGCGTCAGTGACAATATTACAAATTGTAGGCCCTCAAAACATTGGTATTACCTAATTTATAATTGCTGCTACTAACCTGTTGAGAAAATCCACAAATGAACTGGAACAAAAACTGAGGTAAAATGAAGCAAAGGTTCTGTAAAATTAAGAAGCATGAAACAAATTATTCAGAAGTATCTTTGGAGAAATTTGGTTTGAAAATGTTTCTCTAAGATTATAATATTCATAAGAAATAAATACTGTGTGAAAAGACATACCTTGTAAAAGAAATACTGCACCAGATGTGCAATTCTAATGTAGTACAAATGTCCATGAACAAGGAGAAGCTTTCGTAGGTGCTTAAACTTTGGGATTGCATAGTCACTGTTTCTTGCAGCTTGGCAACCCTCTTTTCCCTTTAAACCTGCAAGAAATTAGAAACATACTTCTTAAAATTTATTGAGTGATATACTGACCAATCCTTAAGATTAGCAGAAAATAATAGGTTAGACGGATTTATTATCTAAAAGGTGAAGCCTATTTTTCATCTAAAAGGTCAGTTAGATTTTCCAGTTTAAAAGAGAGTGCAGTAAGAAAGCAATATAATTATCAATTCACTCAGATGTACAGAAATACATTTCACGTTAACAATGAAAAGTATAAAAATGTAATAAAAAGCTTCAGATACAGATTAATGTTGACTTTATACTAATGAAATAAAACTGGTGTTAGTTTTTAATGAACAGCATAGATTACTAATTAGCAACAATATCGTAGAGCTGCTATCAGAGTACTGCTTTACCTACGTAGGGTAGTTCTTACCTATACCCACATGAGCCTCCAAAATCATACTGACATCATTTGCACCATCACCAATAGCTAAAGTTACTGGATTTTCCTTTGTGTTCTTCACCAGTTTTACAATCTAATGAAGAAAAATAATTAAAAAGGGCTCGTCTCCTCAGATCATCTTTGGTGCTTACCTATTATCAGATTATTTTCAATTTACACTGATGGAATGCTAAAAATGACACCATATACTGTACCAGCAATAGCTTCTACTGAATAACCTTTTTTAAAGAAAATAGTTATGTTATTTTAAACATTAAATATTACACATTAAAATCCATATAATAGTGTTGAAATATACTGACTATCACCTCAGAGTGACTTGGCATATTTCAAACCGTAATCGAATGTTCCAGAAGGTTTGATAGTTAAAGTTAAATGTAGTTTTGCTGGACGGGCTGAGTTCAGCTTCTAATTACATTTCATATTTTCCTGGGAAGATGTTCACTCCTCTGAGATAATGAGCAATCGGGTCCTTGAGCATAGATTTAAGAACAATGGACCACAGAAAGAAAAGGCTACAGCCTTAGACACCTGTCTATTTCAGGCTGAGAAACAAGCAGGCTGTGGAACGCTGCCCAGAAGTTGTCCATATCTCTCTCTGTGCAAAGCAGCCTGTGAAGGGTGGGGGCTATCTCTGTGACCAGGGGAGGTGGAGTTCGAAACACATAAAAGATGTAACTTTGAAATAGCTGAAGTTATGTAGAGGGTCGGCACACTTCCCAGTGGAATCAATATCGATTCTACTGTATCTATGTATATGTACAGGGGTGAGTGAATTTATCTCCAGTAAGAAAGTGACCTATAAAAGTGAAAGAGTAGTAGTGGTCGGCAGCACAAGTGAGGTGCTGGGCTAAGAGCTGATTGTTCCTGTTGAGTTACAGGAGCCACTCTCTGTGATTCTGTGTGATAGTTCCGTGATCTCTCCAGTGTATGTCAAGATGTGATCCCAGGTCTACTGTTTAGTCTGGAGTACAAAACATTGCCTGGATACGTGTTGTTGTCCCTGTATCGACAGTATGACTGTTGTGTATGACTGGTTGGGTCCAAGGGTTTACCGGACCCCGTTCCCAGGTTATTATTGATATTGCGAAATTCGGTTGCATCTGAGGGGTAATTCCAGAGACTGATCTCTGGGCAGAAGTTTGTTGAAGTATAATCTCTAGTGCCGTTCAGCTGGAGTACGAAGTGAGACCCAGATACATGCTGCCCGGTCCGAGGGTTTACCGGATGCCAATGCCTTCTTAGTGTTTGTGTTACAGAATCAGTTGTCCCTGAAGGATTTCTGGGGCTGATCTCTGCTGTGTATTTTGAGGTGTGTCGTTTGTCTGGACCACTGAGAAACCCCTGAGGGCATGCTGCATGGTAAATGTTTTGCTTGCATAGATGTGCTGTACTGTTATGTAGCGTAATTTGATTACAGATTGTTAAACCTTATGTTTCAACTTATGCAATAAACTCTACACTCTTACCACCACCTGTCGTATTATTTACAATAGTCTAATTACAAAACAATAATTCATGCAACAATTTATTGCACCCACTTTAAATTTTGGCTTCTGACAAAAAGTTGAACATGAACAATAGGACAAAAACAAACTTTGAAAGTCCATTCCCACTTTAATGTAATTTATTGTTGTTGATGGCTGAAATTATATGAACAATTAATGAGTGATGGATAATATATTAATAACAGATTCTGAATCCGTAAGAAAAAGTTTAGTCTATTACATAGCAAAAATGGGTGTCACCATACCTGTGCTTTCTGTAACGGTGCCATGCGGCAGCATAAGACGGCAGTACATCTCTGGCATATTTGCAAGAAGAGGTCTTCATAATTGCTTGAGCTACCGTCTTGAGATGGTTTCATTATTAATGACAGAGCAGCACCATCAATAATCAATCCATACTCCTGTATACCAGACCAACTTCTGGAACAAAGTGAACATAAATCTTTAAAATGAAATGCCATACGTTCGTCACAAAAACTAGATGTCATAAGCACCAATGCTGTGTCCAGATCAAATGCAATTTGTGCGTTACAATATTATACCTCTAGATGTCAGTATATTTTGACAATGCTCTGTATTATGTACAACAGAGCACTGAACACAAGAGATGTTAGATACTCAAAGGAATTATTACATGCAATTTGTTTACTGCGTTACCACAGGTGTTAATACTCAGATCAATATCAGCATTTCAAATACTTGCCTTAAAGAATTTGGATAAGAGCATTTTTTATCTTGTACAACTGCTTTGTGCATCTCCAATAGTAGCTCATGCAATTTATCCTCTTTTCTTGCTTCATATTCTTCAATGTGCTTTGTTGTCAATTGTAAAAGTTTCATATTGCGATGAAAAAGACTGCAGGCATAACATGTTGCCATTGCGGTTTCCATCTTGTCCCCTGTTAGCACCCAAACATGCATACCTGCAGAATGCAAGGCTTCAATAGTTTCTGCAGCCAGTTCTTGGAGACTTTCGTTAAAAAAGAGAAAAAATGTTTGTTTTTTAAAAAAACAAGTAATCTTCATGATACAGCACACATTTCCCCTTCAACATACTAGCAATCGTTTCATAAATTATCAGTTGTGAGGCTACAAATATCAAATATTCAAAAAAAAAGTTGGGTGGATTTTATCCCCCCCCATTCACTGTTCCCTGCTGAGACAGTTGTCAAGCGACTTGTGAATATCATTCATTAACAGCAACTACATATGTGCAAGCGTTACCCAGGTTACTCCCACTAAATTTTCCCTTCCTTGTTGAGGAGGTGATTTACCTGAGCTCTTTAATTCTCCAGACAGACTGACTGAACTCTAGAACGCTAATCCCTTCCTCTATCTTGGCAGCCAATTAGCCAACAAAAAAATAAAGGGATTAAGATTCCAAGAGAATGGAAATAGGAAGCATTCAGAATTGGAACTATTGGACTACTGCAATATAAAAGCTGAAAAATAATTGATTATTTCAAAGACTTACCTGTCTTCCACAGCTGTTGCCCCAATTATATGCAAATTGCTTTCAATATCGTCATAAACTTGTGCTAACTTTTCATCGCGATCCTTAAGGGCCATTTTGGCTTCATGGAGTTGTGCATTGATATGGTCATATTCGTCCTGAGTAAGCTCTTTGTATGCAACACAGAGAGTTCGCAGACCGGTCTAGATATGTGCAATTATATTACAATAACTTAGTAAAATATAGTCACGGTTTAACATCTATAGCATTTTGCTCAACAGTAACAATTTAATGCAAAAAAACATTGTTTACAGCAATGAGGTGTAGACTAGTTTAAAATTTCTAGAGATTTTGAAAAATTCACTAATGTAAGTGTTATGCAACTTGTTTAACAATTGACTGAATCTGCTTATGCGGGAATAGATATGTCACTTTAGTCAGAACAATATCACTAATTATCTGATGTCTATCGGGGTCAAGGATTTCGAGATTATAGCTTTTTTGTTAAATTCATTTCTTATAATGGAGCAATATGTTTTCACATATTGCCAATATGATGAGAGTGCATGAGAAGACAATCTAGGTATTCAGAATTAATTACAGAAACTAAGACTCTCTCAAATGATTTAAATACCTCAAACATGCTTCACCTTACCAGAGCATTCTGCTCTACGTGCAATTTTATCTCATCTTGTTTTCCATCTTTCACCCTTGGGAATATTGAAGAATCTGCACCTTTACAGAAGAGGAGGATTTTCCCTATTGTATAGCAAATATAAATTTTAATTAGATGACATCAACCAGAGAATATATAAATAGGTACATTTTGAATACAATTAATATGAAGTTTAAGAGTTGGTGTGGGAACTGTTTGTACTCATCTTCTTTCCCATTTAAATCTTTTACATTTGTGTCTCCATGCTCTTTGTATTGGTAGAAACCTTTAGGATTAGATGTAATGAGGCAAATAAGCTACGTACTCTAATGCCCCAACTGCCAAAAGACTATAACTCTTTATCAAAATGACACATGATGAAAGCAATGTAGAACACACTACCTGAACTTGCTTGTACTATTACACTCATACGTCGGCGGACAGGATCAAAATTCAGAACATGAAGACACTGGTACCTGAAGTCAAAAACATTACAGAGTCTCACTCTTCTGAATAAAACAACCAATTAACAAATGACAAACCAATAAGACCCTTTTAATAAATGAAGAGAGTCTGGAAGATTAGCACAGATACATAATTAAAAAGCAGGTTATTAGGGCAGGTTTTATTGTAATTTGAATGTCTGACACTAATGTTCCCCTTCTCCTAATTAAGGTTATAGGTTACCCCAAAATTCTTTGTACAGAAAAGTGGTGGTGGTGAAGCTGTGACATTTTATAAATTGGATATTTGATAAGATATCCAAGAAAATTTGAAACACATAATTCTGATGTTCTTCATCTTCAGAGATTCTGGAGTGATTCAAAATAAATCTGTCAGGTTTAAATCATTTCTCAAATGGGGTTCGTTCAACCATTTCTGGTCATTAACTTCAGAAGATTTTTTAAGAGTCAATCATGTGACTGACATGCAGAAAATGTCCAAATTTGTATATTTTTTAAAAAAACACCCTAACTTGAAAACACCCTACTGAAATGGCAGTATAAAGTTGACTTTCCGCTCCATAAAGTGAATTGGCTTCACTCCTAACAATATAAACACAGTACAAGTACAATAAAAAGTCTAACCCAAATCCTTTGAACACATTTAAGTTAATTGGAATTGGCCATAAAAAACATATACTGCAGCTAATATTGAAAACACTGCCTCAAGGTAATTTTGAGATGATTCAGAAATTAATCAATACACTTAAAAGCAGTGTTTTGCTTTACTTTTAAAGTTGGTTCAATGTTTGTGAATCAATACCTATTCTGTGGTACAAATGTTGTGGAAACTTCTACAGCGATTCAAGTAAATTATCCAGTCACACTGCTTTTTATTCATAATCTTGTAATAAAATTATTCTTCTCCTCTCTTCCCCCCACCCCTCCCACCCCTCATTTTAAACTGGATCTTTGTTCCATTCTTTTCACTGAACAGATCAGGATTATTCAGCGAAATGGTTTCTTGCTGAGCATATGTGTGTAGGAAGTTGACATTTTGATTAATATTTTTAAAGGGACAGAACATAATTAACAATCGTTAAATAATGAACATAATTACTACTGCAATTTGCAATCTTTTTTAAATTTAGCTAGAGAAAGAATTTGAAGCAGAACACAAGAGGAATTTTCTTACTTTTCAATTGTTTTGTCTCCAGTTTGTATTTTCATACAATTGTTCTCCATTCCTTGGAAAGTAAAGCCAAGCCTAGAAATATTAAAAAGTGTACTTTATAAAGACTGTGCATTCCACTCCTCTGAGTTCAGTTTATAGCTTGCTCCCCAATCTCTTTGCTTCACCACTGTTTGCCGTGACTATTCCCTAGAACTTGCTTTCAAATTCACTTCAACTTGCTACCTGTATTGCAGTTTCAAAAATATTTAAAACAAATCTCAATGCCTTTGTTCAAATGCTTTAAACGTTTTACTTCCTTGCTCAGTATCCATCACTAATTTGTCAAGCACTTTGAGATGGTTTTTTACATGAAGGGAGTTCATAAATCCAAGATGTTGTAATACTTAACTAGCAGTGTAAATTATTTTCCGTATTACTGAGGACAATTCAGGAAAAAGGAAAACATCAGTACATTGATGATAACATTTTATGATATCCAAACTACAAATCCTTATATGTAGATTGGCTTGTAGTTATAAACAACAATCAATGAACATTTTAAATTCCATCCCAAATGTACATTCATTGACACATGCAAGCCCCTAGGTTGCAAGCTGGCTATTTTAACCATTTATTGCTTTAAATAGTCAACATCATAGCTGGGCAGATTACCACAACAGTCTCGCCACTTGGTCATCAGCTCATTGCTGACACCACTTATGGTATGTAAATTGGTTTCCTGCACATGAAGGCAAGAAACTGCTTAGTCAGCTGTGATTGCTCTCGTTTACGTTTCTAGTGCATTACAAGTGGTTGAGGCTTACCGTCCAGTTTCCTGTGTACTGCATACAAAGGTTGAGTGCTCATATATGCATCATTAACATCTTACAATTTATTATCTATCATTCATTTCCATGATCATAAGTTCCCTCTGCTGAAAACTAAATGCTATAGGTGTCCAATGAACAGTCAAATAAATAAGATAATATGTTGTTTCCACCTCCTCCCCTCACTTTATATTTCTAATTTCTTACTTTTTAGCACCTTCTATCAAAGCAACTTCATCTGGAGAGGATGCAATGTATGTGCATTGTTGTTTTACAACCCCATCCACTGAGTCCTCTTCTTTAACTTGAACAGTGTGGCATAAACACAAAGCATGGAAAAATATTTCTTCTCTTTCCTAAAAACACAAAATCAAATCAAAGATTTAACGAGGTGACAATTTGTGTGTTAAATTAATTCCAAGACTTCAAGCAATCAAGAACTTTGTTTCTTCACATACAGGTAACGCACCTTGAGAATTTTGGCAATTTTTGAAATTTCAGTGTTAATTTGACAGTGGGTTCTGTATTTATTAAAAATAACTATTTGCACATTCAAGAAAAAAAAGCAGCATGCAACTATGCACACAAACATCTTTAGATTATATTTAATTAGCTAACTAAAATTGTGCTAAAAGTAAGAAAAGCAAATACAGTTTTGTTACCTTTTCAGCCCTTCCATAAGGTCTACTGAAGGTGCCATCATTTGTGGGTAAACCATCAACAACACATGCATCAATAGTTGGATATTTGTACTTAAATCCATCTATACAACATTCAATGAATTCCATGTTGTTCTCAGTTAGTGTTCCAGTTTTATCAGTGAACACATACTGAATCTGCACAGAATGGGAGAAAATATTTCAAAGCATTCAAAAAAGTTAAAGCAAAAGTCAGTGTTGCATCTGAATTTTTGTAATATGTATTTCATGTAATATCTTCCCTTTTCAAATTAAGTCATTGGATAACCTGTAAAATTAACAATCTAAATTTAACACTATATTTACAAGTAGTAGAATTATGGATTCAAAAATCAGCCAGGTCAAAACTTAAGTGATATGTATTGCAACATAGGCATAACAACCTTTAAATTACCAGAATAATATCTTTTTTTTGCAAAATTATATCTACACAGAAAATACAGTTCAATCAATCTTCTTAATTTCACACAGGGAGATTTTTGGCTGTGCTGTTGCTCTAATTCTTTAATATCAAAGAAAAAGATGCTTTTGTCAACTTTTATTTGCTGTACAATCAATTTCAAGGTGAAATAAGTGTTCTGAAGCACTGACCTGGCCTAGTTCCTCATTGAGATCGGAGGTGTTCACCAATGCCCCTTCTCCCAATTGATCATCATACATATCTTTATCCCACGTTATAAAGTAGGAACCAAAGAATTTCTGCATTTCCACAGTAACGTACATGGAGACAGGAATGATGAAGTTGAAGAGCACCATGTAGGAGAGGAAATCAGTAAATATCTTCAAAGGCTGTAAAGAGCAGCACAAATAATCAGCTAAATATCTTCTGTTCCTTCATCGCTCTGCATATTTATCACTTAATAGCAAAACTGATAATTATGATATGCATAGAAGCACTTGATGACCTATCCTATATATTATATGTGTATTATATATATATGCATTATATATATATATAAAATAAATTTATATGCATCTACACATAAGAACATAAGAATGTTCAAGGCAAATGAAGACCAAGGTCCATCCAGTTCGCCTTCCAACACTCATACACATACTATAATTTATGATTAGTGATGTTCAATGTATATCACATCACTATATATCATGATTCATTGTAGAATAAAATCTGGACAGTAAATGGGAGTAAGCCAGCGAATTTAAAATTAGATAGCTACTACATTTAAATAACTTGATTCATTGTATACTGAAAAAGATAAATAGTATTAGTTTTCTCCATCATAAATCTGGATACTGCGCAGACAATTAAATGGCCAACAGAAGGTTTTGCTACTTTCATTCTATTTAAAAATAAACTCTGGCAGCTTGAGCACCAAACCACAAAACTGATGTTATCCACTTGAGCTCAAAATCAACCAGAAAAACAGCACCAGACAGCACAAACTGTCAGATATACAGAAACATGAATTTCTAGCTTCCAACTGAAAGAAAATTATTTTGCTAAATTCCTATTAGACTGCTGTTACAAAAAGAAAATAACCAATAACATTTGCGTGGGATATCCCACTAATTGTTGCAGTTTAAAAAAAGGAAGGGGTCAGGGAGGATTCCAAATGCCTTCCACACTAATTAATAAAATGTTATAAAAGATTTAAATTCATTTTGTATGAATGTAGAATGCACATCAAATAAACTTTCCTCTGCCCCTTATTTTCAATGTGTTCCAATTGTCGTGAATGTCAAATTCCAAGAAGTTAGGATGTTGAACTTTCTACGAATAGAAAGTGTGATAATCTAAAAGCAGGGTATTTTGTAAAAATGCATACCTAGTAGTTGCTTTAGTGTTAAGTACTTTGCTGCAGCAATCCAAATTATTTTAAACTATTCACTTTTTGTTTTACATTTATTTGCACTAAAATCTTGAAATAACCATCAAAACGTAAACAACAACTACTTGCATATATACAGCAGCCTTCAAGTGGGGTAGCGTCTCAGAGCGCTTAAATAACTCTTTATACATCACCCCATCATCCACAAAGATGTTCCAGTAATAGTAGTGCAACAATTGTCTGTCAGCATAATTTAATGTATTGTCGATTACAATTTCAATTGTTACGCTACCATGTTGCCTTCTTTATCCTTTGCTCTTTTGGGGTTATACCAAGCTTCGTCATTAGTAGGAGCATTCTGCCAGATATATTTCAATATAGTGCCTATCACAGACTTGCTGATCAATAGGCATAAATAAACTATTAAAAAAACATTAATAGATCTGCAAGCGTAAAAGAAAACAAAATTAGTTTGAATGGTTTGACAGTATATAACACAACTATAATATAATTTTACACAGTTCAAATGTCTTAAAAGGACTTCACAGGTAATTATCAAGTCTATTTGTAGTCGTCAATTTGTACACAGCAGGTCCCACAAATAACCATGAAGTGAACAACTAATTTAGCTGGAGGATTTTTGGTCACTGGGGAAAAAAATAACTTGCCTTTTTTGTCTTTCTGAACAGGGTAACGGAAAAGAAAAAAATCTATTACAAGTCGATGAGTCACCGTTGATGTCTCCTCCTGTGTATGCACATTTCCTGTACACAAGCAGGAAGTTCTCCAAACGTTACTCCAACAAAGGGAGAAGGGATATCAGTTGTATTTCTTGCACATACTGTGCATGCATGTTGGGAAGAGTCAGTAATCTGCCTGAAATTCTGTAAACTGCATTCATATATTATTATTATTTAATCTATCATGCAGTTTTGCCAAAATGATAAATAATAAACCTATTGCATCTGAAAATACAAGAGTATAAATCCAAAAAACATATTCATGAATTTCTATAACAATGAGAACGAGAATAATACAAGAATAGAATTACTTCTCCACCACTGAACGTTTCTGCGATTTTCCTTGGTAGTTCAAGGCCATTTTAGTTTCCATACCAGTATATATTGCAACACCTGAAATTCATAAAGACATTTGGAAAAAATGTCCATTGTTCAATATATAGAAAGTAACATTACAATTAAATGCAATTTTCAATAGCATAAATATTACTTTATCTTTTGTGAATAGAATACATCCATAATCATCCAAAATCCCAATATCTAATTAAGACTCTTATTTAATTAAAATTTCTTTTACAACAACAGTAGTTTCAAAGCAATTGAAAATAATATTTACCATATATCTGGTCAGTATTTTTTAATGTGGCTCCTCTTAGCAATAGATTTCCTGGCCCCAAAGAACTAAATGTAAAAACACAAAGATGGTTAAACTTCAGTTTAATACTGAAACAGGCAAACTCGAACCTCAAAGAAACAAATGACTGTTTATATCATAACAAAAATAAACAGGATGCACTAGGATCTAAATTGTATGGGATACATACAATATATATTTTTTTATTAATAAATAATAATAAAATAATAATAATATATATGTATTTGAAACCCTTTTACTTTTTGGATAAACAAACAGACATCATTAGTCTATTTGTGTTTTGGTAATAGAACCTTAGTTTGTTTCGCCCTCAAAATATACAGTCAATTCACTTTATAGTATATTCTGTGAAGTGCTTTGAGACTCCTTGAAGACGTGATAAAGGCGCTATATCAAATTTAAGGATCATTATTATAGGAACAAACTGAATCCAATGAGTTTTTAAATTTACTACAGAATACCATTTCTTCGTATAAAATGCTCTATTCTAATATCAACATTTTGAACAACATAGACATGTACAAATAAGCAGGTTGCTTATTTCAACAGATCATATCTATATTTTTGTGAACAGTTGATCAATGTCAGCTTTATTTTATAGAAGTGAAAACTTTTATACAACACAAAGGTGTACCCTTCTATAGTTTTCATGCTTCAATAATAAAATTACCTGGCGGTTGGTTCTTGTTTATTCCTGAAAACATGAATTCGACCAACAAACCTGTAATTATCAAAATGGACATCAATATGGAATTTGTAAAATTGCTCCACAAGAATATTTTATTGAAATGCTACCAACAACTTTAGCCCTACCTGGTAAGAATTTAGTAAAGATCAAAAGCAGAAAAAAAAGTAAACTCAATTCAGAAATGTCAGCATTTATAGATTTTGTGTGTCCAAAATCTGTCATATAGTTGGGAGGATAAAAATGTTGGGCTTGTTTGGTTTCAGTTCAATCCTATGCAGTTTATTTTTATATAAAAATCTCTACTTGGAGCCATTTTCCTGCAGATGTAAAGTACTGTGAATGATTTCAGCCTTTACAAGCATCAATCCAGTATTAAACTACACAAGTATTTGATGTTAGATCACTGCCAGTCGAATAAGGTCCCATTTACATTTCGCTGTAACTTGTTTTAAATTTTAAAAAATAGAAACTTGTCACTGCTTGGTCATCTCTTGCTTGTCTATGTACCCAACTTTTCTCAGGGATTGCTCAATAAGAACATGGGCAAAAAGCTTTAGCTGATGGCTCCTTCTCCAAACCAGCAATTGTAACATTACAACTACCACGCCCAGCCCCCTTCAATCTGAGATGAACGAATTAATAAAGGATTAAAAACCTATGTCTTTGTTAGTTGCTGCTCAATGGTTCAACTTGTGGTCAATGTGCAGGTCATTTTTAAAAATATATGGTAGCTCAGCAGAAACCACAACTGGAATACCCAAAGTGTGCTAATTGTTACTCAGAAGACTAAAGAAACTAAGTCACAAGGTTTTGGCAACAAGTTTTGTTAAACCCACATTCTACATTTTCCTGACAGACAAGGCTCTAACATTGTAGAAATATGTCCTTAAGTAAATATGAATTACACTGTAAGTACTCTGCTGCAAATATCAGACCAAATTCATTTGAAATTTGAATTTATAAACCTTAATTGAATGTTGGCATATGAAAAAATCTCTAGCAAATCTCTAGATTATGAAATGTTAGTTACATTCAACCTTACTATATAAATAAGATTCGTACTTGTAAAGGTCAGGTTGAGGTTGTTCACATTCAATGGTGGCATTCAACGAATCAATTTCCATGTCTGTACGGAATGCAATGGTGTCACGGACAGCAAAGTAAGTCTGATAAAGGATTATAAAAATATATGTAAGAATTATCGCAAAGTAAGACAAGGAAATGAATAAATTGCCATACAAAGTTGACAAACATTTTTTTAAACAAACTATGTAAGAGGATGGAACTGGTGACTATCCGACTAAAGTTAGAAGCCAAATATATAGCAATAACCACACTCAAAGTTGGCTTTTGAAAATAAGTGAAGGGGCAAAACAAAAGGATGACGATCAAAAGATGGCCACAAGAGATAAAATGTGTGAAACAAGTTCAACAGGACTGTATAAGGCTCGAACTGCATCAAGAGACTGAATGCAAAAAAAAAGAAAAGTCTCATGCCCAATGAATCTGTAGAAAAACTGACAGGGAAATCTCAAAAAAATTCTTATTAGAAAAATAAAACATTATTTTGGCTCTGCATTGATACATCACATACTACAAAAATGTTTTATCTTTGCGTAAATAGCAATTTGTTTAGTCACCTCATTGGACAATTAAAATGTTTTATTTCACATCATAAAATTCCAGACTCAGCCTGAAAAAAGATAAAACAGAAACACTATTTTATTGCTCCACTAATTATTAATAGATAAGGATTATTACTATTTACTGAACTGTTATAGAATATATGGAAAATGATGCTGCACAACTGAGAGAACTGCAAATTCCCTCAATCAACTACAATCTCAAATAAAACAGCAGTCACAATACGTCCCATGCCGAGATATGCTAAGGATTTGTGCCCATATTCACATTGGGTCCATTTTTCAAGCACCAACAATAAGAAATTCTGTTCTGCAACTATTTACTTAAAAAGTTATATTTTTCTAAATTATCTTATGGTTGCTTATTTGGGAGAGGAAAAGAACACAGAAGAATTCAAAAACAGAAAACGAAGAGAAGTAGCCGTCAAACAAAAGCAAAGAATTTTAATATTCATAAAAGTCAGTGAAATTGTTCCTGGCAGAAACTCTTTTAAATATACTAAAAAGGTTATTACAGTATCACAAGCATTAGTGTTCATTGAATATCACAGAAGAAATCACGTGGCTTTGTACCGACTTTACCTTTTGGCTCGATTCTCCATCCAAACTAGCAGTAGTAACGTAGCATAAACCATCGTCCCTGCTAGAAGACAGAAGGATGAGATCACATGGAAATGTTTCATCTTCTTTGACGCGCACAACATCTCCAACCTAGAAAAAGAACAACTGATTAAACCAAGGACCTGTTATTGCATAGGTTTAATTCTAGATGTGGGGCCATTTTTTAAATCCAGTAAATTAACTAACTTTGAAATGTGAAAATATTAATTGCTGCAGTCGTATTGCTATAGAGTTAAAAGGCTGCAATCAGACCCAACATTTCAGAAGTAAAAGGAAATTATCTGAATTCAATTAATATTTACAAGCATTGACCCCAAACCAGATTTTATTTATTCATTCACTCACACATAGCCATAAAAGTTTAATCAGGAAGTCAGCTCAGGACACGGTTGCACAAAGGTCTGTACTCCATCATAGTCTTCCATCTAAACCAAGATCTTATGATGAGATGTGAGGCCCAACTGCCACCTAATCTTAGCCAAATCTTAAAAAAGAAGCAGCTTCTAAATTGAAGCTGAATTTAAGAATTTTTAACAATTTTTTGCAATCTTAAAATTTAAGGCAAAATAGTCTTATTGGCTAAGAGTAGTTGGCATTTTGGGCCTGTGAATTGGAAGGTGCAAAAGGGAAGAGAAAATATCATCATCTTCCTTGGCCATAGACACACACACATCCCAGAAGCTTTGGCTGAAAAGTGGAAGCAACATGCCTATCTTTTTAATGTCAGTTCCTAGATCTGAGAATTAGATAGAGAATTTCATAACCTTTAAATTAAAACTCAAAAAAAAGTGCATATGTGTCTTTCTGATCAAATCTACACTTATATAGATCTTGCCCTTGCCTCATACTGTAGGTTCAGTGCAACTGCATTAAAATTACGATCCCGATAGCCACACACAGGTGCGCAAATAAATAGAAAGTTCCCAATATCAGATCCTACCAGACGTCAGTAATGTACGAAAAGAAAATAATTTGTTAACATGTGCTTCTGTGCATAAAACGCACCTTTGCACCAATATATTTTGTAAAGTTTACTGGATATTTTCAGTTGTTGAATGGAAAAAAGAACAAATTATACACAATATTCTATCCATAAGATTATTACCTGAATTTTTTCACTTTGTGTTCTTACTACATTTCCTTCAACAACAACATAAACAGGACTTCTATTCACCGAATTATCTGCTTTGTGTCTAAGCCAATCTTCATAACCCTGTAAAAAGAGAGAAAAAGTAAATGTGAAATGCCAATATCAAATAGTCAAACAATTTTCTAAATATGGTTGCATTCTAAATCATGTAATGTTTTTCTATCTACATCTACAGTCAGCTTATCCAAAACAAAAAGATTACTTTTACTGAATGGATAATTTAATTTTAATCAAAATATGCTTAATGTATAATAAGTGATTTAAATCAAAATATGCTTGAATCTTACAAATCAATGCAATAAAACTTTCATTATTGGTACAAAGGAATACAATATTCTGTGAAAAAAAACAAATGCTGCTATATCCTGTAAACTGTTACAAACTAGATATTTATACCAATGTATCTATCATATTAAATCTAAAATAATCAATATATAATTTAGGCATTTCAATAACTTATTGCTTTGAATAAACCACATCCTTTAAATGAAAGGGGAGGAAAATGAGGAAGTAACTGCAAACTTTTAAAGAGGTTCAAAAGGATAGAAGAAACGTGTTTCAGATCAAATGAAAAAAAGTTTCACAGACAAATCACAGACAGTCATGAGATTATTCCAAACAAACCAACAATGGACATGTCTTACTTGTTTAATTGCAGTTACAATGATTACAAAAAAGAGAGGGAGTCCACTTGTGACTGGGCTGGTTGGGGTATCAACAATAACCTGAGAGAAAAGGAATTTTTTTAAAAAAACGCTTATTAACTAGGAAGTAAGATAATTAAAGCAATTACTGCTTGTTAGCTTATCAAGTAACACTAAAGAATGTTGAAATATTACTGATACCCAAAGTATAGAAACCATGTTAATACTGTGTTATTTACATTTAGTTTACTTTTAAATAGATGAATCTTAAAGTCCAATACATATTCTGAACATTATACATCAATTACTATTTTGATATTATCAGTTAAAGAGCTTTCCCATGAACTCAAACTTACCTGTACAAGGAATATGATAAGAAAGTAAAAATTTGCAATTCTTCTGAACTGTTCGAATAAATTTTTCGGAATAAAGTTCCAATAGGTGTACTGTGCCAAAAGGGAGGGGCGGGTGGGGGGAGAGAAAGAGAATATAGAAGACAAACAAGTTCAATTACCACTACTACTCTCTAGACTAGTCACTTTCAACATTATAATACTCGTAACTTTTCACCAGCCAATAAATTATTTCTATTTTCTGTTATGCAATGTTTGGATAGTTTACAGTAATGTACAATACAAGAATGGCAAGGTCTTTTCCCTCATTCCCTGCACTTCATTCTATCCGGAATCGGTACACTAATATTAGTTTAGTGGTTTAATTTCATTTCGAAAAAAAGATGCCGCTTCAAAACAGGCTTCCCTTTTGGACATTGTGAACACAAAAAAAGGCAAGGATAAATTCTCCTGTTCTAAGATTAAAATTAGCAGCACTTTTGACATATGTATCTGAAGTTTAATGTCACCTATGTGAGAATTAAAGAAGGAATGCAAAGCATGCAGCTGCAATACAATACTCACCATTGAAATGGACCTGGGACCTAACCAATGCACTGGAACCCCGTTCATCAAAGTTAAACATGAACCTACCTTTGAAGATACTATTCTGTTGTTACGGAAATGCTGTGGAAGAAAGCTTTCTGTGCCAGGAGGTGGATGATGTCCTACATAAACCGTGCGGCTGTCAACCCGTTTTTCATCTCTAGGACACTGGAGGAGGGGGGAAAAAAAAAGGAAAAGCTTAAAGTCGTAATAGGTGACATCAAAGACCTTTCCATCTTTTCCACTCCTTTGTTATTTTGCTAAAAGATAACAGTCATGGTCATGTTTTTCTCTCTATGAAGAGATGTGTTTCACCATATTAGTTACCTAGCACTGCGATCTATTAGCAGTATACCACCCTGTCCACTCCTCCTCGGTGGGCACTTGCCTACACCAAGTGCCCTGCCCTACCATTAGTAATCGGGCCTTCAGCTCTTCTGCCAATACTATCTGTAACTCCATCCCGGAATCTCTCCGCCTCACTTGCCTCTTTCAAGGCTCATCTCGAGACCTTCCTCTTTGACCGTATATTGACCTTTACTCTCCACCCGTCTTGATTCCTATCCCCACCTTGAGTGCAAACCCCTAACTGTCCAGGACCTTGGGACATCCTTCCAACGTGAAAGGCACTATATAAATGTAATTTTGTTGTCGTTAGTTGGATGAAGGTCGATATTAAAATCTAGCATTGATACACAATGAATTTTTTTAAAAAACAAAATCATAACAAGTCTCCCCCCCAGTCAATGGCTCAGTTCTAGATGATACAATTCGTAAAGTTCTGCACACAAGGTGATGATATACATCGTTTTGCAGGTAAAATATGCCCATCATCAGAATTTCTACTCCGTTGTAAACAGGGTAACTGAAGCAAAATATGTTTGTTCCTTATTTATTATTTATAAAATACTGAAAGGAACAGGGTATCAATGAGGATCTATCCTACCATATAGAATGTTGAGTATTCTGTAGTACTTGTTATCCTTCAGATAAGTGTACATGCACGATTATAAACATTTTTATTTTCTTAAAAACTGCCGTAAATTACAATATACGTAGAAATAGAAAAGAGGATTATTTAACCATGGTATGCAGGATAGAAATGGAATGGGTTAAACAAAAAACTTCTTTCTGTGTTCAATTTCCCTTCAGTAATCACTTAATGAGCATTGCACACCTTTGTGTTTTGCAACCATGTCAAAGTAGATTTTGACAATAATGTCACACTAATTGAGGGCAATTTTATCCAATTAGAATCAAACAAATTATAGCAAAAAGTAATTCAGGGCCCAGTTGTCATTCAACTAATTTCTCATGCTACACTGTGCTCTGTTGACCCTATTGCATTGCAACTTAGTTTAATTGCATGTTAAAACATGTCCTTTCAGTTTCAACATGCAAAGTCACATTAAATTGTTACTAGATAAAAACACGGAAGAGAACTGCATAATGTGGCAATATTTTGTTTGCATATCTAAACAACTACCAGAAATGTATTTAATAATATATCAATTTAGTTTCCTTAGATTTATGATTGTGCTGATAAGCAAAATATGAAATGTCACTGCCTGGCCCTGAACACCTTGAGCAATGCATTTAATCACAACATTTTGAAGTTCATAGTTTCTCTTGATTCTTGGCAACCACAAACAACACTGACAGCCTGGCTTGCTACAGAATATGAAACAACTCCAAAACAATTAAGTAAATAGAAATAATATAAATATTCCAAAGGAGTTAAACTAAGCAAAAGTGTGATTTTTAGTACGCAAAGCGCCAGCTGATTATCTAAGTTAAAGTATGCGATTAGAACAATGCAAACACAATTTAAACAAAAGTTGCCTTGCCCATTTCTTCATTACTTTATTTACAGGATTTTCAAAAACAGGATCATCAAGGCTTTTTCCCCCTGAGGAAGGATAGAAGTCTAAACAATCCAAAACAGCTGCGGAAGTCTATACTGATAACTTGAACTAGAAACCAGTATAACTACCTCTGTTGCAATAAACACGATACTCTATGTCATAATGTCCAATTTCCTTTACAGTAATGACATTTTAGACATACAGTATAATGTGAAAGGAACAATAACAAGCTGTATTTTCAAAAACATACTTCAAATAGAAGGAATTCAACCAGTCTTCTTGTTGTGTTCAATCTTTTCAGTTAATTTCAAAAGTGATTGTTTCACACTACTGCCTGCAGATTAAATTACCTCTCACAAAGTTAAGATGTAACGTTTTATTAAATTTATTAAATAAAACATTACTGTTACCGTGAAGCCGTCCGGCATGGAGTGCACTATATAAATCCAAGTTGGTGTTGTTGTAAATAAGTGATTTGAATTGTTTTAAAAACAACAAAAAAGCAGGAAAAAAGGTCAGTAGTTGATTAAAGCTGAAAACAATACTTCAGTAGCTCTATTCTGATGACGGGTTAACCCAAAATGTTAACTTCTCATTGCAGCATACTGTTTACTTCAATAACTCCATTCAGAAATGAAACAAAAATGTTATTGAACAAAACGCAAAATACTACAGACACTGGAGATCTGAAACAAAAACAGAAGTTGCTGGGAACACTCAGCACATCAGGTAGCATCTATGGAGAAAGGAAAGTGAGTCAATGTTTCAGGTCCACGAACCTTCGTCAGAACTGGGGCATGTTGGGAAGGAGAGGCTTTTAAGGACTAACAGAGAGGCGGGAGCAGGGCAAGGAAGACAAAGGAGAAAATGGAGGGGTGATGGGTTAAAGAGGTGTTAATGATGCAAAACAAAGGGGGTGGGAATTGCAACAAAACAGGCAGACCAGAGAGAGGTGTGTTTGGGACCCAGATAATGTGGTAATGGTCACAGAAGAGGGGGAGAGGGAAGCTGTTATGGTCTGAAATTATTGAAATCAATATTGAGGCCAGAGGGCTGCAGGGTCCTTAGCAGATAGATGAGGTGCTGTTCCTTGAGCTTGTGCTATAGTTCATTGGAACAATGTAGGAGATCATGGATGGAGAGGTCAGAGTGCGAGTGGGAGGAAGAGTTGAAGTGGCAAGAAACCGGAAGCTCAGAGTTGTGCTTGCGGACAGAACAGCAAATCGGTCACTCAATCTACGTTTGGACTCCCCAATATAGAGAAGACCACATCGTGAGCAGTGAATGCAGTATACTACATTGGTCCCGGGATCCGATGCTGCGAAGTGCTCTGAGACGCCGTCTGACGTGGAGGGTGCTATATAAATCCAAGTAATAATAATAATAATCCTTGCATTTGATATAGCGCTTTTCACGTCGGGAGGACGTCCCAAAGCGCTTCACAGAACACACTGTAAAGTGAATTGACTGTATATTTGTGGGCGAACGCAGCAGCCAATTGCGCACAGCAATGTCCCACAAACAGTCGTAGATTGAAAATGACCAATTTAATTATTGTTTTTAGTTTTGGAGGGATTATTATTGGGCGTGTGGAGTAAAGAAACTTGCCCAAGGTTTCGCCCTGCCTGGAATTGAACTCAGGTCTCTCACTTGCAAAGCGAGTGCTCTAACCACTGAGCTACAGGACTCCACAAGTAGTAGTAGTAGTAGTTCTTGTTGGTGGTGTGCGAATGTAAAAGGACTAAAATACGTAAAGTACAGAGTGTCTATACTATGATAAGATTAAAGTTATTTTTTAAGCAACAATGTCGATAAATTAGAGGAGAACCAGTGTCCCTGTCCTGTCCTGTCTGCAAATGTATAATTAAACTTGTGATGACTGAATATTGCTTGTCAATCAACAGCAAGAATTGTTTTGAGACATGAGGTGATCGCAAATAATCATGTATATAAACTGATGGGACTGCCTCATTGGTAGAGGGAGAGTACCGACTCTACTGAAAGACGTACTATTGTATTGCCTCTCGCTTTCCCTCTCCTTGCTGCAAGTGTTAAGTAAACTATATTTCTGAGCAAACTCTGTTTGTGAGTGTTCGTTTAATCCTAGCTATAGCGACTACATCCTGGGTTCGACAGTGGTAGTACATGTAAATCACTGTCTCACTTGAAAACTGTGTTTGGGGCCCAGGACAGTTTTATGGGTGGAGGCGAAAGGGCAGGTATTGCATTTCCTGTGCTGGGATAGGAAGGGAAGGTGCCAAGGATAGGAGAGTAACTGTTGGTGGTGATGGAGGAATGAACCAGGAAATCATGAGGGAACGGTCCATTTGGAATGCTGAGGGGAGGGAGGGAATTTGGTGGTTGGATCACGCTGGAGGTGCCGGAAATAGCAGAGAATTATTTGTTGGATGTTGAGGCTGGTGGGTGGAAGGTGAGGGCAAGGGGGACCCTATCACGGTTCTGGGAAGAGGGGGATCGGGTGAGGGTAGAGGTACGGGAAATAGCGTGGTCACGGTCAAGAGTCCTGCTTACTACAGTGGATGGGAATCCTCAGTCGAGGAAAAACAAGGACATTTCAGTTGCTCTGGTGTGAAAGATGGAATCGTCAGAGCAGATGCAGCAGAGGCGGAGGAACTCAGAAAAGTGAATGGAGTCTTTACAGGAGGCGGGGTGGGAGGAGGTATAGTCCAGGTAACTGCGGGAGTTGGTGGGCTTGTAAAAGATATCTGTGGATAATCTATGCCCCGATATAGAAATGGTGAAATCGAGGAAGGGAAGGGTCGAAAATGGAACATGTGAATGTTATGAAGGTCTGCAGCTCGTGTACTCTCACCCACCAAGCTCTGTGACCCCATCACTCCTACCCTCACCCAACTCCACTGGCTCTCCATCCCTCAGATGATCGAGTTCAAGATCCTCATCCTCACCTTTAAGGCCATCCATGGCCTTGCCCCCTTCTACCTCTCTGACCGGCTGACCCCCTATCAACCTGCCCGCTCCCTCCGTTCATTGGGCTCCGGCCTGCTCCATGTCTCCCACCCGACCTACCCTACCATCGGTGGCCGGGCTTTCAGCCTCTCTGCCCCCACACTCTGGAATTCCATCCCACTGTCCTTTTGCCTCGCTTCCTCCTTTGCCTCCTTCAAGGCCGGTCACAAGACCCTTCTCTTCGACCGTGCCTTTGGTCTCCCTCCCACCTCTCTGCCTTCCCTCACCCCTACACCACCCCTCCCCCATGTTCGGGCCCCAACAACTGACTGTTCAGAGCTTTGGGAAGTCCTCCCGACGTGAAAGGCGCTCTAT